TGATGCAAAAACGTCGGTGATATCGGTTTCGATGAGGAAAGCAAGTTTGCTTGAGTAAAGAATCATAGTGCAGCAAGTACGCATGACCGGTGCACTTCATACAAATCACCCATTTATTTCAAAAACAAAACTCGTATATTCTTGTTAAATGATAATTTCAACACTTTTTATTATACATACATTTCTACCATGCCAATTATTTAAAATTAAAAAAACACTTTTTTGTTTATTTTTTCTGTCAGTGTTGATAGAATCACAAACAAGAATATTTATACATTGTCTGTTGGGGCTTTGAATCTTGTGTAATACGTTAAAATGGTTTGATTTTTTTCCCGGAGGATCAAGTAAAAAATTTTTTCTGAATTTTGTATTGAAATGTTAAGTTTACTTTTGTATCAATTAAACAGTTGTTTAAACAACATTTAACGCTATACGAATCAAAGGTCCTCAGACAATGTTTTCCACGAAAAGCCTATTAGGCAAAGAAAAATAAGAGCATGACAATCCTGGCATCTTCTTTCAAAATGAATCTGAAAGATGATGGGAAATGGTGGAAGTTCCGAGATGACTAATTTTTTGTTATTCATCTTACTGGAATACAGGTAGTTTAATGTGCACAAGGTTTGCTCTTCTCGACTGATTTTGAAGTCAGAAGAACTGATCTAATGCACCAGCGTAGTGTTAATTATGCATAATTGTAAACGGTGCCAAGTTGGCACCTAGGTTATCGTGTGTTGGACACAAGAAGGATTGGTTGGCACGCCGTTTGGTAAAGTATAAGGGCCCAGGGAGGCGGATCCCTATTCATTAAGTTCCCTTTCGGCTCGGGTACTAACGTTGCTTTGCAGGTGTCTCATCGTTCATCACGGTACGTACTTTCATAATTTTGTTTGCAGCGCAGTTTGTATTTAGATGTCTTCCACCATTTATCAGGAATATAAAAAATGCCTTCAAATCAAAAACTCAAACACGGAACTACTAAAAATGAATGGCGAGATTTCTATTTAAGAAAATAGCAAGATTTTTATTCAAAAAAATGGCGAGATTTTTATTTAAAAAAATGGCAAGATTTTTATTCAAAAAAATGGCAAGATTTTTATTCAAAAATGGCGAGATTTTTATTTAAGAAAATGGCGAGATTTTTATTCAAAAATAAGGCAAGATTTTTATTCCAAAAAATGGCGAGATTTTTTTTTGACTTTTTTGCTAAATGCGCCGTACTTGGTAACCTAGCTATTACCTGTCAAAATCTTGTAAAATAACAGCAGCTTAATAACTTCTATCTGTAAACATATTTAAGGCTTAAATATCCAGTCTACTTAATAAAAATGTAAAGATAATTGATACATTGTAGTTAAATGGTTACCTAAGTCACGAGCATTTAAAGACTTCATGGGGCTTCTGTTCCTTTGGAGTTCGAGGGTTTTCCTCCGGCAGGACCGGTTTCCCTCGTTGACGTAAACATAAGCAATTTGTTTGCGTCAAACACAACAAAAAAGAGTGACCATGTTTGGAACTGCATAGGTTGGTTGTTTTGCTGAAAACAAATTATTCATTGTTTTGTAAAATAATGTTAATTTGATATAATGTGAAATGAAATTATGAGAGGAAAATCAACGTTTTAAGCTATCTATGTCCCAATTCTATGCACCCTTTTCTTTGCAATTATCAAGTAAAATAAAACATTAGTTTTTATTGATTCACAAACTGACATAAAATTTATCAGGATGAATAATTTGATTTTCAATGAATACACTGACCTTTGTCGTTATTAGGTTAGATTCCTGGTTCACTTGTCGACAAGTTAAGATGACTTAGTTTCCTTATTATGCAAATAGAACATTTTTATAAACATGCGCACATAGAGGGGAGGCATTATCTTGGTTTGTTGAATGCTTGATAAAGCCCACTTTGTAAAACCCACTCTTTATGGATTCTCAGGTTAGCAGTCCGATAGATACGTGAGACGGAATCGTATAGATTATAAGTAAATAATTTTTATTCGATCTAGTAAATAATGATATAGTATAAATAACAAATGTGCTCTGTTTAACAGTATACCAAACGTAAATACATAAACTCACTTCTTTGCCGGGTCCTCACGATCTACATTAATTTCAATTCAGGTTAGCAGATATAATAAAAGCAATACCACAGAATAGATATATACAGAAGCGCCACTCGATGTCGGAACCTTTGATGTTCGTGTCCGCAGCATCCGGGGAACTTTACACGGCAGCCATGTTTCCAGCCAGATAAATGCAGCCAGATCGCAATATAATATATAGTTCTACGGATGGGTTTTGGCAAATAAACCCAAATATTTCTATAGATTGGTAATTTTTTTAATATTTTTTTGTGTGGATACAGTTAACACATCAAGCTCTCAACAATTTATCATTAATTCGACGTCCGTTTTGATAAATGAGGGTTTATTCGGAATATTTACAAAGTAGATATATATCTGACGAGATGCGTACTCGGTATATGGTTTGTCGTCAGATTTAATTTTATCATATAAGAATTCTGCAGACAATCTTGAAGACATTTGTTCTAACATTTGAAATCTCGGTCGTGGCTGAAACAAGTGACAAATCAAATTATCCTCCAGTTAGTTTATATTTCAAACAACGTTTGGCAGGACAGAATCACCAAAATTGTCTACCCAGGTGTTTTAAACTATCAGAAGATGCTGCATGGCCACTATGAAAGTCATCTGATGCCAAAATATTTTGTATTCATCACAGTTGTGACTTGTGAAGCTTGAATGACTTTTGAGCAAGTTGGAACATAAGGCAGCATGTTGGCCTCCACCAATAAAGTGCTTGAATAGCAATTTGGTCATATGGTCCACATGACTTAACTTTGTTATTTCTGCCTTTTTAAACTCAATCAGGAGATTATTTATATATTTGACATGGATGCTTATTGATGATGTGAGAAGTGAACATAAAAAAGCTTCCTGAATGCTTTTGTGAATTGGATTGGTGTTGGTTTGGCACAGTTTCCCCCTGTCAAATGTTTTAAAAAGTTTTCTGGTGTATCTGTGTTTCACCTTTTGGTAAACATTTTACTGTGTAAAGTATTACGATTGCATTAAGAGTAACTATAACTGGTTTTGTCAGAATAAGTTCTGTTTGTGACATGATTACTTACAATAAAATTTTAATTTACTGAATGAAGTTGGCGGATTTTGCAAAAATTAAATTTTGGCCCTTTTTGCAATACTTTTCTCTGCTGGTTGATCAATGCTGAATCAAACATAATTCTAATCATTTTTCACATATCACAACTCACAAGTGAAGTTTAACCAGTTGACAATATGTTTGACATAATGGTGTTGTTAATTTAATTGTAAACAATTTATCAATAACTTCATTCTTGCAAATTGTAATTTCATATATTGTTTATTAAAAATAAGACAACAAAACATCTTTATTTGTAAGTTAATACAAATTTGATACATGATAGCCACAACTCAATATACAATTACAAATAAAACAATCAATTACATTAGCAGACAAGCTACATTGCAAATAAAAGTGATTCAAGAATCAAATATAAATTAGTTTAGTCCAAATTTTATACTAATAACGTCTTCATCTGAAGAACGTTCTTTACGCACAGTAGGTCTTTATCGCTTCTATCAAATCCGTTACCATTCTAATAGGAAACTCTTTACTAGAAAATACAGAAATGGAATCACACTAAATATATTTATTACTTTGTCCTAAATTATAAATTCTTAGGGCACTGCCGTTCAATATAAGAGACGTTCTAAACATGGATCTCGCATACAATTCAAGGCAAGAAACTATAAAACCCGTAAAATTATATTTGAAGAACGTATTTACAACAAAACTGTTTCTCACCTCATATGCTTGGTATCCTATCCGATGGCATTAAAAATTTTGTCCATAAGTGAATTTAAATTCGTCAAATTTTCGAAAACAACTCTTCATAATATTAATCTATATACATTCTGGCCAGTTTATCTGGCTAGTAATATGCGCATAAGATGGGTTTAGTAGGGGACATGAGTGGCGCTTCTGATGTGGCAATAATGATCATAAATTGTTCGTAATTATATCCGTAGTTTGTCATCTTCCTGTTTGATTAAGTACTTGTGCCTGGTATTACTATTAGTGGAATAGCCAGCCTAGGTTCTTTGTAAATTTCAGATGAACGTCAATAGCATTAAACATCTATTTCTTGGTGTCCTGTGCTCCTATCTCATATGTAGTTTCACGTAGTAATATTATTTGATGGCGAGGACATTCGATATTTTTCTTCCGTTTTGATTTCTTGTGAACCAGTTCGTACATAATCAGTAGATAAATTAGGAGTGTTGGTTCTTGCGATGCCCTCTTATGATGTAGACTCTTGGTTTGAACCAGAATAGGCTGTAGTCTGTGGAGATACGGTCCAACTGTGCGTGTGCCTTTCATTCACGCAATACTATCTCAACTCTTCCCCTAACCCCCATTCCCTCCCTTTATTCATTTATATTGTTTTGAAGTTCGTATAATGTACGTCAACAGGAAAACCACCGAAATATTAGCTGAGTTGTAAAATAACCGTTTATTGCTCGCAATTTGTATGTTTTGTTATCACTCGTTTACATTATTGTGTCACGTTTTTCTGCGGCAGACTCGGCGTTAGTAAAAGTAAATAAAGTAGCTCAAATTTTAATTAAAATTACAGTAGGTATATTAAAATCATGATATATAAATATATCAAAAAACATCATTATTTGTTTTCTCTTACGCTAAATCCTCCTTTGCTAAGTCATCAGGTTTCTTTTCTATTGTCTCTTCTTAAATCCCCTCAGCTTTTTCTAAGTCTTGGTGTTAAAATATATCAAGTTAAAGATAACTGGTGTCTTTCAAGTTTTGGCCTATGAATAAAGCTGTTTATACTAGAAGTTACTATCGAAAGGGGAAGTGCTGCCCCCACCCCTTTGTCAGTAAAAATGCCATGTATAATCGGACACCCTTAGATCCACAACTTCGTGTACAGCATATTAAAGTGTTCCGTGTTCTAGCATAAGTTGCAAATTAACTTGGATAAAATACTTCAAGACTAATCTGGTGAACCTCGTGCGTTATGATTGCGTTATAAAAGGTTTACCGCTTTTCCATGTATACCGCTTTCTTCAATCTAAGTCATACACTTGGAAAGCCGACGGCCAACTTCCGTCATCGCATACAGCAAATATTTCATTGTATCTCTGTCCATGCCTTGGTTAGGCTCGCGCCACGTATTTGACGTTTTGTTAAACCATACCAATTTCATATTTTCCTCACCCGAGCACTATGACAAGAGCGGATGAAAAATGCGAATAAGCATCTGGCTAAATACGGCAACGGTGAATCAAGTGTCGTGTTATTTGTCAAACGAGATAAAATTGATGTTCCAAAGGTTCTACTTTGTTGTGATTGTGCGCTCTCCCTTAAACCGTAAAAATACCCCTCGGATGATGATACCGACAGACATCCAAAAATCGAGATTTCACCTCTATATAAATCGGCCGGAAGGACTGGGTCGAATCCATGTCAAGATTAGTGTGCTGCCACGCGTGGCAGCAATGAGCCCGGCTAACCTGGATTCGGTGGGCGTTCAATGATTTTGCAACGGAACTGGATTAAACCGAATATAAGCAATTCAATATTTGTTATGCGACAGATTCCCTTCATCATTTTGATAATTATTTCATGTTTTAAAAGCAAAATTGATCTCTAACTTTAACCCTTAATCTTATAAAAATATGCTATGACTAACACCTTGGATTTAAGGATCAATTTCGTATTGTAGAACATGGATTATAACCAACATTTTACTAATTTCTCTAAATTAAATGACTATAGCTAATTTGCATTTATTTAAAAAACAGGAACACTAATGGCCCTTTTCAAGTATTTATGTAGCAACTTCTTTTGTCTCTTCAAAATCATTTCATACTTCACTGAGTCCTGGCTAACTAATTTGCTTCATAAACAGCAAAAAAAACAGCACTTTATAGGATATGCTATTTGTAAATGCATATTTTGAGACTTGATTAAGTCTCTCAAATTAAGTCTCTCTATTCGTTCTGATGGCACGATAAAGTGGAATATCACTCTTGTGAGATTTCGTGGTTCTATTTATACTGAACGTCTTCATCGTTTGCATATATTGCTTCAAGAATGGCAAATAAAGCATTGTTTGATTATTCTTAGTCGATCTTGAAAAATATGATGTGGTTTTCATTTTTAATACAACGCATGTTATCAATTGTACCTCCTACAAGAGTAAAGAGCTCATGAAATTATCTGTGCTTGTTATCTCGATTTCTTCTAAAATTTATAGTAATTAAATGCCCATCTTGCAGGAAAATTTTGATTCTTCAAACGAGACTCGTTGTTTAGATGTTTACGTTAAATCTGCTGATGGTAATAAAATCAATTTTCGCATAGTGTAAAAATGGAATGCCAAGATTAAGCTAAATAAATAATTATACAACTTTGCATTTTCACTGGACGATTTACCTATGTGATATGTATTTGCATCTCAAAAGGACAAAGACAAGTTTTCTTTATCTGAGAAGTGGGCTTTTTGTTTTGCGACAAGTTACTAAGAACTTAATGATTTCACTGAAAATATTTCATGCTTCGCTGGATGCATTTAGTGCTTTTGGAACAGAGTTCGTGATCACGTTAATTGTTACATTAAATCTCTTTAAATTTTCTATGAAGATAAAAAGAACACTAGCAATTAGAAAAATCTATTCACAGAAAGTAAATTTAACAGTATGTTAGACATCTTATTGAAAATACCTGTTTGGTTAAAAACTGTTTTTTAGGAGACAATGACGTCAATCAGAACATTTTTATTATAAACATACTATAATGTCATAAGTAAGTATGTGCCTTTATATATTCCTGATATAATACTCGTTTAAATATTAGTTTCTTCTTATTGGACAAGAACGAATTTCTGTACTAAAATCAATAAACTCGTATGTAAATGTTATAAGAGAACAGTAAATCTGTATGCTTTTCTATTTAATGCTGATTGGTCAACGCACGCATAGTTGCACGACATTGGCTGACACATATTAATATGAATGACAGAAGCAGTAGAGCGTACCAGCGTGTAAAATAGAGCGACGCGTTATACCCATATTCAAATCATGTTAAATGAGTTGCGTCCAAAGAAAGGTTGACAAATACTCCACAGCACTAGAGCAGATAGTTGAGAGTAATTTCTCATGTAAGGTAAGACGTCATTATTGATACTTTTCTCACAGACTTTAATGTCAAATTGTCTTCGATGACAGATGAATAACATACTCGTACATTTTCTTATAAGATGATGAGGAACATCATTTTTACCATTCCTCAATGCTAGACACGTACATACTCTGTACTGCATTGTTGACAATTAAACACGTTGATAACCATCAAAGTTATAAAATAGGAATAATTAAACTATCACGTTCGGTAAACAAAATTGTGAGCAATATATTTTGAGTTGATGGCTACGTACCCGCGCTAATCATTACACCTTGTGAAGACGACAAAAAACGAAATTGTGTGATGTCATTTAGAAGTCAGTTCGAGTGTACTGTTCCTTGTCATACATAAACGTTACTATAAAGGAAAGTTTAAAGCTCTTAATGATGATTGATGGCATAGTAAGAGTGAACATTGCAAAAAAAGAGATCAAAATATGGTCAATATACGATAAATTTTCAGTGATTTAGTATTCAACGCACACTCGTGAAATTTAATATACAAATTTTTATCATCAGCGAAGCACAACGACTAAGCGGAACACAGAGAACACAATAAAGGGTTTAGTAGATTGCTGATACAATTTGCATGTAAAGTTGATTACGTTCTTTAGAATATTAGACTGACTATCGAAGGTCACTAAAAGGATAAGCCAAACATCAAATATGTCAAGACAAGAAGTGTCAGAGCAAAATGACACCTGTGGTGGTAGAAATATCATGATAACGTCACAATTACTGGAAATCTTCCTTTATGGTAAACGTAAAATTCAGGGCATTGACCTAGAAAATGCAAAACGGCAGAAGACTGGTGACGGAAAATACCCAAAGCAAGTGAAATGTGAGTTAAATATGATGGAAAATGTTTTATGTTGACACTTGTTCTGCTCTCATGATTGTCAAACAAAGGACCACCAACCTCATTAATCTCTTTTATTTTAAAATAACTAACACGAAGCGACGAGTCCTCAACATGTTCAATCTTTGGACTTAACGTATAATTTCTCGGAGTCGTGAGATCTTTCCACATCTTGCCAATGCAGTTTTGTTATGTTTGTTGCTAGTTAATATTTCTTTAAATTGACTTAAAATGCGCCATCTCATAACATTTGGTGAGTTGAAGCACGTCAATGATGTAAAATAAATATTTTACAAGAGTTGCTTGGAATTCTATTCAACGAGATCAATGATCCAAGACGGGAACGGTTCAGTGGGCAGACTTCAAAACTTTAATATCTTAGCCTTCCCCCTCCGCTTGATGGTCTATTTTCCACAAATTTCTATGTACAATTTCGATATATCAAATAACTAGTGATAGGTTTCGGGTAGGTTTTTCCTTAATTGCAATTTGAATGACAATTGCTTAAATTTTACTCTGTTGTAATGCCTAGCAACAATTGAGTAATAATAACAGGTTTCGACGATCAATAACAAGATTTCAAATTTTGAGCTGCGTGATCGCTTAAATCGATAGAAGAGCCTATTGCTGTTTAACACTCAGAATCCGTGTGTTTTTGAGATACAAACTACACGATCAAAATCTGAAAAGTTATCTGTCTTTCACTATCTGTCAACTCTTTTAGAAAAAGTTCATTTCTTTCACGTGGTTTGTTAGTGTGACGTGTGAATAAATGTTGTAGTGATGTACAACATATGCTGTCTGATAGGGGAAAGCTGTTACATGCAACTCCACGCAATATGTCTGTCTATGTTCTTTATATATTGTATGTTCATGTTTTTTTTGTATGCAGCATGTGTTAAGTAGTTCTACATCGTACATACTATCCATAATTAAACTCCTTTATCCACTTACAATATATCGTGGGCGTCACGGAAACCATCGCTTGCTCGTCATAAAGGCAGCAGAGCGTGCTCTTGTGCTCATGACAAATCTATAAGACTTTAACGTTCTGATAGTACTTGACATTGCTCGGAAAAATATATAAAAGATTTTAGTATGTCTGCTTCAAAAATTTAATAAGTTATCTCATTGCAAGTCGTCCATTTAGAAGGAATCATATTATTATTGAGAAAAGATATCGGATAACTCTCTGAAATATTTTAGGGTCCTCTTCGTCTCATCAGTCTCACGACATACCAAGTCAAACAATAGAAGCAGGAAAGTCTGTACGCCGGATTTTGGGCCCTGCTATATACGATATTAAGTTGACGTATGCTGTTCTATCATTTCCTAATGAGGTTCAATTGTGTACCTCCAGTATCCCTGGTCATCAATATGGAGTGTGTGCCAAGCTCCCTTTTCCTGTTGGTACTTGGATAGGTCCTTACGAAGGACAACGAGTAAAGCCAAGTGAGATGTCAGACAATAATCAATCCAGATACATGTGGGAGGTACAGTTGATGATATGCATTAGATTGACAATAACATAATATTTTCAAAGATTGACTAAGACTACGTTTTTTAATGACTGAATCCGTTGTAATTATTACAAATCATTGTTTTTTTATGACCTGTGGCTAGCGATATAAACATCTAGCAATATGCAAATAAGAAATGGCGCCATCTCTCACAACCAAAATGAATTTTGACAGCAAGAGACATGTGTAAACACTCGTGAAACTGTTGCAGAATTCAAGCGAATCTGTGTAAACGCAGTCAAAGAGAAACATAGTTTCACACAATTATGTTGTACTGTATACTGTTTTAAATCCGGGTGTTTTTTTTTTGCCCTGCATATGAAATATGAATGAGAAACGCCCTTGAGTGGGCTGACTAATTTGGAAAAAAACACGCCGTTTTAGAGAAAAACAAGACTTTGAGCACGTTTCAATTGTTACGTTCAAGCTAGCCGACCACACATTTCTCTTTGACAAGAAGATTAATTTAGATATCTCGTCGATACATATGTATTCAATGTGCGAATATGTATTAAAATGTTTGCAGAGTTAAATAAGATTACTTCATGATGTAAATTTCATATCTTGTTGTAGAGATAAAAATATTTGAAATCGTCTAATGTAATTACAACTAGTATGATTATGTACAAAATAGGTACTTGATATATTTCTTTGCAATAGTTAAGGCACACGAAACCTGTCGTTTTCATATGTTCCCCGAGAAAAAAGTGATAGTCAAAGCTTATGGCCGAACATAATATGATTGCGAGACAATGTGATTCATCTGAAGACGTGGTTAATAACTCCGATTAACATTGTCTTTTAGATCTACGAGGATGGAAGTTTCTCTCACTATCTTGATGGAAGTGACGAAAAATGCTCCAGCTGGATGAGATTCATCCGCTGCGCTCGTCACAAAGATGAGCAAAACATGGTTGTGTTCCAATATGGAACGAATATTTACTATAGAGCTGTGCGAGATATTCCATCTGGCTGCGAGTTGCTAGTTTGGTACAATAACAATTACACCCAATTTCTTGGAGTACCACTGGGCCTTAGGAATGTTCCAGGTGGCAAGAATGGACAGGAAAAGATCACAGCACAATCAGTAAGTTTATCGGAATTGTACACGCATTACAAGATAAGACATAGATTATGTTGGTTTCATATTTTTTATTTATGACATTGATATTTTTTGCAGGGTAACCCAGTGCCTCAAGCGGAAGTCAAGCCTGTGTTGAAGGAGAAGAATACTGATGAGAATGATACAGATCTAAAGATATTTCATAAGCAATATAGTCCTCAGAAAACACCAACAACCAATGTTACCTACTGTAACTCGGAGTGCAAGCCAACTTTACCACCAATTTATGGCTTGTCATCTGATAAAAGCAACCAAATACGTCATCAAGTTTCACATTACAGTGATATGAATGGCAAAGGTTTTTCGTTTTCTTCTAGGCTCTCCTCTTCATCATATACGTCGGTTTCCCCCTCGTTTGAAGCCCTTCCGCACGAGGGAAACAGCGTGGGTTACACGAACCGGCTAGTAGGCATACCTAATAATCTTAGTCCATCAGATTCGATTGTAAAGGGCAGTCTCGCAACTAGCGAAAAGCCATATCAATGTGGACATTGCTCAAGCTCTTTTGCTTTGCCTTCAGAGCTATCTTCTCACGTTGTCACGCATGCAAATGACAAACCATTTAAATGCGGTATCTGTAGTCGTTCGTTTGGAGGGGCAAATACTCTGTACAATCACATGCGTACCCATACAGGTAATCGAGCGTTTCTCTGTAGCAAATGCGGGCGTACTTTTGAGACTGCAACACAGCTTAGTCGGCACGTCAGAACCCCAGGAGAATGTCCTATGGTAGGAAGTACACCCCAAGAAGTAATGTGAGCTCCATGATTTTATACTGGAAGTTCTTGTTAACAGACGTCTGTGTTTCAAAGTAACGCCAGATTATCTTATTGATCTGGCATGACTATCAAATCACTGTTTTTGGGTACGAGGGAGTACGGACTTGTGAGTCATGAGTGTACGTGTAAAATTTGGACAATTCGAAAATATATTGGCGGCAGGACCGTTCCATGACAATGGAGAAAAAAGATTGCATCATGAATAGAAAACGATTAATATAATTTAGTACAGAGTCATTACTCAAAATAGAGAATAAAAGTTTGAAGGGCTTAAGATTTTGAATCATTTGTATTTTTCTTCTGTATTCATATCACTTATAATATTTACAATAACTATTCTTCTTGGAAGTTCCAAAGTCGTCCTGGCGAAGTGATTTCTGACACATAAATTGATTGTCCATTACTATTACAAACTACGTCATGTGGATATAAAACCCTGATAAGAAAATAACAGAAAATTGTATTTTAAGCTCAACACAAACACATACTTCTTTTATCAATCAGCACATGATGATTTATTAAAATTTTTCGTTCCTGCATTTTCTATACCACATCTTCCCCATACTAAGACAAGCACGTAAGGATTTTGATTCGCAAAAAAATAAATTCCCAACTGGACAGATAGTATTTTTTGTAATTTATCTACCTTTTCGGGTTCCCATCGTTGAATGATTTTACCAGTTTTTAATTCAAGTGAAGATCCAAAAATATGGGGGTTTTGAAAGGATTGACCATTAATAACGTGTAATAATCCACCTGTTGTAAGTGATACAAAACGACATAAGCATTATTAATGAAATTAATTGCATGAAGATGAAGTTCTATGTCATCCTGTTTGAACGTACCACGCAAAGGCGAATAGGTTATAGCAAAGACTTTGTCTCCAAATCCAGCATAATTGTTCTTGTATTTTCCAGTCTCTGTCTCAAATGCAAGCACTCGACCATTTTCTCTGTCAGCAACGTACACGATAAGCTCTTGTTGGTCAAGTGCTACACTGTGAGGTAGACTGAAAGATTTGGGCATGGGTGATCCAGCTAGAAGAAAGTGACAAAGTCAACAAAATCGTTGTCATTCAACACTTCTATATTGCTGAATATATCGAGGACTGAATACGTTTCACCCACTTTATTCGATATTATCTCTTTCAATTCAAGTAGGAAAATGTAATTAAATTGAGCATGGTAGTAGGCAGTCAAAAGAACTGCTCATCGGGAAAAAATTGATTTATATATTTTAACATTGGGACAAAGTGCCAAAAAACAAAAAAATATTGGTATACTAACTAGATGATCCTTCTGTTGCTTTAAATCTAGCTTTTTATCTGTTAGAAATGCTGTCTATTAAGGTAATCAAGCTTTGGTGTGGATAGTAATCATCACTATCTAGCGTTACTAGTCTAGACATAGACTAAGCAGGGGGTTTTTTAACTGCCTGTGTACAATCTTATTTTTATTAATGCTTAGTATGCTTACGTGCTGTGCTTAATAGATGATCATCAATGATTATCATAACTTTTCCAGACGAAGAGAACTTCACAATACGACTATTGCAATACCTAAAAGTATCATTCTTTGAGTTGTGAATCTAATATAACAAGAAAAAGAGTTAAGCCTTACCCATCAGAGACAAAGAAAGAACCATCCGCCATCACAGCAACATCAGTTGGTTTACAAAAATGTTTAAGATCATTCCCTGGAACGAACTTTTCACCCAGCTCTAGTTCTTTTTTACCATTGTTACTGAATTTAAAAACCTTAAAATAAGTCAAATATTTGTCAAAATTTTGGCAATGTCTGATTGAAATAAGACACAAAATCACCTGATGCATTCCAACGTCTGTAAACCACATGTTATCTTCGTAATCAATAGTGATTCCATGCGGGAAGTAAAATCTGGAATAAAGAAAATCCAACCTGTACGCAGGAGTGTGGATCAAGTAATGACGAAATTTAAACGAATCTCAGTCATTGCTATATTCGTCAGATAATGCAGCTAGTGAAAAATTACTCGTAAACACGTGGTATCCATAATATATCTCATGAACAGAAGTGAGTAAGCCTTAAGTAAAGTAACCAAAAAACCGATTTCTTTCAGCCTGAAAATGAAATAGCTATTTCTCGAAAAAAGTTAACCATTAAATAACATTATAAGAAATTATTGTCAAAAACTACTTTCATCATTAAGTTGTCACAAATCAACGACTTTTATCTTTTAAACTGTCAAAAATCAACTATTTTACATTTAATCTCTTTAAGTTCTCTTATTAGTACCTCTTCTTTCCCCATGTTTTAAACACTTTTCCTGACTTATTGTACAAATACCAGACAACATCGCTGGCGATTGGCTCCTCGCGTAATTTTGCATTCAATACATTGCTCATATCAAATGTTCTGTATAAAAAGAAAACATTCAATTATTAATCGTTCATGTCAATGAATCAATATCTTATACAAACTAGACGGAAACTTTCATTTCAAATGGCAGCCTTAGCTGGTGTAGTAATCTTTTACTAGTACGTACTTGTCTTCCCATTTACGATCACTGCGATGAAAGATGACCACATTTCCAGAGCTATCTATTGCTACACCAGAAATCTGACCTGCCTTGACACCTTCATGTTCTAGGCTTGTCTTTGGCCACTCTCTTTCTTTTAATAACACCTCTTTAGCAAATTTTAGAAATTTAGAAAAATGAGCCATTTAGCAAATCGACCTCTAGACATTGTACACACCAAAAATGATGTAATTTTTATTTTATCTATCACGTCATTTTTCATTACAGTAACTTATATTGAATATATTATTTTGCATTAAGTGTCAGATAGCGTTTCTGTTAAGTGCTTCTGCTTTCTGTTCTTTACTTTCAGTTTTCCTTGTTTAATGAAGCAAATAGAATTTCTCCTTCATCTGCATAGGGATCAAAATCAAAAGTTCAATAAATTATAAAGACGAAGTTCAAGGCGTTTATATCGTTCGATTTCATATAGCATTGTAATGAATGGAGCAATAAGTCAATAGAATGCATATGGTCCTGACATAAATGGTGTAGTTGCAAATTGAGTAAAAAACAAGTAGCTTACTTTTTGTTAGTTTCATGTCCCTTTTGGTCTTAGGTAAGAAAGGTTCATCTGTGTCCGATGGATAATCAGATGATTGGTATTGAACATAAGTACAAGCATCTGTAGGTTGTCCCATAGCAGGATCATACCAGTACATAATGTAGAAATTGCACATCTCATCAGCACCTGTTGCACTGAACATAAATAAGTCATTATCAGACAGAGGTGGTGTATGCCAAAGATAAATCAAATATATTGGTCAGTCAAACCATATCTACCCAATGTATGTTGTGGTGTCTCGTTTCATGGAATTATAAGTGCATCTTGCAGCCTAAATTGAGTTAAGTAGATTAATTTCTAAAATAATTCTCTTACTAGATCAAATTCCGTTTTTTGAACAAAGATATTGTACTCACCACATCATCACCAGGTTGAATGGATTCCTCTCCATGAATGCGGTGGAATGCCTGAAAGGCATCGATTAAAAATGACCATGAATAAATGACCTAAAATTAGTGCAACCAGCCTATCATTGTTGTACCTGTGGTTGTTGTGGGTCTCCTTTACCGATAAGATGCCATTTGTTATTTCGTACTCTGTAACCAGTCACAACAAATCCCAACTTGTGGGTGTGAACTCGAAAGGCAAATGGGTGCATTTCAGGACCCATGCCATAATGGCATGCCATATTCATGTCAAACACTGAGATTATAAAAAAAATTTTAGTATCAACTGTCAAAAAGGAATCATAATTCAAAATATTTCTTGCCTTCTTCTTTTGGTGGAATAGGAGGGCCACCAGCTGCCACAAGATATATCCCAGCAAAATGTTTTGGCCTGAATGTTTAAAAAGAGGAATTAAGTCTCTGCCAAATGTGTTGCCATGAACTAACTTACTTTTGTGATTGAAGATGTAGAGAAACACCTGAGTGGTCAGTTTCATGGTGAACTAGAAAAAGGAGAATATTAACAATAGCATAGGAAAAAAGAATAGAAAACAGAATGAAAATCCTGACAGTTAAATAGCTTACCCTTGAACTTATCAACATTGGCATAATGCACTTGTAGAACAATAAACTTTATTTGACTTTTTCCACCAACATGAAATCCAACATCTAGTTTAATAAAGGAATATTAAAAAGTGTCTTCAGTTGACTTGTTTCAAAATATCAATACCTTTGGGAAGACTTAGAGCAGGAGCATCCTTTGCCCAAGCATACATAATCTGGTTCACTATTCCTTTACATGTTCCTCCCATTTCACCACAATTCCTTAAGAACAAGCCAGCACTAGCTCTATTTAAAAACTTCTAGGAATATGCACATTGCACTCAATTGTGCAAAAACATTGATATGTACAAGGTACTTTTCTCTCACCAGTATCCTTTCAAACCTTCATTGAAAACTTCATCACAACCAAACATCAACATATGATGAGCCGTCTTCATCTTTGCATGAGGTTGATAACCAACTGTGAACAATGTTTTATTCTTTATCATTTATAACATCACTTCAGAAATACAAGAACCAAACGCCATGTACTAAATTTTACCTATATACACATCATCATCGGGCATTTTTCTTGAAGTGCACAAGTAACTGTCTGGCTGTAAAGAAATATGTGGATAAATATTGCAAAGAGATAAGTGGAAAAAAGGGACTATTAACTTGAAAAGACTAAAATATATTTGAATAACTTTTTTGTATAGATGACTTGCCTTGTTTACGTTTTACTGGCAGGCAAAGTAATGCCAAGAGAGGTTAACCATTGTTGTTAATGTTGTCCAAAAGCACTCGGCCAAATCTGCCTGCCAGCCGAACGTACATAAGCAAGTCATTTATAAGTTATAACACCGATTACCTTTTGGGGTGACACGTCTGACATTCTGATATCAACTATTTCTAATTCATCTTTAAAATTATCGATTGAATTTTCGAATTTTTCGCTTTCCCTGAAGATCTTGGAATATTTCAACAAAACTTCGTCAAAATCACGATCTCCTGGCCGTTTGTTGAAACTTGAGGACATATGAATCAACACAAAAATAAATAAAACCCGAATGTTGTATCTGTGTCGAAGCAAAGTAACCATATCTTCTTTGGTATTTGGTTGGTGTTTTCAAATGAAATCTTTAGTCATTAGTGCTCAAAAATTATTACTTCTATAGTTTTTGATCTTTCGTTTGATTCAAAATGGGTCTCATTTACACCTGCTCTGGTGCTGAAGCTTGTTATTAATTCATAAGATAAACATATGCGACATATGTTAAAACAAACCCACGTAAAAAATACAATATTCATTTCATGTAAAACAGCTAATTCTGCCAGGAAACTAAACAGACATAAAGCCACTTTTAATTATAGGGGGAATTTCCTTCGGAAAATCCCGCTTTTAAAACTTTTTGCTCGCAGCTAAGTCTGTCAGGAAACTATACAAAGACAAAGCCACTTCAAGGAATAGTTTTCGTCGAAAAATTTCGCTTTTGAAAGTTTTTGCTCGCTTTTTAAAACTTTATATCAACTATTGTTATAATGTGAAAACGAGAAAGCTTTCCTACACGCAGGCGTGGTTTTAACACAATTTGTAACTTAGACAAGACAAGTGTGCTCTCATATTCAAACTACTGAGAGGCTGATATATGCTGCAATATTACATTTTCAAACAAAACTATATAAATTTCTTATTTTCAATCACTAATAACTTGTATTTGAGTATATATTTATCCCACATTACAGTAAAATGACATTGTCCATTAAACATTTAACACAATAATAAAGTTGTTCGTGATAAAACTGGTTAGTAATAAATACTTATTCTTCAGCGCCATCAACATTGGCTTGAACCTCTTCAATTACTTTGTCAATGTCTTCTTCGCTTTCATCTCCAACAAGTTCATCCATCATTATCTCAATTTTGGAAATTGCTTCAAACACAACAACATTGGGAACAAGACATTGGATTGGTTTTGAAGACAAAATAAACTCAGCGACCATTTTTGGAGGAAGTAGAATTTGTCCCATGAGTCGACCAGTTGCACTTCGTACTGGTTGTATGATTTGATTGCTTGCAGTTGCAACAGTTCCAGGTAAGTCTTGAAGTGAATGAGCCTACAATAACATAGTGATAACTATGATTATTCTTGTGTTATAAAAATAATCTTGTTAGAGTGAACTCACATTCTTGAAATTAATAACAAACTCCTTGGTGTTCTCGATGGCTTCACCAGATAACTGGAGAGCAAGACTTGGAATGTAAAGTATAGCTCCTTGCATATACTTGCTTGCATCCCGAGAACGGTGAATCAACGATGTCATGTTATCTTGAAAGGCTATCATCTACAGGAAACGAGTTAGAGATTTAAGTTAATCTGTATGGCCATGTTGCAATCAAAAACAGTCACCTCAAAATAATCTTAACACTTACATGATCATAGGTAAACTTTACAGGTTTTAGAGACTTCAACCGTTCACCACCACGTCTTTTAATTTTTTTCCCAAGAGCAATAATGCGCTCAGCACTTCCTTTGCTTTCTTCATTCTTCAGTTCTTTTGATTCCTGTTCCACCTCTTCAATGTCTTCTGGGCTGTCAGGGCTGGATGGTAAGAGAACTTCAAAAGCCAGTTCTGAAAGGGTTATTGCTTCATGTACTCTTGCATAAGTAAACTGTACAACAGTGGTGTTGTTTACAACATCACAGCAGTTCCCAGCTTTAGTTTTGATTGTATCCACAGTTGTGTTCACAATCTATTTAAAATACGTTGTGATGAAATAAAAGCACGTTTCTACTATCAAGAAATAACAATGTAATTACATCTAGTGGATCTTTGCCAATTATGGGAAAGGTTTCTTGAAACTTTGCTAATGTTTTTCCAGCTGCATTGTCCAAGGTAGTAACTGAAATCGAAAATTTATAGTTATGTAGAAAGTCCAAACTGTCCAATCCAGTTCCAAAAATTTAATTTAATTTTAAAGACAATTCTCAGCAAAATTAGCAATACATAGAAACGATAGATTTATAATAGTATTTTTGGTCATCCAATTTCAGAAACTAAAAATCAACCGTAAAAGTTTGGCAATAGCATTGTAATCAGATGTTAACCAAAAACAATATGGACTGTACAAATACAAAAATCACAATTTCATATTTTAATCCTAGAAATGAACAATTCATCTTGCCAAACAGACCTGGATTGCCTACGTAAGGCTCAGCAATTCTCAAAGCCATTCCTGCAATAGGTGTGCCGACATTATAAGCTTTTGTAGCAACAGTTTTCACCACATTTTCGCCTGCATTACAAGCGTATTGGGTGAGTCCATTGCTTTCTTTCACTTTGTTGTATATCGTGCCAGTCTGGCTGAGCGCTTGAGTGATCAAAGGCAACGACTTAAAACGCTCGTAGAAACCAACATCAATCTTCTCATCAATTTGAACTGTCTCTAAAGCAACTTCTGCCATTCTGCAATTGGTATTAGACAACGAATAAACGGCGATATAAGCGTCAATTGTGTTACGTTACAAAATCGTTTTGTTTTTAATTACGAAAGTGGTTTGGACTTTGAACGTCAATGAGGTCGACGACGACACTCCGATTGGTCAATAGGCCAATAGAAACGTTCATCTACCAATCGTATGGCAGACGCATTCATGCAACATCACGAGGCTTATCACCCTGATACTATTTTCATGCAAAAACGTCATTTTTAGGTATAATCCCCTTCGAATGTCATGATCTATTTTCCTGTTTCTTGTCCGCGTGAGCAAAGTCCAAAATTCTTTGCAATTCTTTTCACAAGTCCGCATGTAATGTGCACGTTTTCCTATCTGATTAATAAGAATGCAGTCTCGCAGGTGAAGATCTTTTGCTGAATTTTTTACACGGGCGGTACAAAATACTTAAGTAATAATCTCAATTGAAACACTGGATAACAGACTTAATAAGCACCATATGCCTTCAAATTGATAACTTAATACGCCGTTGATGGCTTGCCAATTTTTGCAGTCTTGCATCTGTTTCCCCCATCAAACCACACACAAAAAGCTCCTCTCAAGTGCTGAAGGAATACATCCCAAGCCAGTCAGTCTCAAAAAGGCCCACTGCGATTGTCTTGTTTTGACACGATAACATGAGAAATCTATACAATTTTACAACAAAAGATAGCGGTAACCAACAAATGTTGGCAAACAGTGCGGGTTTGCAAACCCCCAACAAAAACCGTGGACAACAAGTAGTTATGTAGACTATAGTTTGTGATAGATATGAAACACTTCATGGTTGATTCACACAACGAATGGTAAGGCAGTGTTTCTTTTAACTTTGCACTATCCTTCTCAATCCTTGCATCGCTAGTTCAAAGTTCACATTGCAGTTAGCATTAGTTATAATTATCTAGAATTCATTCATTTAAAAAAAATTAAATCTCGTGGCTGATTTTCTTTTTGTGTTGTCTTTGCATTAACGGTACTCGACTTAGTCGACTACCATAAGAGAAAATGGGCAGAGTGTGGGAATCAAAATAAGTCAGTGGGCCGAGTGGGAATTAATACACATGTGAATCTTCATTGGATTTTATCTGAATGTCTCTTTTTAGACATCAACTTTTTTTGTTCATCTTTTACACAAGTTAAAATTAAAATTGAAGAGACTATATTGTAAGGATTTAGTAAAATCTTAAATAACAAATCCCGATCATATCGAGATAGAAAAAAAAACAGACAGCTACTTTCAACGCAGCACATCTCCTGTCAGTTTCTATAACATACTAGAAAACAATCCTATACTTCGTCTTGAAAACAACTCCTTTCATATGCAAGAGTTTACACAGTTAAATACTTTCCTCGAAAGTTTTGAATACTTGCAAAAAAAAACAACATGCAAAACTATTTATCATACAGCATTGGCATTCGACAGTGAGAATCAGTACAGACTATTTAAGAACGTGATTTTATGAAAAAGTACGAGCTATTTCACAATATTTTCTAGGATTGGTTTCTACGATAAAAATTTCATAACATATGTGTTCCATAGGAATTTCATGGCTTCTCGTTCTCTCTCTATATACACACGATGGAAAAACTTGCGTTGAACTAAATGCACATCGTCTGCAATAAATACAAAACAACTAAATGTATAAAACTATGTTTAAATACATAAGTAACGTAAAAATAAGTAACGTAAAACTATAGAAAGGTAGAAATAGTACAGGGAATAGTGATTCCCAGATAAAAACGAATTTATTACATAAAAAAACAACACAGGTAGAATATATATAAGTAATGTTGTGGAAACTTTCAAATACCTTTTACTTGATGGACGATTCATTCAAGATCATTTACTGTTTGAGAGATAACCCTTAAGTTGTTCAAAATTTTTCAATAGAGCATTGTGTTTCTCTTGCTGGGAATTCAGTTTTAACTTTAGTTCAGCGACTTGATTATTAAATGTTTTTTCTAAGTCCTCATAATCTTTCTTCTGTCGAGTTAATTCAGCCTGATGCTCTTCTTTCATCAACATGTGTCTTTTGTCGTTCTCCGTTTTTTGTAAACGAACTTTTTTCATCTCTTCTGTGGTTGCTTGCATCTCCATACGAAAGCTAACGTGAAGAGAACAGAGTTAATAAAAAAATGCAATTTTCAAAAGTCTAAAAATATCAAAAAGGATCTCACGTTTCCAACACAGTTTCTTGACGAGAAAACTGCACCTAGTAATATAAACAATTTTCACGGAAATATTTATATTGGTACATCGCAAGTATTTTTCGAAGCAAATTATTTACTTACTAGAATCCATTGTAAAGCATCAAGTATTTGGAATGACGTACTTCCGCCCTATAGGTAAAGGTAAAAAACGACAATTTAAAACCCCCGTCAATTAAAAGTATTCAATATGTGGTTCGTAGTTTTTTACATACAACTTCCGGTTGTGATTGGGCGAGGCTGTTGAGAGCCATGACGGATTCACCTGAAAAATTTAAATGTACATTGATTTTTCGTTTAAACCATTGCATTCTCTTCATCATGATGGACCTAAAGAGTTTTTCAACCGACCAAACATCAAGTAATACGTTATTCTACTAGCAGAATCACTGTTACACATCTTACTAGCTAAACTGAGTCCACTGTCTCGTCTTTGGACATTGTTTTCCTCCGGCTTGCCTTCGGGTATTGTCGCCGTTTCCCATCGTAATGATTTCTGACTTGGTCGACGATCAAAACCACCGAACGTTTCGGCTCGTTTGGGCGAGTTGATTCTCTTCTCGTACGTGGCCGCTGCAATTTCGGAGTCGGAATGGGACTCGTGAATCAATGCTGAGTCAGCAGTTAATTGAGTTGTGCGATGGATTACGGTTAGAAGAAATGACCTATAAATTATTTAACTATTAAAGCACTTATTTTTTATAAAGCAAACACATGAAATTACTTAATCTTACTTTGCTTTCTCGATACTTGTTATTCTTTCATTTTCCTTTACCTAATTATAGAAAAAAGTTGTAATCATTTTGCACAGACATGCAGTCGCAGGAAAGTAGCTACCAATCAAAACAATACTTTTACTACCTTTCCGTTGCCTTCAGGCCATAAATTCTGTTGAAAAGACAAATTTTAAACCACCTTATTAGTCAAACAGAATCGAATAAAATTGCTTAAAACGTGATGCTATCACGTATGGAAAATCAAAAAGATACCTTCATATCGTTCACCAGCTTATTTTTTTCGTCGACTAATTGAGAGAGCTCATTATCCTTTCCTTTCATGATTTCTGAAAAATAGAAATATCACCAGTCCCTTCATGATGATTTTTGCGCATGTTAGTCAACATTTTACACTTTCTAACCTAACAAATCATTTCGCCGTTTCACGCGTTCTTCTGCTAATCTTTTTTCTTCTTCTTGCGAATAAAACAGTTCACCTGAAATATTGAAATAGAAATCAAAGCACTTTTCGTAAATCAAACTACACACTAATTCCATAATTTAACTAACCAGTATCTTCAGGCGCCTTTAAAATAGCCTCATTAATAATTTGACACCATCTAGATGAAGAAAAAAATCCATCGTGATCATTTTGTATTTTGCACGCTCTAAATTCACAGTGACAAAGAATGGCTAGTTAGTCACACACTTACTGTTTCTTCTCTTTTTGGCTGCTGCACACAAACTCATACATATCCGGTCTTTCCTTGCTTGTACTCACAAAATACAATGAACATTTATCTATAAAAGTCATCGAACATATATGTCACGTCTACTTATGCTTGAATAGCAGAAATCCTTATCATGCAAGGTAGAATTTGTTAACGCTCATGACATAAGCTTACCTGTAGCAACTTCTCGCACCATCAATGTTTTCAAAGCAATACAAGGAGACTGCAAAAAAATAGCGCATTAAATCAACGCGAATACTAATTGAAGTCATTTTCTTTTGTCATGCATGTAGCTAATGACAAAAAACGTACCTTGCCATCTATAGAAAGAAGACTGAATTTCTTATCGTTTTCCAGTAAGAATGCTACCATACTTTCAAGTAACACAACGTGTGTTTCTATAAAATGAATGCAAATTATTTTACAACAAGTCCCTATGATGGAGTGCCATAATGCAAACTGAAGTCAGCGTTGATGTAGAATGAGAGAATGTTGATAAAAGCAGCTAATTGTTCAACCTGTAAGTTTTCCTCTCGCGTTCTTCCATAGCAAATTTCCATGATGAATCATCTTGCTATTGTACTCAACAAAGCGACTGTTCTAAGTATCACAGAACGTACAATAAGTGTAAGAGACAAATCAACGTTTAGAATCTGTACACATGAACGGCTGTTCTGTCAATTCTTAAAATATAATTACCTTTAGTTTCACACCGTTCTTTAATACAACCCCACCCTTTTCCATTCTGGCTTTAATGTCCTTTAATTGCTATGACAAACAAAATAAAATTGGTATTTACCTACAAAAGATGATCAATATCTAATAATGTTAAGGTATCTTACTGATTGCTTTTCGTAGTCCTTGATGGCATTGTCTATTGCTGTCGTAGCATTCTTATATAAAGCATTAGAATCGTAAATGAAGCATTAGAATCGTAGTGTACCTTCTATACAACTTGTTATAATCTGCAAATTACAAACCTTAACAAGAATAAGGGCTGTTTGTAATTCTTTATAATCCGTATTGGATGCTATACAAATACGTGAAAAACATTTTAATGTTTGTCATTAATGTCTTTATTATGGTGGAAAAAACGTACACTTGGTGGCCTTGAGGATGGCCTCTATCAGCAGTGGGTATTTTGTCATTCTTTGTGTTACCAACGTGAAACATTCTGGGATGGATAAACGACGAACGACCCTGTGACTTTGGTATTTCTAAAAAACAAAGAAACTCACATCATCGTCCTTCAGATACACTACCATTCAAAGAAATATCCGTTACTCACATTAATAAAACTAGAGAACTTTTTGTCTGTTTTAAAGTAATGCTGCGTAAAAAAACGATAAAAATAATGTCAACTATAAGTTTCATTGCATAAATCTAAGGTTATGGACTTTGTTACCTTATAAAGTGCCACGGCTTCAGGGTGTTTACTGACAAACTCTCCATAAATTTGCTTCATCTGATTGCCATTATCACCACTGAACTGTTTTACAATCACATCACCTATATTCTGCACCACGGTATTTTCGTCTTGACGACATCTAAGGTTTCTATGAAAGCGTGAGCTTATTTCCACCAAGTCGTTTATTCTTGGAAAGAGTTCATTCAAGCGATCTGATGGAATGCTCCCTAAATTGCTGAGCCCGCGATAAAACACTTGTTGCATGATTTTTAAAGTCCGCACGTGGTGTTTCTCTGTCTGAATCAGCTCCATAATAACATCTTGTCGTTTTATTTCATGTCTGCTCATCTTTTTTAACACTTTCTTCTCAACGGTCACGCTCCAAGCTTCTGGTTCAATGTCGAAATTCTCCAAATCAGGATCAACATCAAAGATTATGTCATCACTTGCAACGTCCATTTCTTCCGGAGAGTCCGGTTTCTTCTCATCTTGATCTAGCAAATTTAATGTTGAAGATTTGCGAGATGTTCCAGGAGAGTCCCTTGTAAACGATTTTTGCCGACTGCTGTTTGTCATGGCCCCAGCCGAAGTCGGTTTCGCCCATAAATTTGATTGTTGCGCAACATAAGTTAACGATTCCCCTACATTTTTTGCCGCGGGCTTTGATCCCTTTCCGAGACTAATCATGGAAGACCGTAGCGTGTCTCGGCGAAAAGTTGGAGTGCGACCAGGTTTCTTCGTCGTCTTCGAATTTTTTGGTATAAAGAAGTTACTCCAACGTCTTTGACCAGTTTCCTTGGCCTCTATGTCATTAAGAATTCTTGAATGTGAGATCTGATTTAAATGGTCACTACTGGAATATCTCGATGGTAGGTCAGATTTCTTTGTGCGTCGTAGAACCTTTATAACAAAAATTTATGGTTGTATTATCCACCATAGACATACAAATATAAAAATAAATAGATACATAGATAAAAGAACTCTATTTAACCAAGTGAGCAAGTACCTGTGTCCACGATTGGCGTGCAAACCAAGCTAACAAAGATAATTGTGACAGGAAAGATAATATTTAAACAACTTACCGCATGATCTTCATTAATGCGTTTCCGTTCATTCTCTGATTCATTTTCGTCTTCTTTCATAAGACTTTCGGTTAGGTTTCTTATATCCCCATACGATTTGGCTTTTCTCGAAGGGTTGAGAACACCAGTTGGATTTTCATCGCGAATGGTTGCACTGTCATCAGACTTCACATCTTGCAATGAGGTCACAGATATGTTACTTCCACTTCGTGTGACGTGAGTTTTGACTCCGAGAAGGGGTGATGAACGTTGTCTGAAGGAAGAGCTAGTTAATGAATCCGACAGTGAAAGTGAAGATGAATCTTCAGCGATAGGAGAGGAATCTTCACAAATAGGTGAAAAGTCGTCATCAGTGATTGAAGAGCAATCATCTTCAAATCTAATTCGCTTTTTTGTATAGAGATCATTACTTGACTCTGTATCATCCGTTGCCAGTACACGAAATAATTGTTCGTTTCGATCAATATTGACTCCAGGAAGACAAAAATCTTTCACTTCACATTCTACATCCTTCAGATTTTCAAATTTTATCTTTGTACCATACACATCTTCGGCTAATTCTGACTTATCCTCATTATCATCTCCTACATCATCATCATTAACATTCAATTCATTATCTCTTTTACCAGACGTTACAAAATCAGATGAATAGTCTTTGCCTTCTGGTCTCAATTTCCAACCATCATCAAAAACCTCAGTAACATCTTTGCCAACCCTTGAGAAAGCAGAAGTTTCTTTGCTCTTCGAAGAGTCTTCGTACACGAATGAATTTTGTGCGCTCACAATTTGATCACGAGATTGATCTTCATGTTCAGCAAGTGATTCACCTTTATCTGATTGACTGTTCAGAGAAGATTGGGTATTGCTTAGGGATAACTCTTCTTTCTGAAACAAATCACCAGAACTATTTCCCAAACCATCCTCACCAACTAAAGCTAGTTTTTCTTCGTAATCATCCTGATTTTCACTTGACTTTCCTTCATCTACATTGGTAATTTCAAAACTGTCAATATCTGACTCATTTTCATTGCGCACAGATTCCTTATCAAACAATTCATTCCTGTTCCCATCGCCTGCTTTCAAAGGAAGAATCTCTTCCACATCGTTAAACGTGGAGAATGCTTTAGTTTCATCTTTGAAATATTTTTCGCCTGTAACTAAAACAGGACTAATTTTCCCATCCTCTTCATCGGGTTGATTTTCATCGATTTTTTGGTGTTCATTCAGCGTGTTTTCTGGATTATCATTGGCGTATGAATTTTTCTCATTCCAAGATTTTTCATCAATATTTTCATAATTCATAGTTACGGTGTTTGATTCTATTTCAGTTTCCTTAGAATTGACATTGCAAAAATCATCATCCTCAGTCCTTCCACTTGCGTTTTGCATATTCCCTCTTTCGTCTGTTGTCTCGTCTCGCTCATTTATCTTAGCTGAAAACCCTTCCATTGCATCATTGAGCTCTAGCTCCCTGTGATAAGACTTCGGGAAATTGACCTGATCATTTACCTCTTCGTTGCTGGCTGCAGTATTTTCACCTTGAATTGCATTGCAATCATCATTCATTTCAATACCTTCATGTTCCTCTTCTAAGGCAATGTCATCATCAACATCTACCAACATTTTCAAATCATCACTTTTAGATCCATTTTCAACTCTGTCATTAGCAAGGGTATGTTCATCGTCGTAAGTGCGATGTTCTAAGTCTACACCAGTATCTTCGACATGATCAATTTTAACATCCTTAGGCTCCATCATACTCCCAACAGCGACTTCGGTAAATTTTACTACTTTTCCATCAGATTGATCGCGACAATTGTCCTCATGATCGTTCTCCGTATCACTGTCTTTGCCAGCGCTAAAATCTCTAGCCGATGACACAAAACTCTCAGTACGATTTTCATTTTCAACTGAAAAGCTTGCTGTCTGAAGCAAGCCGTCTTTTAATACACTTTCTGAAGAGGCCGAAGCAAGTGATTCATCATCACTTAAGTCTGCAAGCGCTTTGGCAAAATCCTCGAGACTGTTAGATTGCCTCAATTCTTCTTCATTTTCAGAAAAAGGCAAAACTTGTGGGCCACCATACCAAGTACTCGGCCGCCCCTTTCGTCCAGTAGGTCGTGTTTCCAATTCAGAATCTTTTGCAAATGAGAAAGATGCGTCAGGAATAGGTGAGGCTGCAAGCGTGTGACTTGGTGGCGCTATAAAAGGTTCAACTTCGTCATCGTGGTGTTTGTCTTCCAAAACAGGGAATGCAATTTCTGAAAACAAAGAAGAAAGGAAATCAAAGTAACTGCTAGTTAAGTTTAGAATTCCATCAACGTTTAAAAATTGTTTGTCCCTGCAAAAACTATAGTTTATCAACTGCAATTGTGTGAGTAACTGATTTCAAACATGAATGTATACCTGGTGATTGTGGCTTTGTATCTTCTAAAGTGGAAGTATCTTGTTTTTGCTCATGATCAACTGTCAATCCGCTCTACAATGGTACCAAATCAATTAATTTCTATAGATATCATGGATTTAATTTCACACTCTAACCTCCTCCTTATCTGCTCGACTATGCAATCCATGTGGCTCTTCTTGGATATCGCTTAAGTGAAACAAATTCTCATCTAAAACACATAAAAATGTATGTTGAAAGACAAAATGAATATCAAAAAATGGGATTAGGTATTAACTTAGAATAGTTAATTCACCATGATTATTTTGATAGGTTTCCTCATTTTTTGAATGCATATTCACAGGCCATGAATGCCTTGAAAGAGGCAAAGCTCCCTAAAAATGAGAAATTACACAAAGTCAAAACATTAGCAATGTATAAATAACAACTTCTATCCAACCTTTTTTAAAAAAATTACCTTTCCATTCAGCTTACTCAATTCCATCAAAACAGATATATCTTCTTCAATGTTTTGACCTTTAATGTTGCTTATAGTTGCTGTACCCTTCTCAATATTATGTTTCACTTTTCGTTTACGAGTATCACTTGTCAATGTTCCATTTCTATGATTATCTTTACTACTAACAAATAAAGTTAAAATCAATAACATTCTTCATCATAGCCAAACTAATCTTCAAACAATAGCAAAAATTTTCATACTAACCTTTCTGCATCTAAAATCTCAACAAGTTCGATTCTTCCACTCTCACGTGCAACATCTCTTGGTAGTAAACCTGATATGTTGCACGTAGATAAAGCTTGATTTGCTCCAGGTAAATTAAGAAGCACATTTATAAAATCTTTGAGTCCATACTGAGCAGCAAAATGTAGTAAAGTTTCTTTTGGTTTATTTTCTAAAAATGCAAGCATATCCACACATTCGACAATACTATGAAAAAAATCTCTACAAAGTACAAATATTAATACCATTTTTACTGAAGTCACCAACTAAAGTCCATTCAATTGGGAGGTACAACTGAGCAAAAGCTTTTGCCAATCTTCTATCCCACAAACTGGAATTATCCTTTATGAGACTAACCATCCAATTTGCATCCAATATATCATTCTCATCTAAAGTACTTTGTGCCAAAAACTTAGCTATTTCATGCTCAATCTGCGAGGTATATGTGAACTTGAGGTTCAGTATTGGATGCTGCTTTTCCTCTTGGTACGAATAAACTTTTACAGCAACTTCTTCAGCAGTATCATGTTCTAAAAATAGCTTAAGTGCTTAGCAAAATTATTCAACAACTTATTCTTATATCCAACACCAAGACATGGTTAAAATCTAACCTGGAATGATTACATGAAGAGTGTAAGGATTAACTATGTCAGCAATAGCAATATGATATTTCTTTGATCCCTCAAACACCACGGCATAATTAACATTCAGATTGTGCAATTCCGTTGGAGAAGTAATAATCATTCCTTGATTGCCCTGTCACATTATACAAAGTTAGATAAATATTGTTATAAGAAACAACTGGAATGTTAACTTTTCCATTCAAATTCCTACTTATTGCCAATCTGATAGATAAAACTAGTTGATAGAAAATTTCAAAAACTTAACTTAAGACATTGTTCTGATCATATTTATATATGAGAAATGCCATAGACAACATCAAAATAGAAAAAATATGTCGTTTTCTCAATTTTACGTATTATAATGCTTACTTACTCTTAATTATTGTGTGGAATGTAGCAATTTTGTCATCATGAAAAATCAGTTGGTGGATACAAACAAAACAAGATAGGATATGATTTAAACATTTTCTGGTTTAATCATTCTGGCTTCAATACGTATTTTCAAAATCTAGTGAGGTTCACTTATGTCGTACAATTTGACAAAGTAAAGAATTTCATTCTCGTCATTAAAAGGAAGTCATTCGTTTTGTAAAAACGCATTTACTTACATAAGTGGCAGCTTTCTGGGGCTCAAGTGCTGGTGTCCACGAAACTAAAATCGTATAAAACGAGCATGATTTATCATAACAATCTTGTTCGTTGACACAAACTACAGGTATATTTTATGCAAATAATTTCGCAAGTACTAAACAGGCAATACATAACTGTCGATGATCACAGTCCAACGCAATAGTTTTTTAAAAGGAAAACGTGAAAAGAAATTGGCTATTAGTATGATATATCGTATCTTTTTACTGTTTACAAGCTATTGCCAAATGAAATTAAACCGTCTTCCAATAAAGTCAAACAAAACAATATATCTCCTCCCCCCAAAAATATTAATGTTAGGGTAAATGGCAGATTGTTAAAATTGTCACGATAAACGAATATGACGCAGGAAATGATGGAATAGGGTAACACCAAGGAACACCACGAACGTTTAGAATTTTAATTGTACGAAGTACAAACATAGCTTGGGTTGTCCTGTCAAAGACAATTTACCACTATTGATCACGGGAAAGTTATTGCCCTCGTCTATTTTTATTAATTCTAAGCAATTCTTCTGATATACTACAAGCACTGAATAAAGTTATGAAAGTATATGGAAACGTAAATCATGGACTTTCAAGGTAAAATAAGTTTTAAAGTGCCAAGCGAAAAAGCCGATCACGAAGGCTACATTTCCTGTGAGAGCGATTATTTTCTTCGAAATAACAAGTTAAATAAAAGACATAGATCAAAAAATGGAAAACTATCCAATTATGACAAAATTAAGAATACTTAAAAAAAACATAAAATTCGATACCTTGATGTTTAGCCATAGCATACGGCCCTCGAATTACGTTTGTTTTATGGTGAGGAGTTTGATGTTAGCATAACACGATTGCAGATGCAATTTCGATTAAATTGTAAGCCAGAACGTTTTCTTTCATCCATAAACATTTATAGGTACTATACCATCTTGTTGATTAAAATTTTAGGTTTTTGTACTAATCCATTTTGTATCAAATATATATTTTAGGCAGTGTTTACCAAATCATAACTTTTTGACTTGCCTATGCGCTACCCGGCTAGCCTTCGGTTTAGTCCGGTATTAACCGTGACGTGACGTGTATGAAGTAACACCATGGACACCACAAAATAAATATAACGTTATGATCCAATAAACGCCCCATATCAAATAAACGCTTTGTAATCCCTCGAAGCGCAAGGTAATAGCTGCCTCTTTAATAAGCGCCTCGTTTTCTAAATGACACACACAGTCGAGTTAAAATAACTGAAAGTCTAAAACCTTATGGTTAGTCTTAGTTTTGTTTTCAGTTTTTCACACTGCAATGATAGAAACAACATAAACACACCTCTCTATTAAACACCTTGCACCTTTTATACACTCCCCCTAGAGCCACTAAAACTTATTAAATGCCTGAGGGTTATTAGATCATTTACAGTAATAACTAAATGTCATTTGCCTAAACTAGGTCAATGATTTAAAGGACTGAATTTGTGAACGTAAATATGTAGCTGGCAGAATGACATTGATAATATTGGATACACTTACATCATTAAAATTCTAGCATACCAGTTCAACCTTATTATTATTACAATACTGATGATGTATTTCAATATACTTTAAGATTAATACAAGATGTTTTCCAGTTGACAAAAGTTACATAAGATAAATACAACAGTGTAAGTTTATTTTCTGTACCACATGGCAATTGGTTTTTGTCTTCGAACTTTCTTCTGGAGCTGAAGTATGCCATACAGGAGGGCTTCAGCAGATGGTGGACATCCAGGAACATAGATATCAACTGGAACAATACGATCACAGCCTCTCACAACTGAATATGAGTAATGATAATAACCACCACCATTTGCACAGCTTTATGAAATCAAAAGCATTATAATGAAGGATTTTATAATAATTCAGAAGGAATTGAAACCTAAAGCTGGAAATCTTATTCTTACCTTCCCATTGAGAGTACCCAGCGAGGTTCTGGCATTTGATCATAGACCTATTCAGAAATCAAACAACAATGTAGGTTTTTAAGACAATCTCAAAACATTACTGGTAACTAATAAATACCTTTCGCAGTGCAGGGGCCATTTTATTCGTCAATGTTCCTGCAACAATCATCACATCAGCTTGACGCTAAATGAAGTAAAAACTGATAAAAATATTACAGTAGAGAAAATATCTCTCCAGGTACATACTTACAGGGCTGGCTCTGAAAACTACACCAAATCTGTCCATATCATATCTAAACAATGTACAAAAATAAAAACAGTTTCTTGTCACAACTTGAAAAATTCAATGTCTTAATTGTAAGACTGGTCATTTCCGATAAACTGATGTCTATATGGTTTTATAACAAAGTACTTTAAGCATTACCTGGGCCCAGCAAAATGCATCATTTCAACAGCACAACATGCCAATCCAAAAGTCATTGGCCACATTGAGCTCTAAACATGTAGTAACTCAAGTTTAGATTAATTTGCAATTATCATAAATAAGGATTGTTTTATTTCTTGCCAAAATCAAGTTCAATAGACATATTTTTTGAGAAACAATTTTAACAATTGGTCTCTATGTTAGTTTTGAAATCACATTTTCTTTGAGTGCATAGGAGCAACAATTTTGATTAAATATTTAGACACAAGATGGCTTACTCTTCTTCCCCAGTTAACTAAATCATCAATCTTTGCTACAACATAATCTAAATAAATAAAAAATATAAATAGTGATAAAATAATATGAAACAGTGTACTGATATTATTGTTTAAAAATAAAAGTTTCTCTGGATTTTATAAATAATTTTATTGAGCTTTCGACTTAATGCTTCGAGCCTTCATCAGAAAGAAGAAATTATCTACTTACACTTGCTTTTAGCTTGTAGACGCTTAGAGCGTCTAATTGGATTAGCAGGTGGATTAATGTGATTGTATGGGGTAAAATGCATTGCCATGGGTTTTGATGTATTGTGACTACGATCGGTGTTAATATTATTAGAGTGTAATGTTGTAGTTTTGGTGTTGTTTGTAGTTTTTTGTCTTTTTTCTTTAGTTGTGAGTATATGGTGGGTATGTCGATATGTCTGTTTATTGTGTTGTTGTCTTTACTGTACCAAGCTTCTGATATTGTTATGGATATTGATATATGTGCTTACCAGCTGCATTATTTAGACGCCCTTGTTTTTTTGCAGGAACTGTTACAGCATTTCGTCTTGCTTCATAAGGTATGATTCTTTGAAAATGATTAACAATAGCAAAATTTATGCTGAAGTTGCATCTTGCATGTTATGTGTAGTATCTTACCTGTTATTATGATCACCCACGGAAATCTTTTTACTATAATGATTGCGAATGCAAGTGACTTGCAAAAATCTAAACAAATAAAACACCAATTTCTTTTTTGGGAAATCTATGAGCTCTTTCTAGATGAAAATTAGGGTACCTTTTGTAAATGATCTCTGTCAATTTTATGGAAGATGATGCTTTATAAAACTGCATGGTTGTCATCTAAAAAGACGTCATTTCACATAGATCAAAATCACACACACTGGGTTGATTTGAGAGGTTTTGCAGATTTATGTTTCATGACGTTTCTACAATACCAAGTACCCACTACCAAGACAGACTACATGACGAGTTTATTAAATTTTGCATGCAACTTCGAATGAAAAAATGATTGAACAAATTACAAAGCTGTTCGAACTCTACCTGTTGTTGTTGTAAACAAATTTTGCTGGAAAATTCAAAGTTTCGCAAGAAAATAACGAAATTTTAAAATTTTTGCCATTAAAAATGTTTTGAACATTTGTCTTTTTTGCCCCAGTCTCCTGGCGATGACAATGTGCGCGGGCCGAGAAGTGACGAATCACGAAAGTGAAACGTGAAACTGGTGATGTGCAAAATGTGTTCTCCAATGTCAAATTTCTCGCCTTCTGTATCAAATTTCTCTGAAATAAACGTGAACTTTGTATCTTCGTTCATTCTACGACAGCTGCTTATACTTTGAAAGCTCTGAGCGCTGCATCTAGCCTTATTCTATCAATTTCAATTTTGAATGGGGAAAATGCAGGTATTTTTTTCATCTTGTTAAATTCATTTTCTGTCTTTATTCATTTTTAAATTTCTCAGTACATTATCCTTTATGTTTTATTTTATAGAACTAACACATTTGACCATTTGTATTCATTTAATCTTCGAGTTCATTGTAATCGTGATTTGTTAACTTTTTAAATTTTTTTACAGGAGGCTGAGGTACAAAGTATTGAAGAAACTGGAAGACTTTTCTACCCTAAATTGCTCGATTTAAGGTTTCAAGGTATATTTTAAATGAATATAAAAACTTTCATTTTAACCTTTTAACCGTGAAATTTTAAGCCAATTTTCAGCCCTCTGTAATAATGTAATTTAATGCTGTCTTTATACCTGCAACCGCAAGTTACCTGCCAATATTAGGGCGTTGAAGTCGTAGAATTGGACGTGTACTTCATGGCAGGAGAACAATTGTTACTGTATGATAGAGACATTTGCAAATTCATATTGAGCTCTTTCAAATATTTTATTTAAATTTATTCTGATAAGTCAAGACATGTCAAGACATGACTTGAGAATATGCTGTGCTTAACTTCAAACATAATACATTGAACATTGTTGTATCCCCTGCAAGGAATACTGGTTTGCTTTCCCTTTAAACCTCTGATATCAGCATCAATGTCATTGGTACATTTTGCTAAACATAGATACATTATGGGAAATGCTGTAATAAACTCATCTACTTCCCTTTTCTTTGATTTCTAAACATGAAATCTTGAGTTATACCAATGATGTCTTGTCTAATTTTTCAACTGCTTTCATTAATTATGCAACCATTTTCTTAGCTAACTGAACTCGTGCCCTTGACTGGCTTCATTATCCCACAGTGTCTTTTGCTTATAGACAACTGTGCCACTCCAGCTGAGTATAATTTCCTTTGATATTTAAGCATTCATGCTTAAAAAATGTGAAATCAATGCTTTTAATAATTGTGAATGAGGTGAAAGGTCACTAGAGAATGAAATTATAGAAATAGAATAACGACTGTTCGTATTAGTTTGGTGGATGGCGTGATGTGGGCGGGTTATCTGCGCAGACGTAAAGTTTTTATGTGAAATATATTGCGTTGTGTTCTTGGTGTACTTATCAAAGAACTCGTTGCTTATTGAGGAGGTACTTTTTTACGTGTGTCGTTTGTTATTTGAGAGGATCCTTGTTTTTTGGCACACTCTGGACATGACGCTCTGAATGAGATTCTGGAGGTGTTTGGAACTTATTTTCTGTTTGTTCAGTACGCTAATATTTCTGTATAGAGGGTTGATGTTTTTATTTATTCGTTGATTGCGTCAAACGAAAAGATCTTCGTTCTCCTCTTATGTAACCTCGACGATTTATTGTCAGTTATAATACGTCTTATTGTAGACGCCAATCAGGCTTTTTGATACGCATCATATGCTCATGTTACATGATTATTTTGAATATTAGAAGATTATCAGAAAACAACCATCGATCATTTTACTGGTTCTTCAGCTAAGCTACATCGTGGATAATGTGTTGATGAAAGGCAGCCATGAAACTTAGTTGGGTTCATTTTGCATCGTTTTTTGCTATTTTTTATATTTTCTGTATGATGCCATGCAAGGTATTTGCTTGCACACCTTCTCTTAGTTGTGTGCCAATTGATTGTGAACTAAGTGAGTGGTCTTCATGGAGTAATTGTACCGTAAAGTGTGGAAACTCTGGTGTGAAAGAAAGATCGCGTAGAGAGGTAAACACTCTTTTGTGCAAAAATTCTATCTTTACCACCATGACAACTAAACGCCTTTACAGCAACTGAGAATCGTAGAGATGTGGCTTGATCTTTTGCGCAAAAATACTCGTTTAAACGTCAAATTTGCATGCTTTTTTCTTGTATGTTAGCTTTGGCACACAATTGTATTGTTCGTCTTTCGTCTGCTAATGACCTTGACTTGCCTTTAAGAAACACGAATAATTCTTTGAATATCAAATGCAACAGGTAACGTTTATATCAACGTTGTACCATGCAACGCCATAAATGGTAACGATGACCTCGGATGACCGTTGTTTGTGTTTTTCACGAGAAAACAACCCCTTTGCTACGTTGTAATTTATGAGAATGCCCTTTTTCAGTTTGCTTTTTATTCCTGCTAGCTCCGACATCCTGATTGTGATGGAAAAAAATGTCAAGGTAATTTAACGGAGAGCGTGTCATGTCCTGGAAGTTGTTGTCCGATACCATGTGTTTATCGGTGGACCATGGAGTCATCTTGCTCTACGACATGCGGGAACGGGACAAAACAGTTTAAACTTAAAATAATCAGGTATCCTCTTTGTGGAGGATCACCTTGTCCTAATAAAACAAGAAAGACGGAGCAATGTGGTGATGGAGGGTATGTTGTTATTACATTTTTTATTTCTTGTGTAGAACGTAATGCTGTGCGAAAATTATTGGCGTACTTATTAGAAAAATCGTCTTGCAAAAATTTACAGTGTGGATATTAACTACGATAAGAAAGAAGTCAGTGAACGTTTTTTTATTTCTGAATCACACTTTCCTTTCTCGAGGATATTTTACTCGTACTTGTTTCTCTCTAAGCGATTTTAGAAACTTCGTATTGGGTTACCGTTAGGATTCTTGTATAGACAAACACTAAGGTGAATGGTTTAAACCTGGGAGTATCGTTACATGTTTGTGGATGTAGATCGTCCAGGTAAGTAGAGTTCTGAGAAGGACTGTTGTTGTTGACATTTACTGACGCTGCGAGAACCTTAGCGGTAGTCATCTTCACAGTCAACAACAACAACAGTTCTTCTCAGGACTCTACTAACCTGGACGATCTACATCCACAAACATGAATGAACAAACACTGTCAGTCAACTACCAAAATATTTTCTGTTGAAAGCCAAGTTTTTGACAAGTAAAGTTAAGTAGATTATATAGTGCGACATACGTAGCATTGGTTTAATGGTAATAGTAAATATGGGAACGGATATTGGTGTTAGTATAATTAATAAACAGGCATCTGCAAATTTTACGGAAAATATGCTTTTGCTTGTATACAATGAAACCCACTCAGTGACAGCTATTGTCTTTGCTTCTTCAATTTCTACCATGGTGGTAACAAGTGTGATGACGTCACGCCAACTTGGTGTCAGAAGCTTTTTGTTATTACGTCACTGTTGCAATGCATTGTTGTTAATGACGTTCTTATGGTGATGGTTATATACAATCTTTTGGATATCTTCAAAGTCGACATCATCATTTTAGTGTGAACTATGATTGTCAATCGATATGTTCTAGTTTGTGTTCTTCTTCTAATTATCTTCAATCATCTCTGTCATGGTTGGCGAAGACGACGACGCAGACGTCGTTGGAGATGTTATCCTCGGGATTGTGTTGTATCTTCATGGTCTTCGTTTTCTTCTTGCACGGCTACTTGTGGATCCTCGGGCACAAAATATCGAACTCGTTATATTACAAGATATGCGTATTGTGGTGGCAGATGTAACTATCGAACCTACCAAAGCGTATCTTGCCCTGGGACTTGTTGTCCTGCACATTGTTCGTACTCCTGGACGGCTTGGGGTTCATGTTCAAAAACATGTCAATACGGCACGCGAACACGCAGTATTCGAGTTTGGAGAAATCCCAGTTGTGGTGGAAGAGCTTGTCCTTCCAGTAGCCAGTCTCAAAAATGTGGGACTGGGAGGTAGAAACAACTTATTTATTTGTAAAATGCCCAAGTTGTTTTTGTTGATATTTAGCAATTCATTGCTTATTTGTGTTTGTATTTTTTACCCCCCGCTGTTATAGAAGCGGTTAACGCTCTTCTTTTATTGGGTTTTTACTTTAATGGATGCTATTGCTTCGGATTTTTCCATTCTTATTGATGATCTTTGAACCACATTCTTTGGCGAGACTTGCGAGCAAAGTGCTGATTTTGTGTGCCTTATTATTGAAAGAGAATGAATGAGCAGTTTCGTTGCGCATATTAACTCGATACGTAATAATCATATGGTTTCATTCACTGATGCGTTCATCTGAAATTGTCAACGATTTAGTATGTGCTTTTGTGTGGGGGCAAAATGCAGCAATCTATATGTCAATTGTTTTATTATCGGGCATATTAAATGACTTCTGAATACAGAAGGAATTAATACTTCATCTTATTATCTCAAGAACATGTCCTGACACGTAACGCTTTACGTGCACAAGTGTTTTTGAAAGGATTTCTTCCTGCTGGAGAAGGGATATCACGCTAACTTCAAATGAAAGGATTTCTTCCTGCTGGAGAAGGGATATCACGCTAACTTCAAATTACTGCTTTCCACTCTTTAATGACGAAAGCTATTTTATACTCTTTAACTTCGTATGTTAAAGGTAAATTGAACCCAGGCCATTTATAATGTTTTCATCAATATGCTGCCGCTCTAATGTGATAGCATTCCCAAGTCATGACGTCACTCAAACTCCCCATCTTTCCCTTTAGTTGAATTTTCTACCGCAGTAATGTGATTGCATCCCCAGGTCATGACATTACTCACTTAAACCCCCATATTTTCGTCATCCTTACGTTAAAGGTTTTCCTGTTTTCAAAGGACGCTAGTTGAAACCTTGTGTTGTGTTATCCTAATGCTTCTTTTCATTCATTGTTTGTTCTTATCTTTGCAAGTTCGAATATGAATTGCAAAATTTATTTTACTAATATATTACACCAGAAAATATTGACTAGATCTATTAAGACGTTCTTTCATGTAACCGCGACATCGATCATTCCTAAAAATGAGCACAAACCTGTTTTACAACATGAACAATCTTAATGTCGGTGACGTTTTCATAAAATGTGTTAGAAAATTTAATTAAGTTCTCAAGAGTTCCTTGTTAATATACTGTTTGTTTTTTTATCTTAATGTTGGACAGCATCCCATATAAATTACACGCGTAAGAAAGTTAAGTAGTAAGGTAATTAAACTCGCCATATAACACATCAGGATTATATGGTTACAATTAAGAACTTACCATACTACACTATACGAAAATATTTTTTGCAAAAGGGAAACTTGCAGCATTGACGCAAGTTCAACAATGAAACAAGTGATTTTTATTCTTACGTTGCTTTGTTTCTGTCTCGATTTGGATTTTGCCTGTCGACGATCACCACCATCATGCCGTAGAAGAGACTGTTCCTATACGAGTTGGGGGAGTTGGAGTGCTTGCACGGCTAGTTGTGGCAGTAATGGGCTAAAAGTACGTACTAGATCAATAAGAACCCATGGAACGTGTGGTGGAAGTTCTTGCGACTCCAGTAAACTTAAGCAAAGGACCTCTTGTCCTCACACTTGTTGCCCTTTAAATTGTCGTTATACATGGAGTACTTGGTCCTCTTGCGGTGTGTCGTGTGGTTATGGTACGCGCCTGCGCACGATAAAGATAATTGCATCGCAAAGTTGTGGTGGTAGATCATGTCCTAGTAGGAGAGCGGAGGTTCAGAAATGTGGAGATGGACGGTAGGCGCGTGCTTTTTGTTGTCAATGTCTTCCTGCGACACGGGAAAGCTTATTTTAATCAGTGATTTTAAGTGGTGTTAAACCCGCCTTCGGCAAATGCCGCTTAAAACTGTTCTTCATCGCAAGTGAGATTTGAACTAGTAATACCATTATGTCTTTGTTTGCCGTGTTCGATATGTATTCCAGTCCATACAGTATTTCATCGACTTCTGTTGAACCATATTTCGGAAACACTAAAGATCTTTCTTATCTCATATTTCACACATGAAAGGTCTTTCCTATCCTTTATTTCACAGTAGTAATCTTTTCATTTTGTAATGCTCTCGTTTCTCAACAAATGCTCTTAATTTAAACGTAATTTGTGCTTAAAGATCGTACTTGCTCGCTTCAAATAGGAATTAAATTTATTTTCCTCTTTTTTTTATGGCTGATAAAAATTTTTATGGGTTTCTTTTGTTGGTATTTTTAAGAGTATATTCTCCTTTTATTTTCTAAAACATATCTATTTTTTTCAGATTGATTATTACTATTAAGTTCTACACCACTCCCCCCCCCCTCCCATTGTGATCATTGGCCGTACTCATTATGTATTTACTTTCATAAGATGTTGCCCTGTTAACTGTGCAGTGGGAAGTTGGGGATCTTGGGGGTCATGTAATGCTGCTTGCGAGAAAACTGGTACCCGCAAACGAAATCGTCAAGTAACAAGACAGGCTTCTTGTGGGGGGACATCTTGTCCAAGTCTTACAGATACTAAGTCATGCAGCGGCCCATGCTGTCCACGTGATTGTGTCATGTCATCCTGGTCTACCTGGAGCAAATGCTCATCTAGTGAGTGATTTTGACGTACTAATCCCTGGGACTATATTTCGTGTCTCCCTAAGAAGGAATTTTCATAATCATTAAAAAATACACATTTAATATAAACGACAACTTTTTTGAAAATAGACATGTTTCGACATCTCATGATGCCATCTTCAGTATGAATGAAATAATAGGTGATACAGGGTTTATATAAAAGTAATAGGATACATAAATTAGAACAATAAAAAGGAAATAAGATAAAATAATAAGGAGCGTCCGAGCGTATTATAAACTAAATATTGTATTGAATTTAAAAACTTGAACATTGAGGTCAGGGTTAGTTTTGTTAATGTGGAGTGCTTCTTTGATTTTAAGGGTGAATGAGGTGTCGGCAGTGTCGATGATTTTGAAACAAGAGGGTGAATAGTTGGTTTTGCATGAGTGAGATTTAAGAAGGTGTCGGTAGATGTGAGAGTTTTTGTCTGTTGTGGTATGTTCCCTTTTTCTGGTGGATAAATGGCGCGAAGTTTCGCCAATGTATCGGGAGTTACATCCCGCGCAATTGAATTCATATACCACCATAGATTTAATTGAATCAGGGATTGGGTCTTTAAATGAGAAAAGGGTTTTGATTTTGAATGATGTGAAAATTAGTCGAATGTCAATATCTGTACAGAAGCGTTTCATAATGTTTGTAAAGTCTGCGTTGTGTGTCGTGAGTAATGTCCGATGTATGGTAGTTTGGTATAGAGTTGTTATTTTGGAATTTTCATTTGTGTTGGTTGTGATCGTCGTGTCAGGAGTTTCGGTGTCTAGGTTGAGGTTGTTGCTATGTTTGTTGTCGAATATCGTTTACGGTTCTGTTAATAAAGTGAAGTGGGAAAGAGTTTCGTAAAGAGTGGATGTGATGTTTATGTCTCGTTGAAAGCCATTGTTCGTATTCTTAAGTTTGTATGCTCTGTCGATTAGTGTGCGTATACGTCCGGTTTTGTATGAAAGTGTGAAACTAAAATAGTTCGTCAGAAGTCCTGTGTACGTTGGTTTGTGGTATGTAGATGTTGTACAGCTGTCGTGAGATTTTGTTAGTAAAATGTCAAGAAATGGCAGTTGATCTTGTTGTTCAGTTTCAAAGAAAATCTAATGTTTGCGTGCTGTGTGTTAATGTAATTATAAAACTTCATGGCCTCAGTTTCGTTAGTAAAAACACAAAAAATATCGTCAACGTGTCTGCGGTAAAATAGTGGTTTAGTGTCGTTGTAGTTGTTTAGCCAGTTTCGTTCATGTGAGCCCATGAAAATGTTAGCAAGTATGGGTGCTAAGGAGGCCATCGCAACACCGTCCGTCTGGTCATAAAATTTTCCATTAAATAAAAAATGCGTCTGTGCTGTTGCTATTAAAAACAGTTGTGTGAGGTCTGATCTGTTTATACTGAACGTGGGGTTGTGAGTGAATATTAAGTCGATTGCTAGGTTGATGGTTTCAGTAAGTGGTATGTTAGTAAATAGGCTTTCAACGTCGTAGGAGATGAAGAATTTGTGACAAAGTTGATGAGTTGAAAAGATGAAGTCGTCGAGGAAAGTGAGAATCTTTAGTGGGTGGTCATCTGGTATGAGTGGTGTTAGTAGAGAACTAAGATACTTAGCTAAATTATAATTGTATGCGTTGATTGATGAAACTATAGGTCGTAGTGGAGGCGATTGTTCTGGTTATCGTTTCTTGTGAAGTTTCGGTAAGCCATAGAAGCGTGAGGGTTGAGAACATCTGGGGAAGATATCAATGAGGTTCTCAACCCTCACGCTCAACTTACACAAGCCATCACTCAACGAACTATTTTAGTTCTCACACCACTTCATACAACCGGACTTATCGCACACTAATCGACAGAGCATACAAACTTAAGAATCGAACAATGGCTTACTAAAAACTACATCTTCATTTACGAAACTCTCACCTGCGGAAACAGAACCGACGAACGTTTTGACTATAATTTTCAACAATTCCGAAAATGACAAACGTCACAACAACACAAATGACATTAACCTCGGCTCTATTTTTGTTTTACCAACATGAACTTAATTACGACAACGCGGCACTTACAAACTATGAATTCGTTTCTGTCAATTGCCATTTCTTGTTCACATCTTAATACGCTTTTCTTTTAAAACCCAATCCCTGATTCAACTTCTGGCGGTGGTTTGAATTCGCTTCATGAAATTCCCGATACTTGGCGAAACTTGCGCCATTTATCCACCAGAATGGGAACATACCACAACAGACGGCTCACATCCCGACAGCTTCTTATCCACCATGCAAACCAACATTCAAACTTGTTTCAAAATCATGATCGACGACTCTGATTCACTAAAATCAAAGATTCACTTCACATTAACAACTAACTGACCTCAATGTGAAAACAACTATTTAGTAATAATGCCACGCTCCTTTATTTTATCTTATTATCCTTTTATTCAATAATTCATGTATCCTAAACTTTTATATAAATGTATCTATTATTTCATTCCTGAATCTGGATTCATCTGTCTATTTTCAAAAAAGTTGTCGTTTATATTAAATGTGTATTGGCAATAGTGCTTTTACGAAATTATGAAAAATTAAAAATACTTATTAAATTTTCACGATCATTGTATTTTTAGGTGGCTGCGCTGTAAATAGTGGCACTAGAAAAAGGACTCGAAGGTTAATGACCAAGGCGTCATGTGGTGGCACATGTGGTCTAGCTACATCAGATACTCAAAAATGTACTCCTATTCCTATTTCATGTCAAGTAAGTGAATATTGGAGTCGATCTGTGAATGAAATTATTTTATTACATGCTCCGGATGAAAAATAGGAGACTTTGATATCCATGCGTGAAACTGTATATTTATAATACATCAATGTCCAGGTTAGCTCATGGAGTTTGTGGCAAGCATGTGTTCCAAGCAATGGCAGATGTGGACAAGGGAATCAACATCGTTCACGTAACATTACACAACAAAGTTATTGTAGTTCACCGTGTCCACAGATTAATGAGAGTCGAAGTTGTGTTCATAGTTGTTGCCCTGTCAATTGTCAATTAAGCCAATGGACGACATGGTCTTCGTGTTCTTCTACATGCGGAAAAGGTTATCTTAAAATCTTTTTGTAACGTCGTGTATTAGAGAAAAAACATACTCCAAATAGCAAGCATGTTGTAAACTCAAGACTCGAAAAAAGATTTTCAAAGCAAATGAAATAAAATGATTCAAAATCATTATCAATTGATTCTTGAATCCTGAGTTATCGACTAATCAACTGGAATTTTGAGTTTTCGAGATGACGCTGTTTGGAGCAATTTTTATCTCGTATTTCTTTAAATTTTCACCAAGAGAAAACTTTTTTTATATATATTTCGCAGTAATAAGGCGTCGTTTTCCGGTATATCTTTAGGCAAGTCAGATCGTACTCGTAGTGTGCGCATTCAACCAAGTTGTGGTGGTCGGAATTGTAGTATCTTGAGTGAGAGTAAGGACTGTATTAAATACAACGATAAAGATTGTGTCATGGGCTTATGGAGTTCATGGTCTGTCTGTGATAATGGCTGTGGTCACGGAACACAACGCAGATATCGTAAGATAACTCATCAAAGTGTTTGTCGGGGACAAAAATGTGGGTCAATCGAGGAATCAAGAAATTGTACTAGCTACAGAAATAGCCGTGATTGTGAGGTAGTTTTGTTTAAGAATGAAAACTGAAATCTTCATTCTATATATTTCACTCAAACTGTAGTCTTTATATACTTAACTTTAATTTCTGTATTCAGGTTGGCGAATGGTCATCGTGGAGTAAATGTGACCAACTGTGTGCCATTGGGAATAAAGTTAGAAATAGAAGGATCACATCGAACTTCCAATGTCAAGGAAGATCTTGTCCTCATCTCAAGGTATATCTGTGTATACGCGAAGTTTCTTTTTTCTCAATTCATTTCAGTCATACTGTTTTTGATTCTAGGAATCCATGCAATGTGGTTTACCTAACAACGGTTGCCAACACAAATGCAACAATGGTGTTTGTTCTTGTAGTGCCGGATATAATTTGATCGGCACCAAGAATTGTACTGCAAAGGATTGTGGGAAACTTGAATTGTCTTATTGTCCTTCAGGTATTTCGTAGTGACGTGTGTGATTTTTTAGATATGTAATATGTCTAAACTACTTAATAAAGTAGATAGTAGATATTAGTATTTTTATCTTACAATGCCAACTGAATTACGTCTTACTAGTTGATGAATACTATATTTGTATGTTTACATATATACGTTACATGTGGTTGATTTTGTCATTATTGTGAAGGTACGAATCATGGAACAACATGTGAACACCCTGTTGTTTCGTGTCCTAACAACCAGACTATCTTCTCGACTTTTTGCTCAATACTCTGCCCAAGCTATTACGCTCAAAAAGGTGCCAACAGTATTACATGTACAGCGGCCGGTACATGGTCAACAACTGTTGGGACTTACTGTCGAAGGATCAACGACCCTCCTTCTCAGGTTATTCGTACTTTCGTTTCATGTGCCCTGCTAAATATCTTTGTTAAACTATGCATGTTTGTTTTTCAGATTATTTTGTCTGGGTCTCAGAGTGTTCCTGAGAATAGTATTCTACGTACTCTTGTTGGAAGACTTTCGTCAGTAGATACAAACCCCCGGGATTTACACAACTATAGCTTGATATCCGGAGGTGAAGGAAAGTTTGTCCTTTTCGATGATGAATTGTACACGGATTTTGTTTTCGACTACGAGACAATGACTACAAGGTACTGACGTAGTTAACTCATTGATCTGTCTTTATGAAACTTGACGCAGGAAATGTCTTTTTGTGTTTCCATAGATATGACCTAAGAATCCGTAGTACAGACAACGGGAATCCTCCAATGTCGATGGAAAAATAATCCCAGTAGTTATTGACGATGTCAACGAAAGGCCGACGTCTGTTCAAGTACGTTGTTAAATATCGAAAGTTCTCTTTAAATATTAAAATTTTTTAAACTTTATGGATGTGAGATCTTTTCACCAGTTTATGCTTCTTCATTTCTAATTCCAGTTATCAAACCACTATATCTCTGAGAACTCCGACGTCGACACAATCGTGGGGATATTGTCTACCATTGACCCGGATAATAGCCAGACTCATTCTTATACTTTGATCAATTCTGCATCTGGAAGATTTAAAGTTAAAGGCAATATTCTTAAGGTGGAACAAACTAAAATCAAATAGTATATTTTGGTGAAAATATGCTAATAGATATGATAGCTTTCATACTTGTTTCATTCTAGGTTGCATTTAGTAACAGACATTGTTTCAAATTTGGTGGCTATTTCTGTTCATTGAATTTCGAAGTATCTCGCAGTCATCAAGTTACACTCCGAAGTACAGACAATGGAAATCCTTCTCTATCTCATGATGTTAATCTCACAATCAATCTGACTGATGTAAACGACCAACCGCGAGGTCTAGTTCTAAGTAATAACAAAGTTTCGGAAAATGCAACTGTGAGTGAAGTTATTGGAAAGTTCTCGGCTGAAGATGAGGATAGTGCACAGACTTTGTCTTATTTTCTCAATGATGATGACAAAGGAAGATTTACTGTCGATCAACGAGGATATCTATCATTGGCATTGTCAGCTAATTTTGAACAGGACACATTACGTAATATAACGGCTGTCGCAAAGGATAATGGAGTCCCAGTAAAAATGGTTAGATTCTATGTTGGAGAAATTGTCATGTTAAAAATCAAAGCCCAACTTCTAGAAAGTAAAAGTACACTTTATTATTATGTTTTATCTTTATAATAAAGATTCGTTTACTTGCTATAAGCTGGGCTTTGATATTTATAATAAGATAACTTTTCCCGCATGGAAAATACTTTGTCACCGTCATAATTTGTATGATAATAATACGAATTGTTTTTTAAATATATATTAATTGTTTTTCTATTTTAGATAGTGAAATCATTCACAATTCAAATATTGAAGGTAAACGATCCTGTAGTGAATTTGAAATTCATCGACATGAACAATCAGCACTCACAGAGTATTTCAGTGAAAGAAAATGCCAGTATATCCAGCGTCATAGGACATTTTGAAGTATCAGACAACGAAACGTCACAGGAACTGTCCATTCATTTAGATGTAAATCCATTTCAAGCGTTTTCACTGTCATCATCAAATTGTACTGATAGAAATCGTACGAAATGTGAAACTAAACTTGTCCTACAAAAGAAACTAGATCGCGAAATAACACAAGGTTTCCAAATTTATGTCCGCGTGAAGGATAATCAAAATAGATCCATCATCACCACGTTCAACGTATCGATAGAGGACTGTAATGATCGACCCTATGACATTACTATTGCTGGAGGAATGGAGACGAATATCGTTGAAAATATTCAAGGAGCGTTGGCTGGAGAATTGTTGAGTAGTGACCAGGACCTTTCTCAGACACACAGTTATCGTCTGCTCAACAACAGCGATGTGTTTGAAATACGAGACGATTTCTTGTTTCTTCACAATGACACGTTTCTGGACTTCGAGAATAAAAGCCAATACATTATTAAAATCCAATCTACAGATAATGGTCAACCGCCTCTGACGTCATTACCTCAATCCCTGATTGTTCACGTGATCAACAGAAACGAAGCTCCAATTAGGATTGATCTTACTTACAATAAGATAACTGAGAATAGTAATTCAGGGACAGAAATTGGATTATTTATCATAACAGACCCTGACAATTACAATTTGTCTCGTCAATTACATGTTTGTCGGCTCATTGATTCTGCTATGGGAAAGGTTGAAATATTGTATAAAAATGGCAAAAATATTCTTATTCAAGCTGCTCAACTTTTGGATTATGAACAGACACCATCTATGACAATCACGGTACGTTGTCGAGACCCCTATGGTTTATATAAACAAAGCGATTTTGTTATTCATGTAACGGATGTAAATGAACGTCCCGTCTTCGTAAAACTTTCAAATACTCATATACGTGAAAATAGTGGGCCAGCGGTTGTTGGTATATTGACTACACAAGACCCGGATAACCTTAACAACGCATCAAGACAGATCATACATTATTCCTTGATATCCAATATCCCTAGTCCTTTCGTTTTGATTGGTCGTGAACTGAGTATTAACGCTAGTTTAAATTACGAGAGCGTCAGGTCATGGAATATTCAGATACGCGCTCAAGATAACGGTGTACCCTCGCTCTATCTTGATGAATATATTGTTATATCAGTACTGGATGTTAATGACAAACCATATGCTATACAGGTACGATGTTTTATTATAAATAAGGCATTTTTACTTTGAAGATTTGTAATTGTGTTCAATAAAACGAAAAATGTTGAGATTTAGTCCATTTAGTTCCTTTAGACCTTCATCTTTTGCAATATGTATAACACTTATTTTATTTTTTTATCGCTCTCTTATAATGGTTTCTTTTTCTTTTCTTTCAGCTATCCAACAATGAAATAATGGAGAACAGTGATGTTGATACAGTTGTTGGTAACCTCGTTGCAATTGACGAAGACGTTGGACAAAGTCATATTTATAAACTTCTCGATACTGCTGGTGGACGATTCAAGATTGTCAACAATCAAGTTAAGGTAGTAACATACTTCGTTGTTGCATTTTTGCACATTCTCTTTTGTGTTGCACTATTTTAAACATAGCCGTAATCTTAACTTTTGGTTTTGAATGTAATTCGTTTGTTTTCTGTGCTTTTATACTGTTACTTTTATGTTGTTTTTTTTCTGTGCTTTTATACTGTTACTTTTATGTTTTTCTTTTCTGTGTTTTTTTCCTTCATTGTCCACTTTCTTGTGTTTGTGAATTGAGTTTCATTTGTTATTGGTACAGATCTGCCACAATGTGCTATAAAACAGTGAAGCCAATTTGTTTTTTTTTGTTGTTGTAGACATCACTGTCAAATACGTTATGTCTTCAATACGGTTCTTCTTTGTGTCATCTTAACTATGAACTCCAGCAGTCTTATAACATCAGCATTAGAGTAACGGATAACGGCATTCCTCTTGCGAGTCATGTTCAATTATTTACTATTTATCTGAATGATGATAACGATAGACCTCGTGACCTCAACTTGAACAATTGGGAAGTTTCAGCAAACGCCACTGTCGGCACGCTGATTGGTTTTTTAAGTGCGCGCGATGAAGATAGCGGTCAGAGTTTAATTTATTCGTTGGTCGATGATGACGGAGGGAGATTTGCGTTAAATGGAGAAAAGTTGGTTACTGCCAAGTTCTTGAATAATGAAACAGATCAGAATCGCGTTATTTCTGTTGCAGTCACTGATAACGGTTATAATGCTTTAAAGGTAAGGCATTTAATTTTTATAGAAATGTTTTTAGTATTAGAACATACAAACTTCAAATGTGTATTTTATGTTCCACAAAAAGTGCTTGGGTAATTTTTCTATTTCGTTGATACTTCATTTCTTTTTTTTTTCGTTTTAGACTATCCGTAATTTCACCATTAGAGTTTTAAAAGTTAACGAAGTTCCAATTGCTTTCAATTTTACTGAATCCATTGTCTCTTCACTGTTTGAGAATGTGTCGGTCCCAAGTGAAGTTGGAACTGTGTTTGTCTCTGACAGTAATGGCAAACAAGATTTCGTGTTTACATTAGATGATAATTCAAATGGGGAATTTCGACTAAATGGTTCAAGTAAGAAATGTGACAATTTCTCGTCACTAGCAAATGGAACAAAATGCTCAATCAAGTTGTTTCTCGTTAAGTCTCTAAATTACGAGAGAAATAAACGACGATCTGTATCGATTCGTGTAACAGACATACGTGGATCATCACTTGTTAGAACTTTCACTATAGAAGTCATTGATTGTAACGATGCGCCCACGAGCATTAGTTTGAATGGTGGTGTGTCGGCGTTAATTATGGAAAATTCCGCCGGAGCACTTGTTGGAGTACTGAGAACAACTGACGAAGATACATCACAATTGTGGAGTTACCATTTGCTTGAAGATTACAACCTGTTTAATGTCAGGGTTAGCGGTGATGAATATAATATTTTTCTGAATGAAAATTCCTCGCTTAACTACGAAAATAAATCTGAATTCAACTTGACTGTGATATCAAGAGACAATGGACAACCATCTTTTGTTGTCTCTCGAAACTTTACAATCTTCGTTGTGGACATTAACGAGGCGCCTACTCAGATACATTTATCAAAGCATGTCATCAATGAGACGATAGTTTTAGGAAGTGAAGCATCAGCATTAACAGTCGATGATCCCGACAACGTGAACAATGACGGACAAAGTCACTCTTGTCGTGTTGTTGTTGGTCAAGATAAGTTCAGGATTCGTGCTGGCCTATTGTTGAGCAACGTGAGGTTTAATTATGAAAGAATACCTTACGTGAACATCTCTGTGCAATGTGTTGATTCTGGAAGACCAAGATTGTACATTACACAACATTTTACTATCTTTATAAATGATGTTAACGAAGAACCAACTGACATTATTTTATCAAGTCTTGTTGTACGTGAAAACGAGAGTTATGTTTTTGGTGAGTGTTTCTTTATAGAACAAAATGCAGTGATATGAAATATGTCATTGTTAAATGTTTGTATCCTCTTCAGTTAGCTTATCAATTAATAAGGTCTATTTTCTTGTATCTTTTCCAGCAAACATCTCAACGGTTGATCCAGACAATGAACTGAATAATAGTCGACAAAGTTTCACTTACCGATTAGTCTCCACTTTGAAAGATCTTCCATTTCATATTGAAGATGGTAAAATAAGGACGAGGCAAGCCTTGAACTACGAGAAATCATCTACATGGAACATCACAGTTGAATCTCGAGACAGTGGAGTTCCACCTCTTAAAATTCAACGAAGTTTCATCATTAATGTTCAGGGTAAGTTGGCGAAACTTTCGTAAATTATTAATGTATATAATGAAAACCAAAGTTCAGTATTTCGTCCGTCGTGATTTTACATGATTGTCTTTGTTTTTTGTTCATTAAGACGTGAACGAAGCTCCAAGAAACTTACATGATTGTCTTTGTTTTTTGTTCATTAAGACGTGAACGAAGCTCCAAGAAATTTACATGATTGTCTTTGTTTTTTGTTCATTAAGACGTGAACGAAGCTCCAAGAAACTTACATGATTGTCTTTGTTTTTTGTTCATTAAGACGTGAACGAAGCTCCAAGAAATTTACATGATTGTCTTTGTGTTTTGTTCATTAAGACGTGAACGAAGCTCAAGAAATTTACATGATTGTCTTTGTTTTTGTTCATTAAGACGTGAACGAAGCTCAAGAAATTTACATGATTGTCTTTGTTTTTTGTTCATTAAGACGTGAACGAAGCTCCAAGAAATTTACATGATTGTCTTTGTTTTTTGTTCATTAAGACGTGAACGAAGCTCCGAAATTTTGAGTTCATTAAGACGTGAACGAAGAAATTTACATGATTGTCTTTGTTTTGTTCATTAAGACGTGAACGAAGCTCTAGAAATTACATGATGTTCATTAAGACGTGAACGAAGCTTTACATGATTGTCTTTGTTTTTTGTTCATTAAGACGTGAACGAAGCTCCAAGAAATTTACATGATTGTCTTTGTGTTTTGTTCATTAAGACGTGAACAAGCTCAAGAAATTTACAATTGTCTTTGTTTTGTTCATTAAACGTGAACGAAGCTCCAGACATGAATTGACGTGAACGAAGCTCCTAGAAATTTACATGATTGTTTTTGAAAGACGTCTCCGAAATTTACATGACATTAAGACGTGAACGAAGCTCCAAGAAATTTACATGACATTAAGACGTGAACGAAGCTCCAAGAAATTTACATGATTGTCTTTGTTTTTTGTTCATTAAGACGTGAATGAAGCTCCAAGAATAATCACTCTTTCTCCAAGCAATGTGAATGAAAATCCAGAAGAATGGCGACTAATTGGAAAACTCTCCGCTACTGATGAAGACGAGAATCAGACACACACGTTCACACTGACAGTGATTCGGGAAGATTTCATGTCTTCAACTCTTCTGAGTCGCCATCTCAAACACAAACTGTCTTCTATTTGGTGGAAAATACTGTTTACTGAATTATGAAGCTCAAAGTACTCGAGTGATTTCCGTACGTGCTATAGATGATGGGATACCTCCGTTGGAACTTACTATGAATATTAACATTACACTTGATGACGTTAACGATCGTCCACGTGACATGACGTTGTCAAAGAGCTGGATCATGGAGAATGCACCCTTGAACGAGACAGTTGGTTATTTTAATGTGAATGATGAAGATACCCGAGATATTCTTCGTTTCAGTTTAATCAATTCCACTTACGGTTATTTTAAAGTTGATGCAAATGGACGTCTGTCTGTCAATAAGAGCACCAATCATGAAGTGCACGAAATTGAACATGTAATGGTGCAAGTGGTGGACTCGGGAAATTTGTCGGTAAGTGTGTGTAAAATAATAGAAATAAGGCTTGCTATTTAAACTACTTTTTGACTCATTGTAAAAGATACTGTCAATTTTAGATACAGCAAGAATTTACGATTATCATCAGGGATTCACAGGAGACGCCATTCAACATTACTTTGACCTCAACTCATGGACAGAAATCGTATCCCATGAATCATGCAAGAATAAATGAAAACTCGCAATATGGAGCAATCGTTGGAACTCTAGTTTCATATGATCAAGATGTTGATCAATTTTTGTCATTTTCACTGGTTGACAGCGCAGGTAAAACATTTATCGTTGTGCATGCTACTTTTCCTGAGAAAGATCACTGTCTGTTGCAACAATGACTAAGACTTATTTTTATCTTTTAAGGTGGTCGATTTTCTATCAATAACTTGACAAGTTGTCACAATTTAACTTCTGTTGCTAATGTCAATACAATCTGTTCCACTTATTTACTTGCGGTGGGTAATCTAAACTACGAATCATCAAAATCTCACAACGTTTTTGTTGAAGTGTCCGATGGTATTCACACTCTTGTAGCTAACTTTACTATAATAGTTGATGATGAAAATGACCCTCCGGAGAAAGTAACCATACAGGGATTAGCCTGGGGTCGAGTAAAAGAAAATAGAAACACAGAGCTTATCGGGGAATTAATCACAAGTGACGAAGACATAACCCAATCACATGTGTACACTCTCAAAGGAAGTGAAAAGTTTATTCTTCGAGGAAATAAACTGTTTACGTCAGCAGAGGCAAATATTGACTTTGAAAAACTTCAGACGGTTGATATAGTTGTAATTTCAAGGGATAATGGCATACCTTCAAAACATGTTAAACAAAATATAACTATCATTGTAAGTAAAATATTTTTTTTCTTTCTATTTTGTGAAGTGCGATATTTTCTTCTTTAAAAGTATTTTCACCTCTCATAATTTCTTTATTTTCAGATCGACGATGTGAATGAAACTCCAAGCAATATAAGCCTGAGTGCTTCAACTGTGAAAGAGAACAGTGAGCAGGGGACATTTGTTGCTAACATATCCGTTGACGATCCCGATAATCATGGTCCTAAAGGGATCTGGCAAACTCACAACTGTTTTCTAATTGACTCCGCCCAAGATCGTTTTAGAATTTTGAATAATATGAACACTCTCGTTGTTTCATCAGGTGATTTAAATTACGAAACATCTACTCTTCACACCATTATCGTCGAATGTCGTGACTCTGCTCGAAAACCATTGCGCATCCAGAAGTCGTTTGATATTGAAGTCGTTGACGTGAATGAAAGACCACAGAAGATAATACTTTCTAATGCTAGAGTACCGGAAAATGCAGGCTCCTTGCTTGTAGGGGTGTTAAGTACATTAGACCAAGATAGAAACCAATCGTTCAGCTATATCTTGCTTTCTGTTGGTGCACAAGATAGCTTTTATGTAAACGGTACCCAGCTTTGGACTAAAGTTAACTTAGACTACGAGAAAAGAAGTACATGGAATATAAGAATGGAAACTGTTGATCAAGGAGGTAAATATATTAAAACCTCGTCAAAAAATAGAAATTCGTACGATCAATAATCGTAGAAATGTACAATAGTGCTCACGTTCTTTCATTCCAAGGTCTGAATTTCTCGCAAGCTGTAACGATATTTGTGGAGGATGTGAATGACCCACCTAGAAATATTTCATCCATGCAACCGCTGTTTGTAAATGAGAACAGTAACGTGGGCTCTGTTATCACAGTTTTTTATGCTGATGACGAGGACGCTGGTCAAACTCATCGCTTCTTCATTACAAATGTCACAGCCTTTCGACATGATATGACAAGGTAAAGAATCTACCGTTGCACAAAATAAAATAATTCAGTTTTTATACCTGTTGACTTTCACCTTCAGGATCTATAGTTATCAGAATGCGTTGCTTTTAAATCCAACTTCTGGGAAACTGACTGTGGACTCTCATATAAACTACGAGTCGATGACAAAGATTTACTTGGGAATAGAGACTCGAGATAATGGATATCCTTCTTTGTCATTTAAAAAGGATTTTGTCGTGAATGTTGTCGATATCAACGAACCACCGAGTGATTTGAAACTGTCGAATAATCAGGTATCTTGATTGCAATGAATGTTGCTTTATAGTAATCTATCATACCAGCTGCATTGTGTGTGTTTTTGCAGATATCTGAGAATAGTGATGAAGGATCTTTGGTGGGAATTCTTAACGTAACGGATCCGGATAACATTATCGAAGAGAAACAATTCTATTCTTGTCAAGTTCTGAATGATGTTCCTTTCAATGTCACTCAAATGCATCTCATCGTAGCTAGAGATGTTTTGGATTATGAAAATATTGCAGATTATACTGTCAAGGTATACATGTAAATCATTCATTGTTGTCATTACTATCACTTATTGTATGTTGTCATTACTATCACTTATTGTACCTTCTTGTTGTCATTACTATCACTTATTGTACCTTCTTGTTGTCATTACTATCACTTATTGTACCTTCTTGTTGTCATTACTATCACTTATTGTACCTCTTTATTTATAGATCAATTGCAGTACTGACGAACCCAAGCTTTTCTATTTCTAAATCGTTTTCTGTTCAAATAACTGATGTAAACGAAGCGCCTTTCAATCTCGTTTTAAATGGCTCTTCTGTTATGGAAAATCTACCTCCAAATACAAGAATTGGAAGTTTGTCTGCTCTTGATCCAGATCAGAACAATGTAAGCGAGTAATTTTCATTATGATCAAATTAGGACAACTAAGAACAATTACTTTGTCTAGAGAACGTTTTAGTGTAAAAGTGTTGCACCTAAATATAATAGCGTGACTAACTTTCTTCTTTTACATACATTGACTGGATCTTTGCTTACTTAATGTAATAGTGTGCTGTCGTAAAGTATAATATTCCTAAATTTTTACGATTTTGCAGGTGATATTTACATTTGCTGAAGGAACATCTGATTCTTTCAAGTTTTCAATCAAAGAAAGCACATTAATGACGAGGGCGGTTTTTGATTACGAGCAACAAGATAGCTACGTCATAAATGTAGTTGCGAAGGATGACGGGATACCAAGTGTTAACGAAACCAAAGAATTTGTCATCAAGGCAGGAAATTTTGCGAAAGTCTGTTTTATTTGGGGGTTTTTTACAGCATGAGGATAAAAATAACGTTTTTTAATTGCAGATTATTGACTCAAATGATGAGCCAAGCCACATCATATTGAATTCGTCTGGTATTAGAGAGGATGCTATAGTTGGAACAATTGTCGGAAGGTTGAAGACTCATGATCAAGACGTAAATCAAACGCACTTTTACTCTCTTCTTAATCTGAACTGTAAGACGAAATTAGGATTTTATTTTTATTTTTCTCATTTCATCTCTCTTACTAAAACTATGTTTTTCTTCTTGTTGTTTTCTGAATTCTAGCCACCTTTTTTATTGTTGGTAACGAAATATTAGTGAAAGAAACGAATCGTCTGGATTACGAAAGTGCTGCAGAAATGAGAGTACTTGTAGAAACTACTGACAATGGGATTCCATCATTGTCGCATCAGGTAAAACAAAACGTGACTAAAACGTAGAACAACTTTTCAAATTCCTGAAACTTTGCCATATTTCTAACATCAATATATTCCTTATGCAGAATGACGTCATCATAAATGTGATTGATGTAAATGAAAGACCGTATGCCATAAGAAATACTGGATCGTTATCAGTCAAAGAGAACAGTCAAAACGATACTTCAGTTGTTTTTGAAGTTTTCGATCAAGATTATAATCAATCTCATCGTTGTTATATTTATAATTCTAACATTTTTGAGATAAACAACTCGGCTGGCGAGTTTATACTTCGCGTTAAATATGGAGCTGTAGTCGACTTTGAAAAAAACCCAATTACTGCAGGTATGACCATCGCTTTCAGTCTTTATGTTTCCACTTAAATGATTCAAATCCTTCAATTAGATCTATTTTCCTTCAGTTAATGTGACTTGCACGGATAATGGCAGTCCACCTCTTAGCAGCTCAGCGTCGTTCAATATCAACATTGAAGATGTAAACGAACCTCCTGTCGATATATCATTAAATGGGTCTTATGAAGTCGATGAAATCGCATACGTGAATTATTCTTTGGGGAATTTGATTTGCAAAGATTTCGATCGAAATCAGACATGTTCATTTCTTGTTGTTGGCCAATACAATAACACGTTCCGTGTAAGTATAGGGTTCATTTCAGATTACATTAATTGAAATTCCTGGAACGAGTTAGTCCTATATAGAGTTTCTTCGCCAAAATGAAACTTTGTAATTATGTTTTACATCATTTATTTTAATGAAAGTCTTTTTATGTTTTAAGTTTCGAGAATAGGGTGTAATGTGAATAATAAAAAGTCTTAAATTATTGATCTTATCGGGGTTTGAATTTGTAACCATTTTTGCAGAATTCATTCGAAAGAAGTAATATATTTTATATACTTTTAGGTCATCCATGGTACAAATCTTTTAACAGTGATCTCTAATGTGGAACTGGACTACGAGAAATTGCCTCATCCTTATATAATGGTGACGATTCAGGCAATTGATGACGGTGTTCCTGTACAGTCAATGTTGAAGCAACTTAACATTACTGTCAACGATATTAATGAAGGAGCTAACAAGATTTATCTAAAAGCAGGCGATGTTACGTTGAGAGAAACGACAGAAATTAACACTAATATCAGTGAAGTTTTATGCAATAACCCGGAGAGATGGCAGACTTTAGAATACACGATACTCTCGGATGCTGCCACGTTTTTTATAATCGTTAAAGTCCCTTATAACGTCACGTATGCACCGCCTATATTAAACGCAATAGGAAAAAAACAAGCAAGATTTGAATTGTTTAGATCATATTTGTTCCTGAAAAAACACTTGATGAACTTCGATGCTCGTTCAAGTTATGATCTTCTTGTTGAAGTGAAAGATAACGGTCACCCCGTGAAATCGTTCATTGGTGTTATCTACATTAACGTATCGAGAGTTGATCCATGTGCTCCAACGAACAGATGCAGTGAGAATGCAGTCTGTCACAGACAAGATGGCTTTAATTACAACTGTCGTTGTATGGATGGTTATACTGGTGATGGTTATAACTGCACTGACATTGATGACTGTCAACCATCCTTTGACTATTGTGATGAAGTTCAAGAATATCCGTGTCTTCCATGTAAACACAATGGAAAATGTCATGATCAATTGAAGACCTTCAACTGCACCTGTCTTCCTGGATACAATGGCGCTCAATGCAATCATAATATTGATGAATGTGATCCCAGAAATAAATTCCCTTATAGTTGTCATAAAGATCATGGCTTGTGCATTGATCATATTAATAACATCACGTGTAACTGTCACCGTGGTTACGATGGCTGGCTCTGTCAAACTGATATTGATGATTGTATTGGGGAACCTTGTGGCCAACATCCTTGCACTGATCATATAGGTACGGCTTTAACTCTCTCGAAAACAAACAAGGAATATGTTAAGTAGTAAATATGTATATTTTTATTCTTGTTTTTAATATCTTCTTTCCTTTCTCTACAGGATTCTACGAGTGTCATTGCGAGAAGGGCTACATGGGTTCTAGATGTGAACGTCAAGTTGGAAAACACGAATGCCTTAAAGATCAGACATACATACCATATCGTACCGATCACAGTGAAGACGAAGATTCTAAAGACTCCGACAAGAAAAGAAATGAAAACGTTTGCTTTTCTGGTCAAAATATCACCATGTTACACCTGAATAAAACGTTGCTCGAAATGTACGGTGTTTCTTTTGAAAACTACGAAGCATTTTCTTCTGCAATTAAGATCGAAGTGGAAGATTGGATCAAAAAACGGCTTCTTGTTTACTTCTCTTATATAAACCATTTTACTAAAGATGGATACTTCAATGTCAGCGATGTGAGTGTATTGAATCCTATTGTAAATTCAGAAAATATTTCACTACCTATTATTGCTAGAGTTGGTGTGAAAGCTCTCTCACAAACCGCTATTTTGTGCTCTCTTCATCAATTACTCAACTGCACGCAAAGAGCTGGATACACGTCCTATACCTCCAAGGACTTTAGCTATATGGACTTCATGTGTGTCAGCGATGAAGATGTGAAGAAGTTACATTGTCAGACACGCGAGGAAACTCTGGGTGGACTTACAGGAAAGGGCTCTAAGAAAGGGGGCTTACAACGGTGGTCTATTTATTTGCTTGCAACGGTTGGGGCTATTTTGTTTCTCTTTGTTCTCTGGTTCGCCCATTACGCTCTTAGTTCACATAAACAGAACCTTCAAAAAGCACTGCGTAATCGACAACAGTTTGATCACGTGAGACTACCTGACGAGGAAGAAGAACATTATCGTGACGTCATGTTTCGTCATCATATTTCGACCATTGGCGGAGAATCAAATCCAATTTATGGCTTGGACGAAGATGAATCTGTTATGGTTCCAAATCCACTGTATGGTGTATCACGTGGTATTGAAACACCAATAACAAAACGCGGCCCGTCGTTTGCAAATCCACTCTTCGCTACCAGGGAACAAGAAGATAGTCTGAGCTCCAAATCTGCTGGGCAGCCTCAACCAAGTCATGATAATTGATTCGTAGAAAATGAAAAAAATCAGTCTCGTGTGTATTTTGTCTTAACTTAAAAAGTCATTTGATTTTCAATACGCTTTTTTAATCGTGAATTATTCGTAATGGGATTTTAAAGGAGCCAGTCTCTGGAATCATCGATTCTTATTTGTTATTTTAACGTACTTTATTTATTCATAAAACGTCGATTAAACATTTTCTGTTTTCAATCAAAGGTTAAAAATGTACTATGTCTGACGTTTGCGTCAAAAAAGCTTAGAAAGAGGTAAAAATTGAGAAGAGATTTTCATTTGATAAACACTCAACTCTACTAGCACGACTAAGTTTGCTGTGTTCGAAACATGTCTAACACCGTTGTACACTCTCCTTGGATATAAAACTTTTTCCATTTACTTGAATTATTTGTATAAATGATTTCTAAAATAAAAAATGCCATCAATACAATTTTCTCAATTTTTTTCCCAAAAAAAGACATTTCTGATATGTAGTGGCTGTTTTTATTTCAATCAACAAAGTGTTCTAGAAGATTTTGAATAGCAGATTTCTCACCGATTAACTTTGATTTAAAATAACTTTATACTTAGGCATACTTTGCAGAGAAGACGTCTATCTGCTGCAAGAAAATCATTGGACTCCTCAATTTCATCCTAAAACGATTCCTCGAAGATTTTGGGAAGAATTCCGAATCTCTTACTGAGTTGTATTAAAAATTTGACACATGCGAAACCTCTTACAAAGTCGGCTGGTCATGCGGGAGGGTAAAATATTTGAAAATGAACTTACTGTTGACTAGAATGACATACTTCTAAAATCTACAAAGATTATGTCATTATGTCGGCGGAAATGAAACGAAATTCAGAAATTGGATGAGCTCAGGAAGAGAACAGAATTTGGACACTTTATTAGCATAAGGATTTGTTTCAGCAAATTGTCGAGTTTTTAGTGTGATATTAGACATGATATTCATATAATATGGGTCTTTGCATGCAATTGATTTTCCAAAATTCCATTTATAACTCTCATCTTCGGTAAGATCTTAATCATCGCCATTTTCTAATCGATGCAATTTCTTTTCCTTTTTAGAGTTTGCTTTGTGTGATGCCAAGGAAAGGTAAATTCTGGCCAAGTGATGAATCATGGCCAGTGACAAGCCGTTCAAATCTGGCTACAGCGAAATTCATCTATTAACCAACGCTCAAAGTTATAATTCACATGGGACAACGTATTGAGAAGCGTCCTTTCAAATGTTGCAAGTCTTTCAAACGATCAACCGAGCTGAGCAGATACGTGAAGTCACGTGTGTTGTATTAAATGTTACATTATGCATAGTCATAAATACTGAAGTTGATGTATTTCAGGTCTAGCAAAACTGGTTCTATTGGATGGGATAGTTTGCCAACAGTATTTTGACCTTTTCCATTCCTCTTTTTATAATCTTCTAGTAAATTTGAATTTTTTCCACTCGAAAAACTACGTATAGTACAATTTTCTTCAGATGTTTTCACATTTGACCTTGTTGTCTCGTTATTTCGCTCGTTCATTCCTCCTCTTAACTCTTTTATGCTTCGCAACTGCTGCGTTGTATGAAAGATATCGGGTCGAGTGGAATCATCTTCTTCACTACTAGAGATTGAGGGTGAATGTTGCGGTAAATAAGGGATAATAGAGCTCCGAGAGATGGCTGGTAAAGTTAGAGGTTTTGGATCATCTGAATCTACCGAAGTACATCGCGTTTCTTCTATATTAGATGAAAAAATTGGGGGTGTTATTTCTTGTATGATTGATGAGAAACTAGATGTTCTTGATGACGAAAGATGTTGGCAGTTAGTGAGATCGGTTTCTACTTTTGTATCTTCATAACCTTTCTTATCATAAAACATTGATGCTCGTTTTAAATGCATCAAATGCTTTCGTTCCGCTGTTTCTACAGAAGGTAATGGTCTCAAATCTTCCATTATTTTTGGTACTACATCGATCAAACCACACTTCACTTTTCTTCGACAAGTATCGCAGTATTTTGGACCCAAAGAATCACAAAGCAACGTCGACGTACATCGGGTTCACTTCTCTTTTCAGAAAGCCTATCACAACAGATGAGCGAGCTCAGTTGAGATATTTCAATTCTCTCTAGTTTTGCTGAATGCTTTCATTTGCAGCAACAAATTGTAATTTTCTTTTAAAATCATAGCGGTAGTCATTAGTATCCGCAAATGATGGTTTGTAATCTTGACGACTTGATATCGACGTAATCTCCTTATTACTGCATAAACGAACCTTGATATAGTCAAACGAATACTGCCCTGATATTATCTGCTTTTTCTCAGACATCTTAGTTCTTTTGTACGCTCTTTTTGCCATATATTGAGCACAATTGCAGACGGATTCAATAGCACCTTCAGACAAACACCACAATTTTCAATGATAGTCTACTCGGATTACAAATGTAATATGTATGCAGTTGATATTATTAGGTAATTAGTAGTGTCAACAATAACATGACTTAAATACGATTATGAATTTTTATTAATTACTACATGGTCTAGATCTCTATAGCTACTAATGTCACGCATAATGTAAACTGCGTCAATTCATTCACCTACATAGTTCAATAAATACAATACTAAAGTATATATATAAGAAACTATTACTTATTGCCTTTAATACTTTCTCGAAATGTTGATCGTTTTGAATGATTTGCATGTATTCTTCTACTCAGTTTCTCTTCCTGTGCAAAAGCATATCCACCTCTTCTCAGAGACATTCTCGTACTAGATCTCGGTCTGATTCTCAGTAATTTTGCAGGTTCTTCTAACTGGCCACTCTTCCATAACAGACGAACGCGATCAGAAATAGTCGGCATAAGTTCCAGACTCATAGTGCGATAAACAAAGACAGGCAATATACCTACTGCAGGAGTTATTAATGCACAGAGCCAAAAGGAGCCTCCCCCGTAGGTAGCATATTGTACACCATGATATGAATTTTGTGGTGTCAGTTTGAGGACAAATGATGAATAATAGATAAGATAAAATAGAAGATGATACTTCCCCAAACGGAAATGTGATTGAGAATTGTCCAAGAATGTAAGTTTAATGCAAGCTGCAAGGAAAAGAGAAAGAATGACTTCACGTAGACACTGCTTAGTCAAAATTCATGTAGCCCATCAACAAACCTGTAAGTTCATTGTAATAACAAGTGTTGCTGCAACTACTGTCCCGAAGAATTGAAGGCCCGACTCCACGTAACCGCTACTGTTTATGTAATCATGATAAATGCCATAAGGAACGAAAAATAGGATAAGGGAAACAAGGACGCCGTGAAGAAGACTGAAAACAAATACTCTCCAATTGAATAGAATATTCTTTTGGCCAGGAACATATAATTTAGGGAATTTCAAAGAAATATTATCAGGAAGATCCTATAGGTAAAAGATCAAACACATGAACAAATGCTATTGCACTAAAAAATCAGTGAAGAAAGATTTTATTACTTGATCAAAAATGCCCATAACAACGACAGGCAATGAAGTGAAAAAGACATTATAAAAAGATATGAACCAAGCATCATACAACGTCTGAAAAGAAAAAAATATAGCTAAGTTCAAAAAAGGCGTAGATCATGAATGATTTATAATTTTAAACGTGTTGAGCATTTCAATACATTACCTGCGCAGAGAAACCAACAAAGAAAGCGAACCAAAGCTGACATAAAGTGAACGCAAAATTCTTGTAAAAAAAGTAGCTTAAAAATTTCGCCATTCTCAAGTAGGACCAACGACCATGAACCAACAACAAACGTTCCAGAAACGTACAAAAAATAGTTAAGAAAATACTTCGAGAAACCAGTCATGAAACATTTTTATAATATTCCGTATTTTCACTAAAAAGGATATCGAAATTGCGCAAAAGAGTAGTCACTTGCCAAAACAGCTTGCATTCCTTCTTGTCCGCTTATACCAACACCTATATGAGCCGCTGTTAATGAAAATAAAACTGTTAAGCTGGCAAAAAATTCTCGCAAATTCTCTTCTCTGTCGCTTACATTTAATCATGCTAACATCGTTTGCACCATCACCTATTGCTAGAGTGACTGCTTTCACATGGCGCTTGACTAACTCCACAACCAGGGCCTAGAAAAATGAGAACGTTTCACGTCATCATTTATCTTGGATAACATACTAAAAGGTTTTCATACTACCTTTTGTAATGGAGTGACTCGACAACATATCACAGCTTTACAATGTTTAGCTAACTCGAGAAATTCCATTTCCATGGAATTATCGAGAGCAAATACCTTAAAAAAACAAACAAAACACAAATAGATATTGTTTTTTGTAATGAACGTCATTAACATAAGGTCACTTACTAAGCTTTTTCCAGTGATTACCAAAGCAAATTCACTTTGTTTAGATACGGTCTTTTCCTATCAAAGACAAAAAAATTAACACCCAGAACAACGATATTCTGTTTGATGGCTTGATATTATACCTGGCCATTTTCTGTTACGGCCTGCGTTCTCGTGTCTTCAATACGACTGGTGTTGGGCAACATATTAACGGTCAAACTGTCAGCACCAAAACTGTTCTCGACAGAGTTACTGATCATTGGTGATGACCTAATTCTATTCATTGCTTCTTTTATCGAAGCTCGAACTTTTTCTTCCTCTTCGTCGTTTATCGTAAATACTTCCTCCATTTCATTTGTCAGAAGTTGACAGGAGTAACCAACGTTGATGGCAGTTTCTATCACAACATGAAACAAATCAACTAACAATTCAACAACGTCATACTTTTGCTTTATTTTTAATACCTTGCTTGTCGCCAGTCAAAACCCAAATCTTGATATCAGCCTACATATGAATAAAATAGAAATGTTGTAGACCAACGTCTGCATCTGTGTTCTTCACCTGAAATCAATCAATCTTTATACAGACACGACATTCATGAAAATAGCTTAGCTAGGTGGGCAATTGTATTTGGTACACCATCTTGTAACTTATCTTCAATTGCCGTTGCCCCCAACAAATTCAGATCCTTTTTTATTTCTTCATAGGCCTATGAAGTATTATAAGTTCAAATTGAACACCTTTATAAATTAAGTTGGAATTCTCTACACACAGTACAACAAACCTCATTAATCTTCTCGTCTCGACCCTCCGTGGCAGTACTGAATATACAATACAATTTATTAAAAGATCTTTTTCCAGTAAAGTATTTAGATTACAAGGAGTAATTACCTTGCTTCGTGATAACGAACCATCCACTCTTTCAAATTCTCCGGAGAGATATCTTTCTCAGCCAACACGAGCGTTCGCAAACCATCTTTTGCAAACGTCTTATAGAAGAAACGACAACCAAATAAGAAGATAGAACCCAAGAACGATTGTCCAATAATAATTTCAACAATGGTGCCTCTTAACTCACGTTTAAATGTTCATTAGTCGTGTTCATTAATTCTTGAGAACTGGCATGAAGTCGCTCAAATATAATAGTATCTTAAAAAGTGTAAATTAATTGTACGTTAAATGACAATTATTTCACGAGGTTATTCAAATATAAGCTTGTAAGCTGCTATGTTGCTAGGTTAATTCGAAGGTTCAACGTCAGCACACGAATTACTTTTTTGCACATCTTAATAAATTCAAGTACTTTTAACGCCTTGAACGTTTCAACTTAAATTCAAAAACATTCACGTTTTGTACGAGCTCTGCTTAAAGAATAGAAATACTTGTACAATTAAAATGAAAAAATACATCACGATATTATTGGTGACAATTTTTAACTACATATCAACGGACAGTAAAGTCTAACCTGCTCCTTTGCAGTACAGCTTTATCTTATCATCTCTTTTTACAATTACCTAAAATGGAGCAAATATAGTTAAATGTCTACGTTGATGAAAAAAAGAAAGATCTGATGTTGCAGCCTAAGATGTTCGTGGATAGTGTTTATCAGATTACCGACATCCTTTTTCTAACGTTGTCAAAGTCAAGTGTGCATAGGAGTTCCCAGATTTCCTTGAAAAATTACCAAAAATGATAATGATGAAAACAAAAAATTGATAATGATAAAAAATATGATCAAACATCATGAAAAATCATGATTAGCATAAGCCATGGATAATGATTCATGAATGATAATGCTTGATTATAATGTATATTAGAACTTATGGGTTACGATTCATGAATGATAATGCTTGATTGTGATGGATGAACTTATTGGTTACAATTCATGAATGATAATGCTTGATTATAATGTATATTAGAACTTATGGGTTACGATTCATGAATGATAATGCTTGTAATGGATATCAGAACTTATGGGTTACGATTCATGAATGATAATGCTAGATTGTGATGGATATCAGAACTTATGGGTTACGATTCATGAATGATAATGCTTGATAATACCTCAGTTCTAGACACTGTAAAAGTCATGACGGTTGGTGAACGATAAAACGTAATAAATCGAGAATGAGCGGTCTCCAAATTTTTAATGCTGAGTTGAGATTATCAATAAACTATGTGTTTATTCACATTGTTAGTGATTTGCTCTTAGCAAATATTTCGAGCAGCAGTAAAGCTGCCTCCTGATTGTGCTTGATATCCAGATAACCTAAATCAAAGTACACAGTAAAAAAGTAATTTACTTCTGCCATGTATATGATAATTATGATGATCAGTTTATTTTGTTCAACGATATACATACCATCGACTTCCTCAGAAACGACAGAATGACATAATGCAATCAGACGAAAGAAATCATGAGTTTTCTGTAAAAGAATATTTTAAAATTTCGAGCAGCAGTAACGAGAGCTGCCTCGTCGGGTGATTGTGCTTGATACTCCAGATCACCTAAATCAAAATACACAGTAAAAAAGTAATTTACTTACAAAGCTGCACGATCAGCAATTTTTAGCCTAATTCATAGATACGTTTTTGTTGTATTTAAACATGTTTTTATAAATCACAGATTCTGCCATGTATATGATTATCATGATGATCAATTTTTTTGTTTAACGATATACATACCGCCGATTTCCTCAGAAACGACAGAATGACATAATGCAATTAGACGAAAGAAATCAGGAGTTTTCTGTAAGAGAATATTTTAATTATTAAGCTTACTGCAGTCAGCATGAGAGAAATATTTATTTTGCAAACCTAACCTCGACGTTTCCTTTGATAGCGTTCATTAAATTTTGATCATAGAAATGAAAATCCTCATCAGCCATTTTATTTCCAGAAAATCAACAGATTTCTAGAAATGCGAGCAGTATGCTTTGTAAAACGAACTATCGGCTCCCATACGGTTTTCAACCACGACAGATGGCTGAAAACAGACACAATAAGCTTGTTTAAAATATACTAATACCCTTGATCTCATTGAAGCACCGCTTTCTAAGCTAATCTCTGGGCCTTTTATATCACCTAGCAAAGTGAGAAAAAAGAGACATACTTTAATATTCATATCTAAAGATGATATCAACATAGTTTCTGCTGTAGATGATGATACATTGTGAGAACAATATACATTGAAAGGTTTAAACCCGGGAGTATTGTTACCTGTTTGTGGATGTAGATCGTCCAGGTTAGTAGAGTACTGAGAAGGACTGTTGTTGTTGACGTTTACTGACGCTTCGACAACCTTAGCAGTAGTCATCTTCACAGTCAACATCAACAACAACAGTTCTTCTCAGGACTTTACTAACATGGACGATCTACATCCACAAACATGAATGAACAAACACTGTCAGTCAACTACCAAAATATTTTTTGCTGAAAGCCAAGTTTTTGACAAGTAAAGTTAAGTAGATTATATAGTGCGACACACGTAGCATTGGTTTAATGGTAATAGTAAATATGGGAACGGATATTGGTGTTAGTATAATTAATAAACAGGCATCGGCAAATATTACTGAAAATATGCTTTTGCTTGTATACAATGAAACCCACTCAGTGACAGCTATTGTCTTTGCTTCTTCAATTTCTTCCATGGTGGTAAAGAGTGTGAAGACGTCACGCCAACTTGGTGTCAGAAGCTTTGTCATTACGTCACTTTTGCAATGCATTGTTGTTAATGACGTCATTATGGTGATGGTTATATACAATATACCGGACAACAAGTCCTCATAACCTTTTGGATATCTTCAAAGTCGACATCATCATTTTAGTGTGAACTATGATTGTCAATCGATATGTTCTAGTTTGTGTTCTTCTTCTAATTATCTTCAATCATCTCTGTCATGGTTGGCGAAGACGACGACGCAGACGTGGAGATGTATCCTCGGAATTGTGCTTTTTCTTCATGGTCTTCGTATTCTTCTTGCACGGCTACTTGTGGATCCTCTGGCACAAAATATCGAACTCGTTATATTACAAGATATGCGTCTTGTGGTGGCAGTTGTAACTATCAAACCTACCAAAGCGTATCTTGCCCTGGGACTTGTTGTCCTGCACATTGTTCGTACTCCTGGACGGCTTGGGGCTCATGTTCAAAAACATGTCAATACGGCACGCGAACACGCAATATTCGAGTTTGGAGAAATCCCAGTTGTGGTGGAAGAGCTTGTCCTTCCAGTAGCCAGTCTCAAAAATGTGGGACTGGAAGGTAGAAACAAATTATTTATTTGTAAAATGCCCAAGTTGTTTTTGTTGATATTTAGCAATTCATTGCTTATTTGTGTTTGTATTTTTTATCCCCGCTGTATGTCACGCATCTTCATCATTTTGTTGTGATTTCATAAACTGCATATCGCCCGCTGTTATAGAGCCGGTTAACGTTCTTCTTTTATTGGGTTTTTATTTTAATGGATGCTACTGCTTCGGATTTTTCCATTCTTATTGATGATCTTGGAACCACATTCTTTGGCGAGACTTGCGAGCAAAGTGCTGATTTTATGTTCCTTATTATTGAAAGAGAATGAATGAGCAGTTTCGTTGCGAATATTAACTCGATACATAATAATCATATGGTTTCATTCACTGATGCGTTCATCTCAAATTGTCAACGATTTAGTATGTGCTTTTGTGTGGGGGCAAAATGCAGCAATCTATATGTCAATTGTTTTATTATCGGGCATATTAGATGACTTCTGAATGCAGAAGGAATTAATACTTCATCTTATTATCTCAAGAACATGTCCTGATACGTAACGCTTTACGTGCACAAGTGTTTTTGAAAGGATTTCTTCCTGCTGGAGAAGGGATATCACGCTAACTTCAAATTACTGCTTTCCACTCTTTAATGGTGAAAGCTATTTTATGCTCTATAACTTCGTATGTTAAAGGTAAATTGAACCCAGGCCATTTATAATGTTTTCATCAATTTGCTGCCGCTCTAATGTGGTAGCATTCCCAAGTCATGACGTTAATCAAGCCCCCCCCCTTCTTTCCCTTTAGTTGAATTTTCTACCGCAGTAATGTGAATGCATCCCCAAGTCATGACATTACTCACTCAAACTCCCCCATATTTTCGTCATCCTTACGTTGTTTGTTCTTATCTTTGCAAGTTCGAATATGAATTGCAAAATTTATTTTACTAATATATTATATCAGAAAATATTGACTAGATCTATTAAGACGTTCTTTCATGTAACCGCGACATCGATCATTCCTAAAAATGAGCACAAACCTGTTTTACAACATGAACAATCTTAATGTCGGTGACGTTTTCATAAAATGTGTTAGAAAATTTAATTAAGTTCTCAAGAGTTCCTTGTTAATATACTGTTTGTTTGTTTTTATCTTAATGTTGGACAGCATCCCATATAAATTGCACGCGTAAGAAAGTTAAGTAGTAAGGTAATTTAACTCGCCATAAAGCACATCAGGCTTATATGGTTACAATTAAGAACTTACCATACTACACTATACGAAAATATTTTTGCAAAAAACTTGCAGCATTGACGCAAGTTCAACAATGAAACAAGTGATTTTTATTCTTACGTTGCTTTGTTTCTGTCTTGATTTGGATTTTGCCTGTCGACGATCACCACCATCATGCCTAGAAGAGACTGTTCCTATACGAGTTGGGGGTTGGAGTGCTTAGATGTGGCAGTAATGGGCTAAAAGTACGTACTAGATCAATAAGAACCCATGGAACGTGTGGTGGAAGTTCTTGCGACTCCAGTAAACTTAAGCAAAGGACCTCTTGTCCTCACACTTGTTGCCCTTTAAATTGTCGTTATACTTGGAGTACTTGGTACTCTTGCGGTGTGTCGTGTGGTTATGGTACGCGCCTGCACGATAAAGATAATTGCATCGCAAAGTTGTGGTGGTAGATCATGCCTACTAGGAGAACGGAGGTTCAGAAATGTGGGATACGGTGCTTTGTGTTGTCAATGTCTTCCTGCGACACGGGAGCTTATTTTAATAAGTGATTTTAAGTGGTGCTAAAACCTTCGGCAGATACCGCTTAAAACTGTTCTTACGCAAGTGAGATTTGAATTAGTAATACCATTATGTCTTTGTTTGCCATTTCGAATGTATTCCAGTCCATACAGTATTTCATAGAAATCTGTTCAACCATATTCGAAACATTAAAGATCTTTCTTATCATATTTCACACATGAAAGATATTTCCATCCTTTATTTCACAGTAGTAATCTTTTCATTTTGTAATGCTCTCGTTTCTCAACAAATGCTCTTAATTTAAACGTAATTTGTGCTTAAAGATCACTTGCTCGCTTCAAATAAAATTAAGTTTATTTTCCTCTTTTTTATGGCTGATAAAATTTTTATGGGTTTCTTTTGTTGGTATTTTAATGATATATTCTCCTTTTATTTTCTAAAACATATCTATTTTTTCAAATTGATTATTACTATTAAGTTCTACACCTCTTATTCTGATCATTGGCCGTATTCTTTATTATTTCCTTTCATAACATGTTGCCCTGTTAACTTGCAGTGGGAGAAGCATCTTGGGTCAATGTAATGCTACTCAAGAAAACTGGTACAAAGAAATCGAAGTATCAAGACAGCTTCTTGTTCATCTTGTCCAAGTCTTACAGATACTAAGTCATGCAGCGGCCCATGCTGTCCACCTATTGTTTCATGTCATACTGGTCTACCTGGATCAATTGCTCGTCTGGTAAGTGATTTTGACGTACTAATCCCTGGTACTATATTTCGTGTCTCCCTAAGAGGAATTTTCATAATCATTAAAAAATACTTATTAAATTTTCACGATCATTGTATTTTTAGGTGGCTGCGCTGTAAATAGTGGCACTAGAAAAAGGACTCGAAGGTTAATGACCAAGGCGTCATGTGGTGGCACATGTGGTCTAGCTACATCAGATACTCAAAAATGTACTCCTATTCCTATTTCATGTCAAGTAAGTGAATATTGGAGTCGATCTGTGAATGAAATTAATTTTATTACATGCTCCGGATGAAAAAATAGGAGACTTTGATATCCATGCGTAAAACTGTATATTTATAATACATCAATGTCCAGATTAGCTCATGGAGTTTGTGGCAAGCATGTGTTCCAAGCAATGGCAGATGTGGACAAGGGAATCAACATCGTTCACGTAACATTACTCAACAAAGTTATTGTAGTTCACCATGTCCACAGATTAATGAGAGTCGAAGTTGTGTTCATAGTTGTTGTCCTGTCAATTGTCAATTAAGCCAATGGACGACATGGTCTTCGTGTTCTTCTACATGCGGAAAAGGTTATCTTAAAATCTTTTTGTAACGTCGTGTATTAGAGAAAAAACATACTCCAAATAGCAAGCATGTTGTAAACTCAAGACTCGAAAAAAGATTTTCAAAGCAAATGAAATAAAGTGATTCAAAATCATTATCAATTGATTCTCGAATCCTGAGTTATCGATTCATCAACTGGAATTTTGAGTTTTCGAGATGACGCTGTTTGGAGCAATTTTTATCTTGTATTTCTTTAAATTGTCACCAAGAGAAAACTTTTTTTTTATATATATTTCGCAGCAATAAGGCGTCGTTTTCCTGTATATCTTTAGGCAAGTCAGATCGTACTCGTAGTGTGCGCATTCAACCAAGTTGTGGTGGTCGGAATTGTAGTATCTTGAGTGAGAGTAAGGACTGTATTAAATACAACGATAAAGATTGTGTCATGGACTTATGGAGCTCGTGGTCTGCCTGTGATAATGGCTGTGGTCACGGAACACAACGCAGATATCGTAAGATAACTCATCAAAGTGTTTGTCGGGGACAAAATGTGGGTCAATCGAGGAATCAAGAAATTGTACTAGCTACAGAAATAGCCGTGATTGTGAGGTAGTTTTGTTTAAGAATGAAAACTGAAATCTTCATTCTATGTATTTCACTTAAACTGTAGTCTTTATATACTTAACTTTAATTTCTGTATTCAGGTTGGCGAATGGTCATCGTGGAGTAAATGTGACCAACTGTGTGCCATTGGGAATAAAGTTAGAAATAGAAGGATCACATCGAACTTCCAATGTCAAGGAAGATCTTGTCCTCATCTCAAGGTATATCTGTGTATACGCGAAGTTTCTTTTTTCTCAATTCATTTCAGTCATACTGTTTTTGATTCTAGGAATCCATGCAATGTGGTTTACCTAACAACGGTTGCCAACACAAATGCAACAATGGTGTTTGTTCTTGTAGTGCCGGATATAATTTGATCGGCACCAAGAATTGTACTGCAAAGGATTGTGGGAAACTTGAATTGTCTTATTGTCCTTCAGGTATTTCGTAGTGACGTGTGTGATTTTTTAGATATGTAATATGTCTAAACTACTTAATAAAGTAGATAGTAGATATTAGTATTTTTATCTTACAATGCCAACTGAATTACGTCTTACTAGTTGATGAATACTATATTTGTATGTTTACATATATACGTTACATGTGGTTGATTTTGTCATTATTGTGAAGGTACGAATCATGGAACAACATGTGAACACCCTGTTGTTTCGTGTCCTAACAACCAGACTATCTTCTCGACTTTTTGCTCAATACTCTGCCCAAGCTATTACGCTCAAAAAGGAGCCAACAGTATTACATGTACAGCGGCTGGTACATGGTCAACAACTGTTGGGACTTACTGTCGAAGGATCAACGACCCTCCTTCTCAGGTTATTCGTACTTTCGTTTCATGTGCCCTGCTAAATATCTTTGTTAAACTATGCATGTTTGTTTTTCAGATTATTTTGTCTGGGTCTCACAGTGTTCCTGAGAATATTAAACGTACTCTTGTTGGAAGACTTTCGTCAGTAGATACAAACCCCCGGGATTTACACAACTATAGCTTGATATCCGGAGGTGAAGGAAAGTTTGTCCTTTTCGATGATGAATTGTACACGGATTTTGTTTTCGACTACGAGACAATGACTACAAGGTACTGACGTAGTTAACTCATTGATCTGTCTTTATGAAACTTGACGCAGGAAATGTCTTTTTGTGTTTCCATAGATATGACCTAAGAATCCGTAGTACAGACAACGGGAATCCTCCAATGTCGATGGAAAAAATAATCCCAGTAGTTATTGACGATGTCAACGAAAGGCCGACGTCTGTTCAAGTACGTTGTTAAATATCGAAAGTTCTCTTTAAATATTAAAATTTTTTAAACTTTATGGATGTGAGATCTTTTCACCAGTTTATGCTTCTTCATTTCTAATTCCAGTTATCAAACCACTATATCTCTGAGAACTCCGACGTCGACACAATCGTGGGGATATTGTCTACCATTGACCCGGATAATAGCCAGACTCATTCTTATACTTTGATCAATTCTGCATCTGGAAGATTTAAAGTTAAAGGCAATATTCTTAAGGTGGAACAAACTAAAATCAAATAGTATATTTTGTTGAAAATAGTTTAATAGATATGATAGCTTTCATACTTGTTTCATTCTAGGTTGCATTTAGTAACAGACATTGTTTCAAATTTGGTGGCTATTTCTGTTCATTGAATTTCGAAGTATCTCGCAGTCATCAAGTTACACTCCGAAGTACAGACAATGGAAATCCCTCTTTATCTCACGATGTTAATCTCACAATCAATCTGACTGATGTAAACGACCAACCGCGAGGTCTAGTTCTAAGTAATAACAAAGTTTCGGAAAATGCAACTGTGAGTGAAGTTATTGGAAAGTTCTCAGCTGAAGATGAGGATAGTGCACAGACTTTGTCTTATTTTCTCAATGATGATGACAAAGGAAGATTTACTGTCGATCAACGAGGATATCTATCATTGGCATTGTCAGCTAATTTTGAACAGGACACATTACGTAATATAACGGCTGTCGCAAAGGATAATGGAGTCCCAGTAAAAATGGTTAGATTCTATGTTGGAGAAATTGTCATGTTAAAAATCAAAGCCCAACTTCTAGAAAGTAAAAGTACATTTTATTATTATGTTTTATCTTTATAATAAAGATTCGTTTACTTGCTATAAGCTGAGCTTTGATATTTATAATAAGATAACTTTTCCCGCATGGAAAATACTTTGTCACCGTCATAATTTGTATGATAATAATACGATTTGTTTTTTAAATATATTAATTTTTTTTCTATTTTAGATAGTGAAATCATTCACAATTCAAATATTGAAGGTAAACGATCCTGTAGTGAATTTGAAATTCATCGACATGAACAATCAGCACTCACAGAGTATTTCAGTGAAAGAAAATGCCAGTATATCCAGCGTCATAGGACATTTTGAAGTATCAGACAACGAAACGTCACAGGAACTGTCCATTCATTTAGATGTAAATCCATTTCAAGCGTTTTCACTGTCATCATCAAATTGTACTGATAGAAATCGTACGAAATGTGAAACTAAACTTGTCCTACAAAAGAAACTAGATCGCGAAATAACACAAGGTTTCCAAATTTATGTCCGCGTGAAGGATAATCAAAATAGATCCATCATCACCACGTTCAACGTATCGATAGAGGACTGTAATGATCGACCCTATGACATTACTATTGCTGGAGGAATGGAGACGAATATCGTTGAAAATATTCAAGGAGCGTTGGCTGGAGAATTGTTGAGTAGTGACCAGGACCTTTCTCAGACACACAGTTATCGTCTGCTCAACAACAGCGATGTGTTTGAAATACGAGACGATTTCTTGTTTCTTCACAATGACACGTTTCTGGACTTCGAGAATAAAAGCCAATACATTATTAAAATCCAATCTACAGATAATGGTCAACCGCCTCTGACGTCATTACCTCAATCCCTGATTGTTCACGTGATCAACAGAAACGAAGCTCCAAGTAGGATTGATCTTACTTACAATAAGATAACTGAAAATAGTAATTCAGGGACAGAAATTGGATTATTTATCATAACAGACCCTGACAATTACAATTTGTCTCGTCAATTACATGTTTGTCGGCTCATTGATTCTGCTATGGGAAAGGTTGAAATATTGTATAAAAATGGCAAAAATATTCTTATTCAAGCTGCTCAACTTTTGGATTATGAACAGACACCATCTATGACAATCACCGTACGTTGTCGAGACCCCTATGGTTTATATAAACAAAGCGATTTTGTTATTCATGTAACGGATGTAAATGAACGTCCCGTCTTCGTAAAACTTTCAAATACTCATATACGTGAAAATAGTGGGCCAGCGGTTGTTGGTATATTGACTGCACAAGACCCGGATAACCTTAACAACGCATCAAGACAGATCATACATTATTCCTTGATATCCAATATCCCTAGTCCTTTCGTTTTGATTGGTCGTGAACTGAGTATTAACGCTAGTTTAAATTACGAGAGCGTCAGGTCATGGAATATTCAGATACGCGCTCAAGATAACGGTGTACCCTCGCTCTATCTTGATGAATATATTGTTATATCAGTACTGGATGTTAATGACAAACCATATGCTATACAGGTACGATGTTTTATTATAAATAAGGCATTTTTACTTTGAAGATTTGTAATTGTGTTCAATAAAACGAAAAATGTTGAGATTTAGTCCATTTAGTTCCTTTAGACCTTCATCTTTTGCAATATGTATAACACTTATTTTATTTTTTTATCGTTCTCTTATAATGGTTTCTTTTTCTTTTCTTTCAGCTATCCAACAATGAAATAATGGAGAACAGTGATGTTGATACAGTTGTTGGTAACCTCGTTGCAATTGACGAAGACGTTGGACAAAGTCATATTTATAAACTTCTCGATACTGCTGGTGGACGATTCAAGATTGTCAACAATCAAGTTAAGGTAGTAACATACTTGGTTGTTGCATTTTTGCACATTCTCTTTTGTGTTGCACTATTTTAAACATAGCCGTAATCTTAACTTTTGGTTTTGAATGTAATTCGTTTGTTTTCTGTGCTTTTATACTGTTACTTTTATGTTGTTTTTTTTGTGCTTTTATGCTGTTGCTTTTATGTTTTTCTTTTCTGTGTTTTTTTCCTTCATTGTCCACTTTCTTGTGTTTGTGAATTGAGTTTCATTTGTTATTGGTACAGATCTGCCACAATGTGCTATAAAACAGTGAAGCCAATTTGTTTTTTTTTTGTTGTTGTAGACATCACTGTCAAATACGTTATGTCTTCAATACGGTTCTTCTTTGTGTCATCTTAACTATGAACTCCAGCAGTCTTACAACATCAGCATTAGAGTAACGGATAAAGGCATTCCTCTTGCGAGTCATGATCAATTATTTACTATTTATCTGAATGATGATAACGATAGACCTCGTGACCTCAACTTGAACAATCGGGAAGTTTCAGCAAACGCCACTGTCGGCACGCTGATTGGTTTTAAGTGCGCGCGATGAAGATAGCGGTCAGAGTTTAATTTATTCGTTGGTCGATGATGACGGAGGGAGATTTGCGTTAAATGGAGAAAAGTTGGTTACTGCTAAGTTCTTGAATAATGAAACAGATCAGAATCGCGTTATTTCTGTTGCAGTCACTGATAATGGTTATAATGCTTTAAAGGTAAGGCATTTAATTTTTATAGAAATGTTTTTAGTATTAGAACATACAAACTTCAAATCTGTATTTTATGTTCCACAAAAAGTGCTCATGTAAGTTTTCTATTTCGTTGACACTTCATTTCTTTTTTTTTCGTTTTAGACTATCCGTAATTTCACCATTAGAGTTTTAAAAGTCGACGAAGTTCCAATTGCTTTCAATTTTACTGACTCCATTGTCTCTTCACTGTTTGAGAATGTGTCGGTCCCAAGTGAAGTTGGAACTGTGTTTGTCTCTGACAGTAATGGCAAACAAGATTTCGTGTTTACATTAGATGATAATTCAAATGGGGAATTTCGACTAAATGGTTCAAGTAAGAAATGTGACAATTTCTCGTCACTAGCAAATGGAACAAAATGCTCAATCAAGTTGTTTCTCGTTAAGTCTCTAAATTACGAGAGAAATAAACGACGATCTGTATCGATTCGTGTAACAGACATACGTGGATCATCACTTGTTAGAACTTTCACTATAGAAGTCATTGATTGTAACGATGCGCCCACGAGCATTAGTTTGAATGGTGGTGTGTCAGCGTTAATTATGGAAAATTCCGCCGGAGCACTTGTTGGAGTACTGAGAACAACTGACGAAGATACATCACAATTGTGGAGTTACCATTTGCTTGAAGATTACAACCTGTTTAATGTCAGGGTTATCGGTGATGAATATAATATTTTTCTGAATGAAAATTCCTCGCTTAACTACGAAAATAAATCTGAATTCAACTTGACTGTGATATCAAGAGACAATGGACAACCATCTTTGTTGTCTCTCGAAACTTTACAATCTTCGTTGTGGACATTAACGAGGCGCCTACTCAGATACATTTATCAAAGCATGTCATCAATGAGACGATAGTTTTAGGAAGTGAAGCATCAGCATTAACAGTCGATGATCCCGACAACGTGAACAATGACGGACAAAGTCACTCTTGTCGTGTTGTTGTTGGTCAAGATAAGTTCAGGATTCGTGCTGGCCTATTGTTGAGCAACGTGAGGTTTAATTATGAAAGAATACCTTACGTGAACATCTCTGTGCAATGTGTTGATTCTGGAAGACCAAGATTGTACATTACACAACATTTTACTATCTTTATAAATGATGTTAACGAAGAACCAACTGACATTATTTTATCAAGTCTTGTTGTACGTGAAAACGAGAGTTATGTTTTTGGTGAGTGTTTCTTTATAGAACAAAATGCAGTGATATGAAATATGTCATTGTTAAATGTTTGTATCCTCTTCAGTTAGCTTATCAATTAATAAGGTCTATTTTCTTGTATCTTTTCCAGCAAACATCTCAACGGTTGATCCAGACAATGAACTGAATAATAGTCGACAAAGTTTCACTTACCGATTAGTCTCCACTTTGAAAGATCTTCCATTTCATATTGAAGATGGTAAAATAAGGACGAGGCAAGCCTTGAACTACGAGAAATCATCTACATGGAACATCACAGTTGAATCTCGAGACAGTGGAGTTCCACCTCTTAAAATTCAACGAAGTTTCATCATTAATGTTCAGGGTAAGTTGGCGAAACTTTCGTAAATTATTAATGTATATAATGAAAAAAAGTTAAGTATTTCGTCCGTCGTGAAATTTACATGATTGTCTTTGTTTTTTGTTCATTAAGACGTGAATGAAGCTCCAAGAATAATCACTCTTTCTCCAAGCAATGTGAATGAAAATCCAGAAGAATGGCGACTAATTGGAAAACTCTCCGCTGCTGATGAAGATGAGAATCAGACACACACGTTCACACTAGTGGACAGTGATTCGGGAAGATTTCATCTTGTCTTCAACTCTTCTGAAATAAGAGTCGCCATCTCAAACACAAACTGTCTTCTATTTGGTGGAAAATACTGTTTACTGAATTATGAAGCTCAAAGTACTCGAGTGATTTCCGTACGTGCTATAGATGATGGGATACCTCCGTTGGAACTTACTATGAATATTAACATTACACTTGATGACGTTAACGATCGTCCACGTGACATGACGTTGTCAAAGAGCTGGATCATGGAGAATGCACCCTTGAACGAGACAGTTGGTTATTTTAATGTGAATGATGAAGATACCCGAGATATTCTTCGTTTTAGTTTAATCAATTCCACTTATGGTTATTTTAAAGTTGATGCAAATGGACGTCTGTCTGTCAATAAGAGCACCAATCATGAAGTGCACGAAATTGAACATGTAATGGTGCAAGTGGTGGACTCGGGAAATTTGTCGGTAAGTGTGTGTAAAATAATAGAAATAAGGCTTGCTATTTAAACTACTTTTTGACTCATTGTAAAAGTTACTGTCAATTTTAGATACAGCAAGAATTTACGATTATCATCAGGGATTCACAGGAGACGCCATTCAACATTACTTTGACCTCAACTCATGGACAGAAATCGTATCCCATGAATCATGCAAGAATAAATGAAAACTCACAATATGGAGCAATCGTGGGAACTCTAGTTTCATATGATCAAGATGTTGATCAATTTTTGTCATTTTCACTGGTTGACAGCGCAGGTAAAACATTTATCGTTGTGCATGCTACTTTTCCTTAGAAAGATCACTGTCTGTTGCAACAATGACTAAGACTTATTTTTATCTTTTAAGGTGGTCGATTTTCTATCAATAACTTGACAAGTTGTCACAATTTAACTTCTGTTGCTAATGTCAATACAATCTGTTCCACTTATTTACTTGCCGTGGGTAATCTAAACTACGAATCATCAAAATCTCACAACGTTTTTGTTGAAGTGTCCGATGGTATTCACACTCTTGTAGCTAACTTTACTATAATAGTTGATGATGAAAATGACCCTCCGGAGAAAGTAACCATACAGGGATTAGCCTGGGGTCGAGTAAAAGAAAATAGAAACACAGAGCTTATCGGGGAACTAATCACAAGTGACGAAGACATAACCCAATCACATGTGTACACTCTCAAAGGAAGTGAAAAGTTTATTCTTCGAGGAAATAAACTGTTTACGTCAGCAGAGGCAAATATTGACTTTGAAAAACTTCAGACGGTTGATATAGTTGTAATTTCAAGGGATAATGGCATACCTTCAAAACATGTTAAACAAAATATAACTATCATTGTAAGTAAAATATTTTTTTTCTTTCTATTTTGTGAAGTGCGATATTTTCTTCTTTAAAAGTATTTTCACCTCTCATAATTTCTTTATTTTCAGATCGACGATGTGAATGAAACTCCAAGCAATATAAGCCTGAGTGCTTCAACTGTGAAAGAGAACAGTGAGCAGGGGACATTTGTTGCTAACATATCCGTTGACGATCCCGATAATCATGGTCCTAAAGGGATCTGGCAAACTCACAACTGTTTTCTAATTGACTCCGCCCAAGATCGTTTTAGAATTTTGAATAATATGAACACTCTCGTTGTTTCATCAGGTGATTTAAATTACGAAACATCTACTCTTCACACCATTATCGTCGAATGTCGTGACTCTGCTCGAAAACCATTGCGCATCCAGAAGTCGTTTGATATTGAAGTCGTTGACGTGAATGAAAGACCACAGAAGATAATACTTTCTAATGCTAGAGTACCGGAAAATGCAGGCTCCTTGCTTGTAGGGGTGTTAAGTACATTAGACCAAGATAGAAACCAATCGTTCAGCTATATCTTGCTTTCTGTTGGTGCACAAGATAGCTTTTATGTAAACGGTACCCAGCTTTGGACTAAAGTTAACTTAGACTACGAGAAAAGACGTACATGGAATATAAGAATGGAAACTGTTGATCAAGGAGGTAAATATATTAAAACCTCGTCAAAAAATAGAAATTCGTACGATCAATAATCGTAGAAATGTACAATAGTGCTCACGTTCTTTCATTCCAAGGTCTGAATTTCTCGCAAGCTGTAACGATATTTGTGGAGGATGTGAATGACCCACCTAGAAATATTTCATCCAGACAACCGCTGTTTGTAAATGAGAACAGTAACGTGGGCTCTGTTATCACAGTGTTTTATGCTGATGACGAGGACGCTGGTCAAACTCATCGCTTCTTCATTACAAATGTCACAGCCTTTCGACATGATATGACAAGGTAAAGAATCTACCGTTGCACAAAATAAAATAATTCAGTTTTATACCTGTTGACTTTCACCTTCAGGATCTATAGTTATCAGAATGCGTTGCTTTTAAATCCAACTTCTGGGAAACTGACTGTGGACTCTCATATAAACTACGAGTCGATGACAAAGATTTACTTGGGAATAGAGACTCGAGATAATGGATATCCTTCTTTGTCATTTAAAAAGGATTTTGTCGTGAATGTTGTCGATATCAACGAACCACCGAGTGATTTGAAACTGTCGAATAATCAGGTATCTTGATTGCAATGAATGTTGCTTTATAGTAATCTATCATACCAGCTGCATTGTGTGTGTTTTTGCAGATATCTGAGAATAGTGATGAAGGATCTTTGGTGGGAATTCTTAACGTAACGGATCCGGATAACATTATCGAAGAGAAACAATTCTATTCTTGTCAAGTTCTGAATGATGTTCCTTTCAATGTCACTCAAATGCATCTCATCGTAGCTAGAGATGTTTTGGATTATGAAAATATTGCAGATTATACTGTCAAGGTATACATGTAAATCATTCATTGTTGTTGTCATTACTATCACTTATTGTACCTTCTTGTTGTCATTACTATCACTTATTGTACCTTCTTGTTGTCATTACTATCACTTATTGTACCTCTTTATTTATAGATCAATTGCAGTGAACTGACGAACCCAAGCTTTTCTATTTCTAAATCGTTTTCTGTTCAAATAACTGATGTAAACGAAGCGCCTTTCAATCTCGTTTTAAATGGCTCTTCTGTTATGGAAAATCTACCTCCAAATACAAGAATTGGAAGTTTGTCTGCTCTTGATCCAGATCAGAACAATGTAAGCGAGTAATTTTCATTATGATCAAATTAGGACAACTAAGAACAATTACTTTGTCTAGAGAACGTTTTAGTGTAAAAGTGTTGCACCTAAATATAATAGCGTGACTAACTTTCTTCTTTTACATACATTGACTAGATCTTTGCTTACTTAATGTAATAGTGTGCTGTCGTAAAGTATAATATTCCTAAATTTTTACGATTTTGCAGGTGATGTTTACATTTGCTGAAGGAACATCTGATTCTTTAAAGTTTTCAATCAAGGAAAGCACATTAATGACGAGGGCGGTTTTTGATTACGAGCAACAAGATAGCTACGTCATAAATGTAGTTGCGAAGGATGACGGGATACCAAGTGTTAACGAAACCAAAGAATTTGTCATCAAGGCAGGAAATTTTGCGAAAGACTGTTTTATTTGGGGGTTTTTTACAGCATGAGGATAAAAATAACGTTTTTTTAATTGCAGATTATTGACTCAAATGATGAGCCAAGCCACATCATATTGAATTCGTCTGGTATTAGAGAGGATGCTATAGTTGGAACAATTGTCGGAAGGTTGAAGACTCATGATCAAGACGTAAATCAAACGCACTTTTACTCTCTTCTTAATCTGAACTGTAAGACGAAATTAGGATTTTATTTTTATTTTTCTCATTTCATCTCTCTTACTAAAACTATGTTTTTCTTCTTGTTGTTTTCTGAATTCTAGCCACCTTTTTTATTGTTGGTAACGAAATATTAGTGAAAGAAACGAATCGTCTGGATTACGAAAGTGCTGCAGAAATGAGAGTACTTGTAGAAACTACTGACAATGGAATTCCATCATTGTCGCATCAGGTAAAACAAAACGTGACTAAAACGTAGAACAACTTTTCAAATTCCTCAAACTTTGCTATATTTCTTAACATCAATATATTCCTTATGCAGAATGACGTCATCATAAATGTGATTGATGTAAATGAAAGACCGTATGCCATAAGAAATACTGGATCGTTATCAGTCAAAGAGAACAGTCAAAACGATACTTCAGTTGTTTTTGAAGTTTTCGATCAAGATTATAATCAATCTCATCGTTGTTATATTTATAATTCTAACATTTTTGAGATAAACAACTGGGCTGGCGAGTTTATACTTCGCGTTAAATATGGAGCTGTAGTTGACTTTGAAAAAAACCCAATTACTGCAAGTATGGCCATCGCTTTCAGTCTTTATGTTTCCACTTATATGATTCAAATCCTTTAACTAGTTCTATTTTCCTTCAGTTAATGTGACTTGCACGGATAATGGCAGTCCACCTCTTAGCAGCTCAGCGTCGTTCAATATCAACATTGAAGATGTAAACGAACCTCCTGTCGATATATCATTAAATGGGTCTTATGAAGTCGATGAAATCGCATACGTGAATTATTCTTTGGGGAATTTGATTTGCAAAGATTTCGATCGAAATCAGACATGTTCATTTCTTGTTGTTGGCCAATACAGTAACACGTTCCGTGTAAGTACAGGGTTCATTTCAGATTACATTAATTGAAATTCCTGGAACGAGTTTGTCCTATATAGAGTTTCTTCGCCAAAATGAAACTTTGTAATTATGTTTTAAGTTTCGAGAATAGGGTGTAATGTGAATAATAAAATAGTCTTAAATTATTGATCTTATCGGGGTTTGAATTTGTAACCATTCTCGCAGAAATCCCTCGAAAGAAGTAAAATATTTTATATACATTTTAGGTCATCCATGGTACAAATCTTTTAACAGTGATCTCTAATGTGGAACTGGACTACGAGAAATTGCCTCATCCTTATATAATGGTGACGATTCAGGCAAATGATGACGGTGTTCCTGTACAGTCAATGTTGAAGCAACTTAAAATTACTGTCAACGAGATTAATGAAGGAGCTAACAAGATTTATCTAAAAGCAGGCGATGTTACGTTGAGAGAAACGACAGAAATTAACACTAATATCAGTGAAGTTTTATGCAATAACCCGGAGAGATGGCAGACTTTAGAATACACGATACTCTCGGATGCTGCCACGTTTTTTATAATCGTTAAAGTCCCTTATAACGTGACGTATGAACCGCCTATATTAAACGCAATAGGAAAAAAACAAGCAAGATTTGAATTGTTTAGATCATATTTGTTCCTGAAAAAACACTTGATGAACTTCGATGCTCGTTCAAGTTATGATCTTCTTGTTGAAGTGAAAGATAACGGTCACCCCGTGAAATCGTTCAATGATAGTATCTACATTAACGTATCGAGAGTTGATCCATGTGCTCCAACGAACAGATGCAGAGAGAATGCAGTCTGTCACAGACAAGATGGCTTTAATTACAACTGTCGTTGTATGGATGGTTATACTGGTGATGGTTATAACTGCACTGACATTGATGACTGTCAACCATCCTTTGACTATTGTGATGAAGTTCAAGAATATCCGTGTCTTCCATGTAAACACAATGGAAAATGTCATGATCAATTGAAGACCTTCAACTGCACCTGTCTTCCTGGATACAATGGCGCTCAATGCAATCATAATATTGATGAATGTGATCCCAGAAATAAATTCCCTTATAGTTGTCATAAAGATCATGGCTTATGCATTGATCATATTAATAACATCACGTGTAACTGTCACCGTGGTTACGATGGCTGGCTCTGTCAAACTGATATTGATGATTGTATTGGGGAACCTTGTGGCCAACATCCTTGCACTGATCATATAGGTACGGCTTTAACTCTCTCGAGAACAAACAAGGAATATGTTAAGCAGTAAATATGTATATTTTTATTCTTGTTTTTAATATCTTCTTTCCTTTCTCTACAGGATTCTACGAGTGTCGTTGCGAGAAGGGCTACATGGGTTCTAGATGTGAACGTCAAGTTGGAAAACACGAATGTCTTAAAGATCAGACATACATACCATATCGTACCGATCACAGTGAAGACGAAGATTCTAAAGACTCCGACAAGAAAAGAAATGAAAACGTTTGCTTTTCTGGTCAAAATATCACCATGTTACACCTGAATAAAACGTTGCTCGAAATGTACGGTGTTTCTTTTGAAAACTACGAAGCATTTTCTTCTGCAATTAAGATCGAAGTGGAAGATTGGATCAAAAAACGGCTTCTTGTTTACTTCTCTTATACAAACCATTATACTAAAGATGGATACTTCAATGTCAGCGATGTGAGTGTATTGAATCCTATTGTAAATTCAGAAAATATTTCACTACCTATTATTGCTAGAGTTGGTGTGAAAGCTCTCTCACAAACCGCTATTTTGTGCTCTCTTCATCAATTACTCAACTGCACGCAAAGAGCTGGATACACGTCCTATACCTCCAAAGACTTTAGCTATATGGACTTCATGTGTGTCAGCGATGAAGATGTGAAGAAGTTACATTGTCAGACACGCGAGGAAACTCTGGGTGGACTTACAGGAAAGGGCTCTAAGAAAGGGGGCTTACAACGGTGGTCTATTTATTTGCTTGCAACGGTTGGGGCTATTTTGTTTCTCTTTGTTCTCTGGTTCGCCCATTACGCTCTTAGTTCACATAAACAGAACCTTCAAAAAGCACTGCGTAATCGACAACAGTTTGATCACGTGAGACTACCTGACGAGGAAGAAGAACATTATCGTGACGTCATGTTTCGTCATCATATTTCGACCATTGGCGGAGAATCAAATCCAATTTATGGCTTGGACGAAGATGAATCTGTTATGGTTCCAAATCCACTGTATGGTGTATCACGTGGTATTGAAACACCAATAACAAAACGCGGCCCGTCGTTTGCAAATCCACTCTTCGCTACCAGGGAACAAGAAGATAGTCTGAGCTCCAAATCTGCTGGGCAGCCTGAACCAAGTCATGATAATTGATTCGTAGAAAATGAAAAAAATCAGTCTCGTGTGTATTTTGTCTTAACTTAAAAAGTCATTTGATTTTCAATACGCTTTTTTAATCGTGAATTATTCGTAATGGGATTTTAAAGGAGCCAGTCTCTGGAATCATCGATTCTTATTTGTTATTTTAACGTACTTTATTTATTCATAAAACGTCGATTAAACATTTTCTGTTTTCAATCAAAGGTTAAAAATGTACTATGTCTGACGTTTGCGTCAAAAAGCTTAGAAAGAGGTAAAATTGAGAAGAGATTTTCATTTGATAAACACTCAACTCTACTAGCACGACTAAGTTTGCTGTGTTCGAAACATGTCTAACACCGTTGTACACTCTCCTTGGATATAAAACTTTTTCCATTTACTTGAATTATTTGTATAAATGATTTCTAAAATAAAAAATGCCATCAATACAATTTTCTCAATTTTTTTCCCAAAAAAAGACATTTCTGATATGTAGTGGCTGTTTTTATTTCAATCAACAAAGTGTTCTAGAAGATTTTGAATAGCAGATTTCTCACCGATTAACTTTGATTTAAAATAACTTTATACTTAGGCATACTTTGCAGAGAAGACGTCTATCTGCTGCAAGAAAATCATTGGACTCCTCAATTTCATCCTAAAACGATTCCTCGAAGATTTTGGGAAGAATTCCGAATCTCTTACTGAGTTGTATTCAAAATTTGACACATGCGAAACCTCTTACAAAGTCGGCTGGTCATGCGGGAGGGTAAAATACTTGAAAATGAACTTACTGTTGACTAGATTGACATACTTCTAAAATCTACAAAGATGATAAACTTTAAGTCATTATGTCGGCGGAAATGAAACGAAATTCAGAAATTGGATGAGCTCAGAAAGAGGAGAACAGAATTTGGACATTTCATCAGCATAAGGATTTGTTTCAGCAAATTGTCGAGTTTTTAGTGTGATATTAGACATGATATTCATATAATATGGATCTTTGCATACAATTGATTTTCCAAAATTCCATTTATAACTCTCATCTTTGGTAAGATCTTAATCATTGCCATTTTCTAATCGATGCAATTTCTTTTCCTTTTTAGAGTTTGCTTTGTGTGATGCCAAGGAAAGGTAAATTCTGGCAAAGTGATGAATCAGTGACAAGCCGTTCAAATCTGGCTACATCTTCTATTAACCAACGCTCAAAGTTATAATTCACATGGGACAACGTATTGAGAAGCGTCCTTTCAAATGTTGCAAGTCTTTCAAACGATCAACCCAGTTGAGCAGATACGTTGAAGTCACGTGTGTTGTATTAAATGTTACATCATGCATAGTCATAAATACTGAAGTTGATGTATTTCAGGTCTAGCAAAACTGGTTCTATTGGATGGGATAGTTTGCCAACAGTATTTTGACCTTTTCCATTCCTCTTTTTATAATCTTCTAGTAAATTTGAATTTTTCCACTCGAACGTAAGTACAACAATGTTTTCAGACCTTTTTCTTTATTTCGCTCGTTCACTTCTCTTTTTGCTCGCAACTGCTGCTATCGCAACATATGAGCGATATCAGTTCTTCATACTTCAGATTGAGGGTGAATGTTGCGGTAAATAAGGGATAATAGAGCTCCGAGATATGGCTGGTAAAGTTAGAGGTTTTGGATCATCTGAAACCGAAGTACATCGCGTTTCTTCTATATTAGATGAAAAAATTGGGGGTGTTATTTCTTGTATGATTGATGAGAAACTAGATGTTCTTGATGACGAAAGATGTTGGCAGTTAGTGAGATCGGTTTCTACTTTTGTATCTTCATAACCTTTCTTATCATAAAACATTGATGCTCGTTTTAAATGCATCAAATGCTTTCGTTCCGCTGTTTCTACAGAAGGTAATGGTCTCAAATCTTCCATTATTTTTGGTACTACATCGATCAAACCACACTTCAACAAGTATCATTTTGGACCCAAAGAATCACAAAAGCAACGTCGATACATCGGGTTCACTTCTCTTTTCAGAAAGCCTATCACAACAGATGAGCGAGCTCAGTTGAGATATTTCGATCTAGGCTGAATGCTTTCATTTGCAACAGCAAATTGTAATTTTCTTTTAAAATCATAGCGGTAGTCATTAGTATCCGCAAATGATGGTTTGTAATCTTGACGACTTGATATCGACGTAATCTCCTTATTACTGCATAAACGAACCTTGATATAGTCAAACGAATACTGCCCTGATATTATCTGCTTTTTCTCAGACATCTTAGTTCTTTTGTACGCTCTTTTTGCCATATATTGAGCACAATTGCAGACGGATTCAATAGCACCTTCAGACAAACACCACAATTTTCAATGATAGTCTACTCGGATTACAAATGTAATATGTATGCAGTTGATATTATTAGGTAATTAGTAGTGTCAACAATAACATGACTTAAATACGATTATGAATTTTTATTAATTACTACATGGTCTAGATCTCTATAGCTACTAATGTCACGCATAATGTAAACTGCGTCAATTCATTCACCTACATAGTTCAATAAATACAATACTAAAGTATATATATATAAGAAACTATTACTTATTGCCTTTAATACTTTCTCGAAATGTTGATCGTTTTGAATGATTTGCATGTATTCTTCTACTCAGTTTCTCTTCCTGTGCAAAAGCATATCCACCTCTTCTCAGAGACATTCTCGTACTAGATCTCGGTCTGATTCTCAGTAATTTTGCAGGTTCTTCTAACTGGCCACTCTTCCATAACAGACGAACGCGATCAGAAATAGTCGGCATAAGTTCCAGACTCATAGTGCGATAAACAAAGACAGGCAATATACCTACTGCAGGAGTTATTAATGCACAGAGCCAAAAGGAGCCTCCCCCGTAGGTAGCATATTGTACACCATGATATGAATTTTGTGGTGTCAGTTTGAGGACAAATGATGAATAATAGATAAGATAAAATAGAAGATGATACTTCCCCAAACGGAAATGTGATTGAGAATTGTCCAAGAATGTAAGTTTAATGCAAGCTGCAAGGAAAAGAGAAAGAATGACTTCACGTAGACTATGTTGACACTGCTTAGTCAAAATTCATGTAGCCCATCAACAAACCTGTAAGTTCATTGTAATAACAAGTGTTGCTGCAACTACTGTCCCGAAGAATTGAAGGCCCGACTCCACGTAACCGCTGCTGTTTATGTAATCATGATAAATGCCATAAGGAACGAAAAATAGGATAAGGGAAACAAGGACGCCGTGAAGAAGACTGAAAACAAATACTCTCCAATTGAATAGAATATTCTTTTGGCCAGGAACATATAATTTAGGGAATTTCAAAGAAATATTATCAGGAAGATCCTATAGGTAAAAGATCAAACACATGAACAAATGCTATTGCACTAAAAAATCAGTGAAGAAAGATTTTATTACTTGATCAAAAATGCCCATAACAACGACAGGCAATGAAGTGAAAAAGACATTATAAAAAGATATGAACCAAGCATCATACAACGTCTGAAAAGAAAAAAATATAGCTAAGTTCAAAAAAGGCGTAGATCATGAATGATTTATAATTTTAAACGTGTTGAGCATTTCAATACATTACCTGCGCAGAGAAACCAACAAAGAAAGCGAACCAAAGCTGACATAAAGTGAACGCAAAATTCTTGTAAAAAAAGTAGCTTAAAAATTTCGCCATTCTCAAGTAGGACCAACGACCATGAACCAACAACAAACGTTCCAGAAACGTACAAAAAATAGTTAAGAAAATACTTCGAGAAACCAGTCATGAAACATTTTATATATTCCGCATTTTCACTAAAAGGATATCGAAATTGCGCAAAAGAGTAGTCACTTGCCAAAACAGCTTGCATTCCTTCTTGTCCGCTTATACCAACACCTATATGAGCCGCTGTTAATGAAAATAAAACTGTTAAGCTGGCAAAAAATTCTCGCAAATTCTCTTCTCTGTCGCTTACATTTAATCATGCTAACATCGTTTGCACCATCACCTATTGCTAGAGTGACTGCTTTCACATGGCGCTTGACTAACTCCACAACCAGGGCCTAGAAAAATGAGAACGTTTCACGTTATCATTTATCTTGGATAACATACTAAAAGGTTTTCATACTACCTTTTGTAGTGGAGTGACTCGACAACATATCACAGCTTTACAATGTTTAGCTAACTCGAGAAATTCCATTTCCATGGAATTATCGAGAGCAAATACCTTAAAAAAACAAACAAAACACAAATAGATATTGTTTTTTGTAATGAACGTCATTAACATAAGGTCACTTACTAAGCTTTTTCCAGTGATTACCAAAGCAAATTCACTTTGTTTAGATACGGTCTTTTCCTATCAAAGACAAAAAAATTAACACCCAGAACAACGATATTCTGTTTGATGGCTTGATATTATACCTGGCCATTTTCTGTTACGGCCTGCGTTCTCGTGTCTTCAATACGACTGGTGTTGGGCAAAATATTAACGGTCAAACTGTCAGCACCGAAACTGTTCTCGACAGAGTTACTGATCATTGGTGATGACCTAATTCTATTCATTGCTTCTTTTATCGAAGCTCGAACTTTTTCTTCCTCTTCGTCGTTTATCGTAAATACTTCCTCCATTTCATTTGTCAGAAGTCGACAGGAGTAACCAATGTTGATGGCAGTTTCTATGACAACATGAAACAAATCAACTAACAATTCAACAACGTCATACTTTTGCTTTATTTTTAATACCTTGCTTGTCGCCAGTCAAAACCCAAATCTTGATATCAGCCTACATATGAATAAAATAGAACTGTTGTAGACCAACGTCTGCACCTGTGTTCTGCACATGAAATAAATCAATCTTTATACAGACACGACATTCATGAAAATACCTCAGCTAGGTGGCCAATTGTATTTGGTACACCATCTTGTAACTTATCTTCAATTGCCGTTGCACCCAACAAATTCAGATCCTTTTCTATTTCTTCATAGGCCTATGAAGTATTATAAGTTCAAATTGAACACCTTTATAAATTAAGTTGGAATTCTATACATACAGTACAACAAACCTCGTTAACCTTCTCGTCTCGATCCTCCGTGGCAGTACTGAACATACAATACAATTTATTAAAAGATCTTTTTCCAGTAAAGTATTTAGATTACAAGGAGTAATTACCTTGCTTCGTGATAACGAACAATCCACTCTTTCAAATTCTCCGGAGAGATATCTTTCTCAGTCAACACGAGCGTTCGCAAACCATCTTTTGCAAACGTCTTATAGAAGAAAAGACAACAAAATGAGAAGATAGAACCCAAGAACGATTGTCCAATAATAACCTCAACAATGGTGCCTCTTAACTCACGTTTAAATGTTCATTAGTCGTGTTCATTAATTCTTGAGAACTGGCATGAAGTCGCTCAAATATAATAGTATCTTAAAAAGTGTAAATTAATTGTACGTTGAATGACAACTATAGCACGAGGTTATTCAAATATAAGCTTGTAAGCTGCTATGTTGCTAGGTTCCTTCGAAGGTTCAACGTCAGCACACGAATTACTTTTTTGCACATCTTAATAAATTCAAGTACTTTTCTTGAACGTTTTGTACGAGCTCTGCTTAAAGAATAGAAATACTTGTACAATTAAAATGAAAAAATACATCACGATATTATTGGTGACAATTTTTAACTACATATCAACGGACAGTAAAGTCTAACCTGCTCCTTTGCAGTACAGCTTTATCTTATCATCTCTTTTTACAATTACCTAAAATGGAGCAAATATAGTTAAATGTCTACGTTGATGAAAAAAAAGAAAGATCTGATGTTGCAGCCTAAGATGTTCGTGGATAGTGTGTATCAGATTACCGACATCCTTTTTCTAACGTTGTCAAAGTCAAGTGTGCATAGGAGTTCCCAGATTTCCTTGAAAAATTACCAAAAATGATAATGATGAAAACAAAAAATTGATAATGATAAAAAATATGATCAAACATCATGAAAAATCATGATTAGCATAAGCCATGGATAATGATTCATGAATGATAATGCTTGATTATAATGTATATTAGAACTTATGGGTTACGATTCATGAATGATAATGCTAGATTGTGATGGATGCCAGAACTTATTGGTTACAATTCATGAATGATAATGCTTGATTATAATGTATATTAGAACTTATGGGTTACGATTCATGAATGATAATGCTAGATTGTAATGGAAATCAGAACTTATGGGTTACGATTCATGAATGATAATGCTAGATTGTGATGGATGCCAGAACTTATGGGTTACGATTCATGAATGATAATGCTAGATTGTAATGGATGCCAGAACTTATGGGTTACGATTCATGAATGATAATGCTTGATTGTAATGGATATCAGAACTTATGGGTTACGATTCATGAATGATAATGCTTGATTGTGATGGATGCCAGAACTTATGGGTTACGATTCATGAATGATAATGCTTGATAATACCTCAGTTCCTAGACACTGTAAAGTCATGACGGTTGGTGAACGACGCTAAAACGTAATAAATCGAGAATGAACGGTCTCCAAATTTTTTAATGCTGAGTTGCGAGAGATTATAAAAACAATAAACTATGTGTTTATTCACGAATTGTTGAGTGATTTGCTGTAAAGAAAAACATTTTAAAATTTCGAGCAGCAGTAACGAGAGCTGCCTCGTCGGGTGATTGTGCTTGATACTCCAGATCACCTAAATCAAAATACACAGTAAAAAAGTAATTTACTTACAAAGCTGCACGATCAGCAATTTTTAGCCTAATTCATAGATACGTTTTTGTTGTATTTAAACATGTTTTTATAAATCACAGATTCTGCCATGTATATGATTATCATGATGATCAATTTATTTTGTTTAACGATATACATACCGCCGATTTCCTCAGAAACGACAGAATGACATGATGCAATTAGACGAAAGAAATCAGGAGTTTTCTGTAAGAGAATATTTTAATTATTAAGCTTACTGCAGTCAGCATGAGAGAAATATTTATTTTGCAAACCTAACCTCGACGTTTCCTTTGATAGCGTTCATTAAATTTTGATCATAGAAATGAAAATCCTCATCAGCCATTTTATTTCCAGAAAAATCAACAGATTTCTAGAAATGCGAGAAACAGTATGCTTTGTAAAACGAACTATCGGCTCCCATACGGTTTTCAACCACGACAGATGGCTGAAAACAGACACAGCCAAAAGCTTGTTTAAAAATACTAATACCCTTGATCTCATTGAAGCACCGCTTTCTAAGCTAATCTCTGGGCCTTTTATATCACCTGGCAAAGTGAGAAAAAAGAGACATACTTTAATATTCATATCTAAAGATGATATCAACATAGTTTCTGCTGTAGATGATGATACATGGTGAGAACTATCACCGAGTTCGTTACTAATTTTACGCTATACATTGAAAGGTTTAAACCCGGGAGTATTGTTACCTGTTTGTGGATGTAGATCGTCCGGGTTAGTAGAGTACTGAGAAGGACTGTTGTTGTTGACGTTTACTGACGCTTCGACAACCTTAGCAGTAGTCATCTTCACAGTCAACATCAACAACAACAGTTCTTCTCAGGACTTTACTAACATAGACGATCTACATCCACAAACATGAATGAACAAACACTGTCAGTCAACTACCAAAATATTTTTTGCTGAAAGCCAAGTTTTTGACAAGTTAAGTTAAGTAGATTATATAGTGCGACACACGTAGCATTGGTTTAATGGTAATAGTAAATATGGGAACGGATATTGGTGTTGGTAAAATTAATAAACAGGCATCGGCAAATATTACTGAAAATATGCTTTTGCTTGTATACAATGAAACCCACTCGGTGACAGCTATTGTCTTTGCTTCTTCAATTTCTTCCATGGTGGTAAAGAGTGTGAAGACGTCACGCCAACTTGGTGTCAGAAGCTTTGTCATTACGTCACTATTGCAATGCATTGTTGTTAATGACGTCATTATGGTGATGGTTATATACAATATACCGGACAACAAGTCCTCATAACCTTTTGGATATCTTCAAAGTCGACATCATCATTTTAGTGTGAACTATGATTGTCAATCGATATGTTCTAGTTTGTGTTCTTCTTCTAATTATCTTCAATCATCTCTGTCATGGTTGGCGAAGACGACGACGCAGACGTTATTGGTGGAGATGTTATCCTCGGAATTGTGCTTTTTCTTCATGGTCTTCGTATTCTTCTTGCACGGCTACTTGTGGATCCTCTGGCACAAAATATCGAACTCGTTATATTACAAGATATGCGTCTTGTGGTGGCAGTTGTAACTATCAAACCTACCAAAGCGTATCTTGCCCTGGGACTTGTTGTCCTGCACATTGTTCGTACTCCTGGACGGCTTGGGGCTCATGTTCAAAAACATGTCAATACGGCACGCGAACACGCAATATTCGAGTTTGGAGAAATCCCAGTTGTGGTGGAAGAGCTTGTCCTTCCAGTAGCCAGTCTCAAAAATGTGGGACTGGAAGGTAGAAACAAATTATTTATTTGTAAAATGCCCAAGTTGTTTTTGTTGATATTTAGCAATTCATTGCTTATTTGTGTTTGTATTTTTTATCCCCGCTGTATGTCACGCATCTTCATCATTTTGTTGTGATTTCATAAACTGCATATCGCCCGCTGTTATAGAGCCGGTTAACGTTCTTCTTTTATTGGGTTTTTATTTTAATGGATGCTACTGCTTCGGATTTTTCCATTCTTATTGATGATCTTGGAACCACATTCTTTGGCGAGACTTGCGAGCAAAGTGCTGATTTTATGTTCCTTATTATTGAAAGAGAATGAATGAGCAGTTTCGTTGCGAATATTAACTCGATACATAATAATCATATGGTTTCATTCACTGATGCGTTCATCTCAAATTGTCAACGATTTAGTATGTGCTTTTGTGTGGGGGCAAAATGCAGCAATCTATATGTCAATTGTTTTATTATCGGGCATATTAGATGACTTCTGAATGCAGAAGGAATTAATACTTCATCTTATTATCTCAAGAACATGTCCTGATACGTAACGCTTTACGTGCACAAGTGTTTTTGAAAGGATTTCTTCCTGCTGGAGAAGGGATATCACGCTAACTTCAAATTACTGCTTTCCACTCTTTAATGACGAAAGCTATTTTATGCTCTTTAACTTCGTATGTTAAAGGTAAATTGAACCCAGGCCATTTATAATGTTTTCATCAATTTGCTGCCGCTCTAATGTGGTAGCATTCCCAAGTCATGACGTCAATCAAGCTCCCCTTCTTTCCCTTTAGTTGAATTTTCTACCGCTGTAATGTGAATGCATCCCCAAGTCATGACATTACTCACTCAAACTCCCCCATATTTTCGTCATCCTTACGTTAAAGGTTTTCCTGTTCTCAAAGGAGGCTAGTTGAAACCTTGTGTTGTGTAGTCCTAATGCTTTTTTTCATTCATTGTTTGTTCTTATCTTTGCAAGTTCGAATATGAATTGCAAAATTTATTTTACTAATATATTATATCAGAAAATATTGACTAGATCTATTAAGACGTTCTTTCATGTAACCGCGACATCGATCATTCCTAAAAATGAGCACAAACCTGTTTTACAACATGAACAATCTTAATGTCGGTGACGTTTTCATAAAATGTGTTAGAAAATTTAATTAAGTTCTCAAGAGTTCCTTGTTAATATACTGTTTGTTTGTTTTTATCTTAATGTTGGACAGCATCCCATATAAATTGCACGCGTAAGAAAGTTAAGTAGTAAGGTAATTTAACTCGCCATAAAGCACATCAGGCTTATATGGTTACAATTAAGAACTTACCATACTACACTATACGAAAATATTTTTTGCAAAAAGGGAAACTTGCAGCATTGACGCAAGTTCAACAATGAAGCAAGTGATTTTTATTCTTACGTTGCTTTGCTTCTGTCTTGATTTGGATTTTGCCTGTCGACGATCACCACCATCACCACCATCATGCACTAGAAGAGACTGTTCCTATACGAGTTGGGGGGGTTGGAGTGCTTGCACGGCTAGATGTGGCAGTAATGGGCTAAAAGAACGTACTAGATCAATAAGAACCCATGGAACGTGTGGTGGAAGTTCTTGCGACTCCAGTAAACTTAAGCAAAGGACCTCTTGTCCTCACACTTGTTGCCCTTTAAATTGTCGTTATACTTGGAGTACTTGATACTCTTGCGGTGTGTCGTGTGGTTATGGTACGCGCCTGCGCACGATAAAGATAATTGCATCGCAAAGTTGTGGTGGTAGATCATGTCCTACTAGGAGAACGGAGGTTCAGAAATGTGGGGATGGACGGTGCTTTGTGTTGTCAATGTCTTCCTGCGACACGGGAAAGCTTATTTTAATAAGTGATTTTAAGTGGTGCTAAACCCGCCTTCGGCAGATACCGCTTAAAACTGTTCTTCACCGCAAGTGAGATTTGAATTAGTAATACCATTATGTCTTTGTTTGCCGTGTTCGATATGTATTCCAGTCCATACAGTATTTCATAGAAATCTGTTGAACCATATTTCGGAAACATTAAAGATCTTTCTTATCTCATATTTCACACATGAAAGATATTTCCTATCCTTTATTTCACAGTAGTAATCTTTTCATTTTGTAATGCTCTCGTTTCTCAACAAATGCTCTTAATTTAAACGTAATTTGTGCTTAAAGATCGTACTTGCTCGCTTCAAATAGGAATTAAGTTTATTTTCCTCTTTTTTTATGGCTGATAAAATTTTTTATGGGTTTCTTTTGTTGGTATTTTAATGAGTATATTCTCCTTTTATTTTCTAAAACATATCTATTTTTTCAAATTGATTATTACTATTAAGTTCTACACCCCTCCCTCCCCCCCCCCCTTATTGTGATCATTGGCCGTATTCTTTATGTATTTCCTTTCATAAGATGTTGCCCTGTTAACTGTGCAGTGGGAAGTTGGGGATCTTGGGGGTCATGTAATGCTACTTGCGAGAAAACTGGTACCCGCAAAAGAAATCGTCAAGTATCAAGACAGGCTTCTTGTGGGGGGACATCTTGTCCAAGTCTTACAGATACTAAGTCATGCAGCGGCCCATGCTGTCCACGTGATTGTGTCATGTCATCCTGGTCTACCTGGAGCAAATGCTCGTCTGGTAAGTGATTTTGACGTACTAATCCCTGGTACTATATTTCGTGTCTCCCTAAGAAGGAATTTTCATAATCATTAAAAAATACTTATTAAATTTTCACGATCATTGTATTTTTAGGTGGCTGCGCTGTAAATAGTGGCACTAGAAAAAGGACTCGAAGGTTAATGACCAAGGCGTCATGTGGTGGCACATGTGGTCTAGCTACATCAGATACTCAAAAATGTACTCCTATTCCTATTTCATGTCAAGTAAGTGAATATTGGAGTCGATCTGTGAATGAAATTAATTTTATTACATGCTCCGGATGAAAAAATAGGAGACTTTGATATCCATGCGTAAAACTGTATATTTATAATACATCAATGTCCAGGTTAGCTCATGGAGTTTGTGGCAAGCATGTGTTCCAAGCAATGGCAGATGTGGACAAGGGAATCAACATCGTTCACGTAACATTACACAACAAAGTTATTGTAGTTCACCGTGTCCACAGATTAATGAGAGTCGAAGTTGTGTTCATAGTTGTTGCCCTGTCAATTGTCAATTAAGCCAATGGACGACATGGTCTTCGTGTTCTTCTACATGCGGAAAAGGTTATCTTAAAATCTTTTTGTAACGTCGTGTATTAGAGAAAAAACATACTCCAAATAGCAAGCATGTTGTAAACTCAAGACTCGAAAAAAGATTTTTAAAGCAAATGAAATAAAGTGATTCAAAATCATTATCAATTGATTCTCGAATCCTGAGTTATCGATTCATCAACTGGAATTTTGAGTTTTCGAGATGACGCTGTTTGGAGCAATTTTTATCTTGTATTTCTTTAAATTGTCACCAAGAGAAAACTTTTTTTATATATATTTCGCAGCAATAAGGCGTCGTTTTCCTGTATATCTTTAGGCAAGTCAGATCGTACTCGTAGTGTGCGCATTCAACCAAGTTGTGGTGGTCGGAATTGTAGTATCTTGAGTGAGAGTAAGGACTGTATTAAATACAACGATAAAGATTGTGTCATGGACTTATGGAGCTCGTGGTCTGCCTGTGATAATGGCTGTGGTCACGGAACACAACGCAGATATCGTAAGATAACTCATCAAAGTGTTTGTCGGGGACAAAAATGTGGGTCAATCGAGGAATCAAGAAATTGTACTAGCTACAGAAATAGCCGTGATTGTGAGGTAGTTTTGTTTAAGAATGAAAACTGAAATCTTCATTCTATGTATTTCACTTAAACTGTAGTCTTTATATACTTAACTTTAATTTCTGTATTCAGGTTGGCGAATGGTCATCGTGGAGTAAATGTGACCAACTGTGTGCCATTGGGAATAAAGTTAGAAATAGAAGGATCACATCGAACTTCCAATGTCAAGGAAGATCTTGTCCTCATCTCAAGGTATATCTGTGTATACGCGAAGTTTCTTTTTTCTCAATTCATTTCAGTCATACTGTTTTTGATTCTAGGAATCCATGCAATGTGGTTTACCTAACAACGGTTGCCAACACAAATGCAACAATGGTGTTTGTTCTTGTAGTGCCGGATATAATTTGATCGGCACCAAGAATTGTACTGCAAAGGATTGTGGGAAACTTGAATTGTCTTATTGTCCTTCAGGTATTTCGTAGTGACGTGTGTGATTTTTTAGATATGTAATATGTCTAAACTAATTAATAAAGTAGATAGTAGATATTAGTATTTTTATCTTACAATGCCAAGTGAATTACGTCTTACTAGTTGATGAATACTATATTTGTATGTTTACATATATACGTTACATGTGGTTGATTTTGTCATTATTGTGAAGGTACGAATCATGGAACAACATGTGAACACCCTGTTGTTTCGTGTCCTAACAACCAGACTATCTTCTCGACTTTTTGCTCAATACTCTGCCCAAGCTATTACGCTCAAAAAGGAGCCAACAGTATTACATGTACAGCGGCTGGTACATGGTCAACAACTGTTGGGACTTACTGTCGAAGGATCAACGACCCTCCTTCTCAGGTTATTCGTACTTTCGTTTCGTGTGCCCTGCTAAATATCTTTGTTAAACTATGCATATTTGTTTTCAGATTATTTTGTCTGGGTCTCACAGTGTTCCTGAGAATAGCATTAAACGCACTCTTGTTGGAAGACTTTCGTCAGTAGATACAAACCCCCGGGATTTACACAACTATAGCTTGATATCCGGAGGTGAAGGAAAGTTTGTCCTTTTCGATGATGAATTGTACACGGATTTTGTTTTCGACTACGAGACAATGACTACAAGGTACTGACGTAGTTAACTCATTGATCTGTCTTTATGAAACTTGACGCAGGAAATGTCTTTTTGTGTTTCCATAGATATGACCTAAGAATCCGTAGTACAGACAACGGGAATCCTCCAATGTCGATGGAAAAAATAATCCCAGTAGTTATTGACGATGTCAACGAAAGGCCGACGTCTGTTCAAGTACGTTGTTAAATATCGAAAGTTCTCTTTAAATATTAAAATTTTTTAAACTTTATGGATGTGAGATCTTTTCACCAGTTTATGCTTCTTCATTTCTAATTCCAGTTATCAAATCACTATATCTCTGAGAACTCCGACGTCGACACAATCGTGGGGATATTGTCTACCATTGACCCGGATAATAGCCAGACTCATTCTTTTACTTTGATCAATTCTGCATCTGGAAGATTTAAAGTTAAAGGCAATATTCTTAAGGTGGAACAAACTAAAATCAAATAGTATATTTTGGTGAAAATAGTTTAATAGATATGATAGCTTTCATACTTGTTTCATTCTAGGTTGCATATAGTAACAGACATTGTTTCAAATTTGGTGGCTATTTCTGTTCATTGAATTTCGAAGTATCTCGCAGTCATCAAGTTACACTCCGAAGTACAGACAATGGAAATCCTTCTCTATCTCATGATGTTAATCTCACAATCAATCTGACTGATGTAAACGACCAACCGCGAGGTCTAGTTCTGAGTAATAACAAAGTTTCGGAAAATGCAACTGTGGGTGAAGTTATTGGAAAGTTCTCAGCTGAAGATGAGGATAGTGCACAGACTTTGTCTTATTTTCTCAATGATGATGACAAAGGAAGATTTACTGTCGATCAACGAGGATATCTATCATTGGCATTGTCAGCTAATTTTGAACAGGACACATTACGTAATATAACGGCTGTCGCAAAGGATAATGGAGTCCCAGTAAAAATGGTTAGATTCTATGTTGGAGAAATTGTCATGTTAAAAATCAAAGCCCAACTTCTAGAAAGTAAAAGTACACTTTATTATTATGTTTTATCTTTATAATAACGATTCGTTTACTTGCTATAAGCTGGGCTTTGATATTTATAATAAGATAACTTTTCCCGCATGGAAAATACTTTGTCACCGTCATAATTTGTATGATAATAATACGATTTGTTTTTTAAATATATTAATTTTTTTTCTATTTTAGATAGTGAAATCATTCACAATTCAAATATTGAAGGTAAACGATCCTGTAGTGAATTTGAAATTCGTCGACATGAACAATCAGCACTCACAGAGTATTTCAGTGAAAGAAAATGCCAGTATATCCAGCGTCGTAGGACATTTTGAAGTAACAGACAACGAAACGTCACAGGAACTGTCCATTCATTTAGATGTAAATCCATTTCAAGCGTTTTCACTGTCATCATCAAATTGTACTGATGGAAATCGTACGAAATGTGAAACTAAACTTGTCCTACAAAAGAAACTAGATCGCGAAATAACACAAGGTTTCCAAATTTATGTCCGCGTGAAGGATAATCAAAATAGATCCATCATCACCACGTTCAACGTATCGATAGAGGACTGTAATGATCGACCCTATGACATTACTATTGCTGGAGGAATGGAGACGAATATCGTTGAAAACATTCAAGGAGCGTTGGTTGGAGAACTGTTGACTAGTGACCAGGACCTTTCTCAGACACACAGTTATCGTCTGCTCAACAACAGCGATGTGTTTGAAATACGAGACGATTTCTTGTTTCTTCACAATGACACGTTTCTGGACTTCGAGAATAAAAGCCAATACATTATTAAAATCCAATCTACAGATAATGGTCAACCGCCTCTGACGTCATTACCTCAATCCCTGATTGTTCACGTGATCAACAGAAACGAAGCTCCAAGTAGGATTGATCTTACTTACAATAAGATAACTGAGAATAGTAATTCAGGGACAGAAATTGGATTATTTATCATAACAGACCCTGACAATTACAATTTGTCTCGTCAATTACATGTTTGTCGGCTCATTGATTCTGCTATGGGAAAGGTTGAAATATTGTATAAAAATGGCAAAAATATTCTTATTCAAGCTGCTCAACTTTTGGATTATGAACAGACACCATCTATGACAATCACCGTACGTTGCCGAGACCCCTATGGTTTATATAAACAAAGCGATTTTGTTATTCATGTAACGGATGTAAATGAACGTCCCGTCTTCGTAAAACTTTCAAATACTCATATACGTGAAAATAGTGGGCCAGCGGTTGTTGGTATATTGACTACACAAGACCCGGATAACCTTAACAACGCATCAAGACAGATCATACATTATTCCTTGATATCCAATATCCCTAGTCCTTTCGTTTTGATTGGTCGTGAACTGAGTATTAACGCTAGTTTAAATTACGAGAGCGTCAGGTCATGGAATATTCAGATACGCGCTCAAGATAACGGTGTACCCTCGCTCTATCTTGATGAATATATTGTTATATCAGTAGTGGATGTTAATGACAAACCATATGCTATACAGGTACGATGTTTTATTATTAATAAGGCATTTTTACTTTGAAGATTTGTAATTGTGTTCAATAAAACGAAAAATGTTGAGATTTAGTCCATTTAGTTCTTTTAGACCTTCATCTTTTGCAATATGTATAACACTTATTTTATTTTTTTATCGTTCTCTTATAATGGTTTCTTTTTCTTTTCTTTCAGCTATCCAACAATGAAATAATGGAGAACAGTGATGTTGATACAGTTGTTGGTAACCTCGTTGCAATTGACGAAGACGTTGGACAAAGTCATATTTATAAACTTCTCGATACTGCTGGTGGACGATTCAAGATTGTCAACAATCAAGTGAAGGTAGTAACATACTTGGTTGTTGCATTTTTGCACATTTCTCTTTTGTGTTGCACTATTTTAAACATAGCCGTAATCTTAACTTTTGGTTTTGAATGTAATTCGTTTGTTTTCTGTGCTTTTATACTGTTACTTTTATGTTGTTTTTTTTTGTGCTTTTATGCTGTTGCTTTTATGTTTTTCTTTTCTGTGTTTTTTTCCTTCATTGTCCACTTTCTTGTGTTTGTGAATTGAGTTTCATTTGTTATTGGTACAGATCTGCCACAATGTGCTATAAAACTTCAATGATAATGACGGCCAAGTTTTAACAGTGAAGCCAATTTGTTTTTTTTTGTTGTTGTAGACATCACTGTCAAATACGTTATGTCTTCAATACGGTTCTTCTTTGTGTCGTCTTAACTATGAACTCCATCAGTCTTACAACATCAGCATTAGAGTAACGGATAAAGGCATTCCTCTTGCGAGTCATGATCAATTATTTACTATTTATCTGAATGATGATAACGATAGACCTCGTGACCTCAACTTGAACAATTGGGAAGTTTCAGCAAACGCCACTGTCGGCACGCTGATTGGTTTTTTAAGTGCGCGCGATGAAGATAGCGGTCAGAGTTTAATTTATTCGTTGGTCGATGATGACGGAGGGAGATTTGCGTTAAATGGAGAAAAGTTGGTTACTGCTAAGTTCTTGAATAATGAAACAGATCAGAATCGCGTTATTTCTGTTGCAGTCACTGATAATGGTTATAATGCTTTAAAGGTAAGGCATTTAATTTTTATAGAAATGTTTTTAGTATTAGAACATACAAACTTCAAATCTGTATTTTATGTTCCACAAAAAGTGCTCATGTAAGTTTTCTATTTCGTTGACACTTCATTTCTTTTTTTTTCGTTTTAGACTATCCGTAATTTCACCATTAGAGTTTTAAAAGTCGACGAAGTTCCAATTGCTTTCAATTTTACTGACTCCATTGTCTCTTCACTGTTTGAGAATGTGTCGGTCCCAAGTGAAGTTGGAACTGTGTTTGTCTCTGACAGTAATGGCAAACAAGATTTCGTGTTTACATTAGATGATAATTCATATGGGGAATTTCGACTAAATGGTTCAAGTAAGAAATGTGACAATTTCTCGTCACTAGCAAATGGAACAAAATGCTCAATCAAGTTGTTTCTTGTCAAGTCTCTAAATTACGAGAGAAATAAACGACGATCTGTATCGATTCGTGTAACAGACATACGTGGATCATCACTTGTTAGAACTTTCACTATAGAAGTCATTGATTGTAACGATGCGCCCACGAGCATTAGTTTGAATGGTGGTGTGTCGGCGTTAATTATGGAAAATTCCGCCGGAGCACTTGTTGGAGTACTAAGAACAACTGACGAAGATACATCACAAACGTGGAGTTACCATTTGCTTGAAGATTATAACCTGTTTAATGTCAGGGTTATCGGTGATGAATATAATATTTTTCTGAATGAAAATTCCTCGCTTAACTACGAAAATAAATCTGAATTCATCTTGACTGTGATATCAAGAGACAATGGACAACCATCTTTTGTTGTCTCTCGAAACTTTACAATCTCCGTTGTGGACATTAACGAGGCGCCTACTCAGATACATTTATCAAAGCATGTCATCAATGAGACGATAGTTTCAGGAAGTGAAGCATCAGCATTAACAGTCGATGATCCCGACAACGTGAACAATGACCGACAAAGTCACTCTTGTCGTGTTGTTGTTGGTCAAGATAAGTTCAGGATTCGTGCTGGCCTATTGTTGAGCAACTTGAGGTTTAATTATGAAAGAATACCTTATGTGAACATCTCTGTGCAATGTGTTGATTCTGGAAGACCAAGATTGTACATTACACAACATTTTACTATCTTTATAAATGATGTTAACGAAAAACCAACTGACATTATTTTATCAAGTCTTGTTGTACGTGAAAACGAACGTTATGTTTTTGGTGAGTGTTTCTTTATAGAACAAAATGCAGTCATATGAAATATGTCATTGTTAAATGTTTGTATCCTCTTCAGTTAGCTTATCATTTAATTGTGTCTTTTTTCTTATATTTTTTCCAGCAAACATCTCAACGGTTGATCCAGACAATGAACTGAATAATACTCGACAAAGTTTCACTTACCGATTTGTCTCCACTTTAAAAGATCTTCCATTTCATATTGAAGATGGTAAAATAAGGACGAGGCAATCCTTGAACTACGAGCAATCATCTACATGGAACATCACAGTTGAATCTCGAGACAGTGGAGTTCCACCTCTTACAATTCAACGAAGCTTCATCATTAATGTTCAGGGTAAGTTGGCGAAACTTTCGTAAATTATTAATGTATATAATGAAAATCAAAGTTAAGTATTTCGTCCATCGTGATTTTACATGATTGTCTTTGTTTTTTGTTCATTAAGACGTGAATGAAGCTCCAAGAATAATCACTCTTTCTCCAAGCAATGTGAATGAAAATCCAGAAGAATGGCGACTAATTGGAAAACTCTCCGCTGCTGATGAAGATGAGAATCAGACACACACGTTCAAACTAGTGGACAGTGATTCGGGAAGATTTCATTTTGTCTTCAACTCTTCTGAAATAAGAGTCGCCATCTCAAACACAAACTGTCTTCTATTTGGTGGAAAATACTGTTTACTGAATTATGAAGCTCAAAGTACTCGAGTGATTTCCGTACGTGCTATAGATGATGGGATACCTCCGTTGGAACTTACTATGAATATTAACATTACACTTGATGACGTTAACGATCG